GGAATAGAAATTAAACAGGAAAGATACTAACTATATAAAGCATGTAACAGTATCAAGTAACAAAATAAACCAATCATCATTAACATAGATATGCGACCTTTGTGACCCACGTTCTTATAGTGTGATCATTACATGCAAACTACGTCACTTAAAATATCACTTCTTAACACTATAGACTAGTTTTTCTTGTGATTTAATTAATACAGTAGAAGAATGCAATCTTCTATAGTCTTTTTAATGCAGTTTTGATTGACTGCATAAAACCAGTTCACTACGGGTGCTTTAGCAATACAGTACAAAGGGGCTAGAAATGAATTGCGTTGTTTAAAACCTGCTACACATAATTCATTGAGAATCCAACAAGGAATTTATCCATACCTTAGAATAGCGTCTTTTCAAGATGAAAAAAACAAGAAGTTTCATTTTGGTAGGAAATATAACAAAAATATTTCACGGTTTCTATTTTAAAATTTGAAGTGTTTGTGTCATGTTTTTAGATTTGGGTTACTTTAACAGTTTGGATGATTTTAAACACTTTTGCAATATATTTTATAGTTAAAAAACTTGAGCTTTGCGGGTTTTTCGGAACTCTTAGTTGGTGATTTTAAGTATCTTTAACGTTTGACCGCTAGTATGAGAAAACTGACATCAAATCGGGAACTCGATGTGTGAGGCTGCACTATATTTAAAAGCCCGACTTGAAAAACAGGACATTGGCACTTTAAGCTAAGTATGACGCAGCGCTTATTAAACTTACTGTGATAAAGTGTGGAGCTAGTTACCTTCTGACTACTCTTCTGTAAATTTTAGTGTGCCTGCCACTGTCCAATGGCACTGTCTAATTCAATCTGTACCATTATGTAAATGAGTTTAGCTATAAGTCCGTCTGTGTATGAGCTCACTTGCATGCAAGCCCATACATAAATCCGAAGATCAGGATCCTAACTAAGACTATTTTATTGTCGACATCAGGACTAGCACTGGGGTGGTGCACTTTAGTGCCTGCTAAAGCGACTTATATAGAGTGATGAGTTTTTTTCTCGCAACATTTATGACATGAAAACTACTGTGTAGATAACTACAGTATAATATAGTCGATACATCGCCCCCTCCCTCACTTGTTTAAGCGCTCAAATTTATAAGCTCGTGAAAAAGGGCTTACTGACTTATTTAAGCTCTGTGTTTTTGACCATTTATGACTTATTAATGTAGTGTTGTAGACATGCCACCATTAAGTTAATTAACATTTTGTACATTTTTTGTGTTTTCAAAAGGTTCCGTGACTTGCGCTCGAGAAAAAATAATGTACGCCAGCTGTCGTAAAAGACAATATATGGTAGTAAAGACTGCAGAATATCGTGGATTGAACCAAGGAAATGTGTGTGGTTCAAGTTACTATTACAACTGTAGTGTTGATGTTACATGTCGTCTAAAAAGACTTTGTGATGGCAAACGAGAATGTAATGTAACTGTCGATGATAATCTTTTCCTTCAAAAGTTGTCCTGGTTTGGACAAATATCTTTACTTTGAATATCAATGTACTTCTACCATGACGTCATTCAATGAAAATTGCAGTAAGTAATGTGGACATGTAAACGTGCTTATGATTGATTTGAAGAACTAAATGATGTAGTTATATTTTAATATCTGCCGAACTAAGATCACTAAGGAGAATATTCATAATAAAGTAAATCATCACACCTAAATCACACTTCACAACTAAAACATCAAACTTCACATTAATTCACAATGACAATACACAATTGACACCCACACATTACAGCTTAAAACATCACACCTAAATCACACTTCACAACTAAAAACATTTCACTTCACACTAATTCGCAATGACACTACACATTTCCTGTACACACAATACAATGACGTAAGAACCAGATAACAAATACGGCTAACCTGACGTATACTCCTTATTTGACTCTGAAGATGACTACCGCTAAGGTAGTTGTAACGTCAGCCAAAAATGACAAAAACAGTCCTTCTCAGGACTATGCCAACCTGGACGATCTAAATTTACAAACATGAGGATATTCATGTTCATCAACCTTGTTATGTTCATTAACTAATTATCTTTTACGATTTTTTAAAGTTTATATGACATAGTCCATATAGGGTTTATATGACATAGGGTTTATATTACATAGTCCATATAAGTACCCATTACATCAAAGAATTGCATAATGAAGGACTCAATAAATAACATCTTATCTTGAAAGTAGTCAACCGTTGTGTATAAATATGGTTCAAAGGTATCTGTGACGATTCCCTGACTTGTAGTGAGTATAATTGGCTGTGTAAAACGTGGTAAAAATGCTGCAACACCCACCCCCTCAAATAATTAGGTTGGAGTGGCCAAGCCCCCTACTCCAATGTTTATTGCTACGAAGAGCTTTTCATTATTTTTCTTGAAATGAGTCACTGTTGAATTAAATTTTTCTAAAAGGTCAGAAGGCCACTCCCTGGTGCAACCTTTTAACTTACGTGCTCAACCCCCCCCCCCCCGAATACAAAGCATATAATTATTTTAGATTTTTTGAATGTATAATTTTACATGTGCTTTGTTGCTAAAATTTATTTGTTTATCTTTTGTTCATCTATGGCTTATTAAAGCACCTTACAGACGAACAAATTTTCTAAGACAAATAGTTGCTATCCCGTGTGTCTACGGGCAAAAAACCTTTTCGAGAAATTTTTATGTGGCGAGTTTTCTTTGATCGTCTGTACGTTGCAACATATAAGATTTGGTTGATTTGTCATATATATTACGACAAATGCATTTATTCAAAAGCTGTCGACATGTTAGTTTTTGAACAAATGCATTTGTCCAAGAAAACTTTGCTAAAAAGTCCTATACAGACGAGGAAAGGACATTTGCCACAAAAAAATTGTCGAAAAAATTTTCTCGTCCGTAAGCACCTTAATTGATACTTGTAAAATATAATTTCTCGAAATAGTGGAATTTTTGAAAAAGTTATGTCCAGTGATGTTGTACGTGTGGACCGTATTTTTCTCAGGTACTGCTGGATTTTTCTTGAAACATGTTGAAACAGGAAAGTGTATTTATGATACAAAGATAGTACAGTCAAGATATCGACCACCGACTGGGGAGAAAGAACACTTCACTTGGAGCTTTCCGACAACTGTCTTCATCCAGCATCTCAGTTCAAATATCTAGATAATGGTGCCGTATTGAAGTTGAATGTACCAGGTTGTCTTCAGGGAGAGTTAAAACCAGGAAGTGGTCATCGTCTTGATATGTTATATATCCACACTGATACGCGCAATATCAATGACGTTGCTTGTGTCAGCAACAATGCTGTAACCCAAACCTCTTGGGGAGGTCTACAAATACGGTACAACAGAGTTGGAAAGCAATTTCGATGTTTAAGCCCTCGCACTTCTAAAGAACTTAAAGACGATGTAGGAGTTGATCCTTATTTGAAAATGGTTAGATGTGAACCTGCACCAAATAAGCAATTTCATTTCGGTAAGGCTATTTCGTTGTTATTTCATATTTCGGTCCACCAAAATTCAAAGCACATCAAAATATTTTAAATATTCACAAGTTATTTAAAAAAAACATGGTAAATCAGCTACCGAAAACATGAGAAATCAGCTCAGCACACAAGAAACGGTTATATTCGTATTCAAAAAAAAGGAACTTCATTAAAAACAAAATTTATTGGTACACCAACATGCCGGCCATGATTTCAGGTGGCAATGTTCTATATATTGAAAGTACAGTCACTAAATAAACACAGTATCCAGTAAAATAGTTTCTTAAACGTGCAATCCAAACAGCAACATAAAAGAATAGAAAAGTATAGGAATAGAAATTAAACAGGAAAGATACTAACTATATAAAGCATGTAACAGTATCAAGTAACAAAATAAACCAATCATCATTAACATAGATATGACCTTTGTGACCCACGTTCTTATAGTGTGATCATTACATGCAAACTACGTCACTTAAAATATCACTTCTTAACACTATAGACTAGTTTTCTTGTGATTTAATTAATACAGTAGAAGAATGCAATCTTCTATAGTCTTTTAATGCAGTTTTGATTGACTGCATAAAACCAGTTCACTACAGGTGCTTTAGCAATACAGTACAAAGGGGCTAGAAATGAATTGCGTTGTTTAAAACCTGCTACACATAATTCATTGAGAATCAACAAGGAATTTATCCATACCTTAGAATAGCGTCTTTCAAGATGAAAAAACAAAGTTTCATTTTGGTAGGAAATATAACAAAAATATTTCACGGTTTCTATTTTAAAATTTGAAGTGTTTGTGTCATGTTTTTAGATTTGGGTTACTTTAACAGTTTGGATGATTTTAAACACTTTTGCAATATATTTTATAGTTAAAAAACTTGAGCTTTGCGGGTTTTTCGGAACTCTTAGTTGGTGATTTTAAGTATCTTTAACGTTTGACCGCTAGTATGAGAAAACTGACATCAAATCGGGAACTCGATGTGTGAGGCTGCACTATATTTAAAAGCCCGACTTGAAAAACAGGACATTGGCACTTTAAGCTAAGTATGACGCAGCGCTTATTAAACTTACTGTGATAAAATGTGGAGCTAGTTACCTTCTGACTACTCTTCTGTAAATTTTAGTGTGCCTGCCACTGCCCAATGGCACTGTCTAATTCAATCTGTACCATTATGCAAATGAGTTTAGCTTTAAGTCCGTCTGTGTATGAGCTCACTTGCATGCAAGCCCATACATAAATCCGAAGATCAGGATCCTAACTAAGACTATTTTATTGTCGACATCAGGACTAGCACTGGGGTGGTGCACTTTAGTGCCTGCTAAAGCGACTTATATAGAGTGATGAGTTTTTTTCTCGCAACATTTATGACATGAAAACTACTGTGTAGATAACTACAGTATAATATAGTCGATACATCGCTCCCCCTCCCTCACTTGTTTAAGCGCTCCAATTTATAAGCTCGTGAAAAAGGGCTTACTGACTTATTTAAAGTGCTACTGAAGTGAAAATTCGGGTATCGATTTTTTTCTATAATCAAATAGTTCTATCTTTCCTGATCACTTTGGTATAATTTTTATGCATATTGAAGCACGGGATCATCAATAAATTTTTGCTCAAAGTTGGGTTACGCGTGCGAATTTTTACTACTGAAATATTATACGGATGTGACGTAAATAAAAGGACGGAAGTCGAAGTATGAGCATTGATTTACTAGTATTTTGTTAGATTTTTAACACATATACACAATAAAATTAAAATATGAGTTCTTCAAGCAGTGAAAGCGAACGCATTTCGGATACTGAAAACTCAAATATGGCAAATGAAAATTTACTTTCGAATTCCGGCGATGAGGATACAATTGTGGCTAATTCAGTTGTAAATCCTTACGAAAATGAACCTCTTGCGAACGCAGTCGGAGAGAATTTTGTGTCGGTCGAAGAAGACGCAGATGGCTTAGAACCTCGAACATTGGAAGCGAGGTTCGAAGGAACCGTTCAGTTAGATAAGTGGTAAGTTGATAAATGTTATTAGAACTCTAGAAGAAATTAAACCATGAATTAAACATGTTATTTTGTTCTTATGTCGTGGTGCATAACAAACCACTTTTTTATAGGTGTGCATGTAGCTTGTGTCGTACTCAACTGCTGACAGATGCCATTGAATACCGTTGTTGTCAAGAGGTTGGGCCTACTTTACATAAACTGGTATTCGATGGTAGCATTGAAAAAATTAGCTGTGTTACTCTTCACGAAGAGTACACGATTATGACACATGCTACAGTCTTGAAGAATGTTGGCTCACTTCTAAGAGACCAAGATGGAAGGTCATACAAGCGTCGTGGAATACATGAAAATGAGTAAGTACATTTTTGATTTCTAATTTTGTTTTGTAACGAATGATTAATATCTTGCCATGTATCTCTACTTTTTACCTTTATGTGGTTCATTATTGTGCTGTGATGCTTCACAATTTTGTTGTGTGAAGTCAAAATAAATAATCAAATAGAAATTACTATTTTGAATTTCTCATAGATACTTGAGAGCAGTTGCATACCGTTTGGTCATTTGATGGCTATGTGGATGCCTTGGTTGGGAAAATTCTAGACCATTACCTGCATGTATCTACACAGACATCCAAAAACGATTTCCATTACGAAATCCCCTAGGCCAAGAACATGCTGGCTACAAGTCAGCACAGGAAAGAAACTGATAGAAGTAGGAAACATTTTTTGTAGCATAGTATATTATTTTATAACTAACTTTAAAGTTGGCCTGCTAAGAATATTTGTCAAGTAATTCTTGTGGACAATGACTTTTTGGAAGTCCTTTCATTGGCTGTCCACAATTTTTGCATAAGTGCATTTTTTTTGGATCTGAAGGACCTGTTGAAGCAGCTTGTTTTTCTTTGTCGAAACCTTTTGCTTGCAGTACATCTTGCTGTTGATCTATAAATAACAATTTAATGTGTTTACTTTTAGAATGCACTGGCCATACCTATTATACATGGTAGCATGAACAACTTACATGTGGGAAACAATGGTGTTGAAGATAGTTGTTTCCTATCCAAATGCCGTTGGATTGCCTCAGTTTTGGAAATTGATCCGAGAACGTTTTGTTTAAGGCTTCTGGGACTTTTTCCTATACTTCTTAAATATGTTGTCCATGGATTCCTCACAACTAAGAACCATGACATTTTTGATTTCATTAACATAGTCTGGAAAAATGACAAGTGGTTAGATGTGTAAGTCAAGAGTACCAATGCATACATGCTAAACTTACAATATGATGGTGCTGAAGAAACAGTTCTTACTACTTCATCCCCTGATTTAAATTTTGGGTATGTCACAGAATAATATGGTGTTCCATTTTTTGTTTTTTTTTGGCTGTCTGTGAAGGTTTTCATTGAAATGAAGTACTGCCAGTACGTGCCAAAACAGAACAAACCATTTACTATGTAATTTTTTTTCTTGACTAGGAAGAAGTAAAAAAGCCTTGGCAGATAAAGAACAGTGATTACAAGTTACCTGCAATATGTACCAAGCCAAGAAAAGTGGGTCATCTTTGAAGATAACAAGACACATTTACATGCATTTCCAGGTTGTGCATACAAACTTGTGTAATTTAACTTGTATAATTTTGTACTTACAACTCTGCGGTCGCGATTGCTCTTATCATCTTGGATTGAAATGCCTTTTACAGAGTCTATGGTTGGAACAGCATCAGAGCGCAATTGTCGTCTCATGTTTAGCGATTTTGCAACTGTTGCGTTCACGGTGAATGCAGAATCTGCGAAATGCATTGAACATAGCACAGAGTACTGCTGAGGAACGAATTTTGGCCTATGTCTCCTAACAAATTTTGTCCATTTACTCAGCCTCTCCTTGTCATTCATGGGGAAACGATGTACTGAGACACCCTCTGTGTGTTGACTGTTTGTACAACTTTTTCCGTTGGGCCAACCAGCAACACAATATTGTCCTCCTCGACGATTTTTTGCAGAATTTTGCCTACTCGCCATATTTTAACTTGCGGTGTATCGTTACGTTTGACTAACTTAATAAAAAATTATTCTCCTTATATTATGTGCGTTGTGATAATATTGCATGGGTTTTAAAACCACAGACTACGTCAAGGATGCGACACCCATATGATAAGAATGATAAGTCTAATCCAGAAGTTTATAAAAGTAGTATACATTGGATGATTGGAAATAAGCGCGTTACAGTTAGTTTCTGATAACATTGCGTGTGTGTTAAAACCGCAGACTTCGTCAAGAATGCGGCACCCAATTTGAGAAATATAAGTTAATTCAAGAAGTTTATAAAACTCTAATCGATTGTAAATGTTGCTTACTTATGCGTGTTGCTCATTTTTCACTAAATATATGCAATTTTTGCGAAGAGAAGTTATAAAATATGTAAAATTCCAGTTGGAAATATGCTTGTTCGTATATAATTTTTATATACTAAGAGCTTTAAAATTGAACTTCCGTCCTTTAAATGACGTCACGCACTCAAAGTCAAATTCGCATCAAAACAAGCAAATATGCCATGTTTGAACGCAAAGTTCGATGCGTTCCCATCGACTAAATTCAGTGGGCGATAGCTCAAAATGATCAGTAAAATACAGAGAAAACGTTTGTATCGAAAAACGAAATATGAAAATTTCACTTCAGTAGTACTTTAAGCTCTGTGTTTTTGACCATTTATGACTTGTTAATGTAGTGTTGTAGACATGCCACCATTAAGTTAATTAACATTTTGTACATTTTTTGTGTTTTCAAAAGGTTCCGTGACTTGCGCTGGAGAAAAAATAATGTACGCCAGCTGTGGTAAAAGACAATATATGGTAGTAAAGACTGCAGAATATCGTGGATTGAACCAAGGGAATGTTTGTGGTTCAAGTTACTATTACAACTGTAGTGTTGATGTTACATGTCGTCTAAAAAGACTTTGTGATGGGAAAGGAGAATGTCATGTAACTGTCGATGATAATCTTTTCCTTTCAAAAAGTTGTCCTGGTTTGGACAAATATCTTTACTTTGAATATCAATGTACCTCTACCATGACGTCATTCAATGAAATTTGCAGTAAGTAGTGTGGACATGTAAACGTGCTTATGATTGATTTGAAGAACTAAATTATGTAGTTATATTTCAATATCTGCCGAACTAAGATCACTAAGGAGAATATTCATAATAAAGTAAATCATCACACCTAAATCACACATCACAACTAAAAACATCAAACCTCACATTAATTCACAATGACAATACACAATTGACACCCATACATTACAGCTTAAAACATCACACCTAAATCACACTTCACAACTAAAAACATTTCACTTCACACTAATTCGCAATGACACTACACATTTCCTGTACACACAATACAATGACGTAAGAACCAGATAACAAATACGGCTAACCTGACGTATACTCCTTATTTGACTCTGAAAATGACTACCGCTAAGGTAGTCGTAACGTCAGCCAAAAACGACAAAAACAGTCCTTCTCAGGACTATACCAACCTGGACGATCTAAATTTACAAACATGAGGATATTCATGTTCATCAACCTTGTTATGTTCATCAACTAATTATCTATTACGATTTTTTATAGTTGAAGATATCCAGTTATCACAGTCGACATTACCCAGCGAAGGTTTTGTGAAACTTTTTACCAAAGATGACGGGGATTTCGCTGTCTGTAAAAGTTCCTTGGAAAATGTCAAAGATAATGTTTGTCGTTTTCTTGGCTACCCTAAAGCCGATCAAATAGAGGGGAAGACTTCAGGTAGTTCAATGTCTAAAGCTGGAGAAGTAAACTGCAGAGCTACTGTGGCACCTTCATTTCTATGTACGGTTACACCAAGTATTGGCTGTTCCGAGTATTCAATTTTAAAATGTAAGTTTCGGGAAAGAAAAAGCTTGATATTTCAATATTTTTTTAGGATAAAAATATACTTATTTAGTAAAAACGACAAGTTTTTTTAAAATAAACATGTTTCAACATCTCGCGATGCCATCTTCAGTATTATCAGGAATAATATGTATGTGTTAAAAAAATATTAGAGTAATATGATGGAGTAATATTATAAGTGCAGAAGCATTTGATGATTTTTTTAAGTCGTGTGTGTCGTGAATGATGTCCGATGTACGGTAGTTTAAAGTAATGAGTTCTTATGGACTGTTCGTTGTTGGTGGTCGTGGTTGTTTTATCGGATGTTCTAGTGTTTGCTTTGCAGTTAGTATTAGTTTTGTCATGGAGATATCGTTTGACAGTTTTGTTGATGAAGTGTTGTGGGAAAGAGTTGCGTAATAAAATAGATGTGATGTTCTTTAGGTGTTGTAGAAAGCCGTTTTTGGTGTTGTTAATTTTGTATGGTCTGTCCACAAGTGTGCGTATTAATCCAGCCTTGTATGAAAGTGGTGTGAAACTGAAGTAGTTCGTCAATAGTCCCGTGTAGGTTGGTTTATGATACGTCGACCTTGTATACCTTACTTGTATTAAAATTCGAGTCGTACTCATTTTCGCTCAGCTTTAAATTCGGGCGATTTAATTTCGCGCACTTTGTTGACAATTATTTGCGCAGCTTTAAATTCGTGCAAGTAGTTTTATGTGCTCGTTCTTTTTGATTTGTTCAAAAGAGCTATTAATAATTAACGCATTTATATTGAGCTTTCTTTATTAAGAAATACCTCAATATTCATCAAAAAAGCGATTGGGTGGCCTCAAAAAGGGCTTCAAAATAAAGCGTGAGTTCACTATCCCAACAAGAGCTAAAAAATGTAATAAATGATATTGCCTAACAATATACTTTATAAGTCAAACAAAAGTTTAGCTACAGTTCAAATGGATCCTCTTTTCGTTGTGGTTCCTCCAATGCGGCGCTCACACCTGATCGTTGCCAACCTTTGACGACAATGTCCTTGTTCGATTGCATGTAATCATAGAACTGCACTATCCATTTTGCGTGAAGTGGTTTGAGCAGGCTAATTCTCAAATCAACAGAAACTTTATCAGGTTGAATACCTTTCTATATTTGGGCTTGGACTTGCTCTGAGTACCATGTTTGCGCCTGGTTTCGAAGGAAAGCTTTGCAAGAGCGATTGACCGTTAAATCTAAGGGCTGCAGATATGATGTCATATTATTGGGAACAGGTATCATCTTCCCATTATTGTCGGAAATGATCTTCTTTACGGCATCCGTCCTATGTGCTTTAAAAACATCGGCAATCAAAACCCATTGTTTTGTTGCGCGAAAACCAAGCTCTTCTCTAATTTGCTTAACATAGGGGATAAGAATGCGATTGACTAATTCAATTGCTGGAATTCTTTTGGAAATCTGAATTTAGGGTGACACCGGTCTGTTTTCCCCTGGTAGATTAGTTGAATTGGCAGAAACTTTCCCTACGCGGTGACTGAGAATGTTCCAGTGATTTGGCGATAATCGGCGCTATCACTGATCGGCACAAACTTCTCGTTAGTTTTGTCCATTGTATACTTGCTGATGAGGACAAACGGGAGATGGGTCTGGTCAATGTTTATAATGAGATCGTCGGGAACGTCATAAGCGGTAACCACTTCCTTAATAGAACGATGAAACGTGAAGCGAATTTCTTTTAAGAAGCCAGGTGATACGGGTTGTTTTGCAGTTGTTGCTCTACGTTTACTGAAACCCAATCTTCTGAAAATTGACTGGCATCATGTATAGTGGAATTCTAGGGTTCCTCCGTTTTCTTTCAACAAAGACCGATCATTAGCCAGTACTATCCCCTTCGCTATGGAAATAGCAATGTTGTAATTGACAACACAACCGGCCGTTCTCATGCTCTTGATCATGGCGATAACTTTCTCATCGATGTTCTCGGGTAATAAAGTTTTTGCTCCACGATGTTTTCTTGGCAATTGTTCGAGTTCAGTGCGCTCTTTTCGTTCCTTATTTTACGATTTGACAAGTCCACGAACAGTTGACTCTGGTACGGAATACGTTCTTGCCGCCGGTCTTATTCCATGCACAATTCCCCATTTTGCAATTTCTGCTCGTTGAAAAGCATCATATGCTCCATATTTGCCCCTCCTTTTCTTTCGTTCTGGAGCGTCAAGAAATAATTGCTGTTTTACTGCATTTTCTTCGGCAGCATTTAATTTGCTGTCAGACGACGCGACCGAAATATCGTCTTGGAAAACCTTTTTGAAATATTTTAACAGAGCCATGTGCGTTGATTTCCCGCACAATGTTTTCTGTTGGCAATACTTGAACGGTAGAATATGTATTGCGGAAACGTTTGACGTATTCGGCAATTAGTTAATAAGGAAGTAAAATCAGTCAGTAAAATAATAATAGAACATCATATCTAACACCTAAAGAAACGTGACTCATCATTGACTATTGTGTTGGAGAAATGGAAAGCATTTGCATCGTGTGCAATGATTTGACAAAATACACTTGTCTAAAATGCAAATCACTTGTTTGTAACCGAGGAATCAAGTGTTCAATCCCTGCATCTAAAAACTATCCTGGATGGAAAAGTGGTTCGAGTGTTGCTTTATGTGAAGCGTGCGACGCGAAAGAAAATTACGCATCTGATTGCTTGCTTCAGGAAACCCACGATTCAGGAACGGATGATTCTAATTCAGTGAAACTGAGCCCCGAGGGGACATCGTTTTCTCTGGCTTGCGCATCACGAGGTTTTCGTGAATACAGAAAAATCTGGGCTCCAAGAATCAACCAGCAGTTAATAATAAAACCAGAATCAGGAAACCTATTCGACCCGTATGCTATTGGTCTGTTTACCAAAATCAGAGGCAAGATTGAACCATTGTCACTGGTCGGACATTTGCCTCGAAAGATTTCCCGATTTTGCAAGTTCTTTTTTGAATATGGGGGCATTATAGAAGCATGTGTGTGTGACATCAAATTTCGTCGATCCCCATTACCACAAGGAGGCTTGGAGATTCCTATTACCCAAACAGTCATGCAGAACAATGCAAGTTTTAGGATACCTTACTTGTATTAAAATTCGCGCAGTACTAGAATTTGCGCAGCGCTGAGTGCGCGAATTTTAGTACTGCGCGAAATATATTCCGCGCGAATAGCTTTGTAGTGTAATATGAGACATTCATTGTTAGTTTTGCAAATCAGTTGTTTTATTAACGCATATACATATTGACATATGTTTTTAGTTGTCCTGGTAACATTAAAAATCAAAAATGTCTTCATTTTCATCCTGTACAATTTCAGTCGGGATATTCTCAGGTTCTACGTAGTATTCCGTCACGAATGCCTGCATTTTGCTGTATATCCTAAAACTTGCATTGTTCTGCATGACTGTTAGGGTAATAGGAATCTCCAAGCCTCCTTGTGGTAATGGGGATCGACGAAATTTGATGTCACACACACATGCTTCTAATTGCCCCATATTCAAAAAGAACTTGCAAAATCGGGAAATCTCGAGGCAAATGTCCGACCAGTGACAATGGTTCAATCTTGCCTCTGATTTTGGTAAACAGACCAATAGCATATGGGTCGAATAGGTTTCCTGATTCTGGTTTTATTATTAACTGCTGGTTGATTCTTGGAGCCCAGATTTTTCTGTATTCATGAAAACCTCGTGATGCGCAAGCCAGAGAAAACGATGTCCCTCGGGGCTCAGTTTCACTGAATTAGAATCATCCGTTCCTGAATCGTGGGTTTCCTGAAGCAAGCAATCAGATGCGTAATTTTCTTTCGCGTCGCACGCTTCACATAAAGCAACACTCGAACCACTTTTCCATCCAGGATAGTTTTTAGATGCAGGGATTGAACACTTGATTCCTCGGTTACAAACAAATGATTTGCATTTTAGACAAGTGTATTTTGTCAAATCATTGCACACGATGCAAATGCTTTCCATTTCTCCAACACAATAGTCAATGATGAGTCACGTTTCTTTAGGTGTTAGATATGATGTTCTATTATTATTTTACTGACTGATTTTACTTCCTTATTAACTAATTGCCGAATACGTCAAACGTTTCCGCAATACATATTCTACCGTTCAAGTATTGCCAACAGAAAACATTGTGCGGGAAATCAACGCACATGGCTCTGTTAAAATATTTCAAAAAGGTTTTCCAAGACGATATTTCGGTCGCGTCGTCTGACAGCAAATTAAATGCTGCCGAAGAAAATGCAGTAAAACAGCAATTATTTCTTGACGCTCCAGAACGAAAGGAGGGCAAATATGGAGCATATGATGCTTTTCAACGAGCAGAAATTGCAAAATGGGGAATTGTGCATGGAATAAGACCGGCGGCAAGAACGTATTCCGTACCAGAGTCAACTGTTCGTGGACTTGTCAAATCGTAAAATAAGGAACGAAAAGAGCGCACTGAACTCGAACAATTGCCAAGAAAACATCGTGGAGCAAAACTTTATTACCCGAGAACATCGATGAGAAAGTTATCGCCATGATCAAGAGCATGAGAACGGCCGGTTGTGTTGTCAATTACAACATTGCTATTTCCATAGCGAAGGGATAGTACTGGCTAATGATCGGTCTTTGTTGAAAGAAAACGGAGGAACCCTAGAATTCCACTATACATGATGCCAGTCAATTTTCAGAAGATTGGGTTTCAGTAAACGTAGAGCAACAACTGCAAAACAACCCGTATCACCTGGCTTCTTAAAGAAATTCGCTTCACGTTTCATCGTTCTATTAAGAAAGTGGTTACCGCTTATGACGTTCCCGACGATCTCATTATAAACATTGACCAGACCCATCTCCCGTTTGTCCTCATCAGCAAGTATACAATGGACAAAACTAACGAGAAATTTGTGCCAATCAGTGATAGCGCCGATTATCGCCAAATTACTGGAACATTCTCAGTCACCGCGTCGGGAAAGTTTCTGCCAATTCAACTAATCTACCAGGGGAAAACAGACCGGTGTCACCCTAAATTCAGATTTCCAAAAGAAGAATTCCAGCAATTGAATTAGTCAATCGCATTCTTATCCCCTATGTTAAGCAAATTAGAGAAGAGCTTGGTTTTCGCGCAACAAAACAATGGGTTTTGATTGCCGATGTTTTTTAAAGCACATAGGACGGATGCCGTAAAGAAGATCATTTCCGACAATAATGGGAAGATGATACCTGTTCCCAATAATATGACATCATATCTGCAGCCCTTAGATTTAACGGTCAATCGCTCTTGCAAAGCTTTCCTTCGAAACCAGGCGCAAACATGGTACTCAGAGCAAGTCCAAGCCCAAATATAGAAAGGTATTCAACCTGATAAAGTTTCTGTTGATTTGAGAATTAGCCTGCTCAAACCACTTCACGCAAAATGGATAGTGCAGTTCTATGATTACATGCAATCGAACAAGGACATTGTCGCCAAAGGTTGGCAACGATCAGGTGTGAGCGCCGCATTGGAGGAACCACAACGAAAAGAGGATCCATTTGAACTGTAGCTAAACTTTTGTTTGACTTATAAAGTATATCGTTAGGCAATATCATTTATTTACATTTTTTAGTTCTTGTTGGGATAGTGAACTCACGCTTTATTTTGAAGCCCTTTTTGAGGCCACCCAATCGCTTTTTTGATGAATATTGAGGTATTTCTTAATAAAGAGAGCTCAATATAAATGCGTTAATTATTAATAGCTCTTTTGAACAAATCAAAAAGAACGAGCACATAAAACTACTTGCGCGAATTTAAAGCTGCGCAAATAATTGTCAACAAAGTGCGCGAAATTAAATCGCCCGAATTTAAAGCTGAGCGAAAATGAGTACGATTTGAATTTTAATACAAGTATGGTATATATATTCGTCACATACATAATATTTCTTATAATACTGAAGATGACATCACGAGATGTTGGAACGTGTTTATTTTAAAAAACTTGTCGTTTTTATTAAATGTTCATTATCAATAGTGCTTTTACGCAGTTACGATAAAATAGACTACTCATCAAGTTTCAACTTCCGCTAAATGAGAAGCTCGAAATCAAGTGATATTTATAATGTTAGGAATTGTATTTGAAACGTCGAACGCTTTGTCTAAAAGAGTGCGTTTTGTTGTTTAGTCTGGTATATTTCACCGACTCGTGGCCTATCTTTGCAACCCACTTTTTTTGTTATTTGCAATTTTTCCTTTATGGAGAACCGTATGGGTTTGTGTCATTGTTTTCCATCATATCACACAATTTCATCGTTATCACAATTTTAAATTTTTTGTTGACTCTGACTATCGCTAAGGTTATCGAAACATCAGTCAACATCAATAACAACTGTCCTTCTCAGGACTCTACTAAATCGGATGATCTACATTACAAACATGTAACGATACTCCCGCGCTCAACCATCTACTCAATAAATATTTTGTCACCTCAGGTCATGTTTGTGATGATCCGCTCTTACAAAACACACAAAAGTTCCCGGACTCCTTGTTTACTGCTTCGACCCAGGACCATAGTGCAAAAGCTGCAAGAATATCCAGTGGCAGTTCATGGTGTGCTCCTGTTGCAGATGGCAATCATTATCTTCAACTGAATTTCCCAAGTCTTTATACAGTTAACGCTATCGCAGTCTTTGGAGACAGTTCAAGTTCAAGCTTTATAACTGAATATCACTTGCTTACAAACATTGACGGTGTTAACTGGAACTCTGAAAAATCCAAAAAGGTAACAAATAACTTCTCTAATTTTATTTTGTTGAATTGTACCAATACTCTATAGCAAAACTTTATTTATAATGGCTACTTTACTCAAAAATAGTAAATATAGTAAAGCAATAGATAGCAAGTTGCGAAAAACATGTCTCCTACATCGCCATCTTGCGTTTTACTTAGTTTTCTGATAATAAAGATGATTGTTAACTTCAGAAAGCAATTTTAGAGAGGACTAAAGTTTCCACTCGATAGAACATTAAGATTGTGTAGTGTCAAAAAAAATAAAAATTTAATTGAAATAACTAAACGTGCATTCAGGAAGAGTCGTTTACTTTTTAATGCGAACATTGAAAACTACAGCAAACGCAATAAAACTTTAAGAAAGTAAGGAAAACTATTACAACCTTTTCCTTGATGAATACTAGTATGAAGTAAGTGGTTTTAACTCGGGAGTATTTCGATGTAGATCGTCCAGGTTAGTAGAGTCCTGAGAAGGACTGTTGGTTTTGGTGTTGACTGACGTTATGACAACCTTAGCGGTAGTTATCTTCGACAGCCTTAGCGGTAGTCATGAATTTGTCCGAATCAACTATAGAATCATGGAAATGGAGAGCAATTCATCTAATTATTAAATAGTTAACGATAAATTTCAAAATCGATATTTAAAATATTAAAGTTAACAATGGACGCTTAAGTTAACTGAATGCTTAATGCTGATTGTTCAGGTTTGTGCATTACTGATGAGGACTGTTGGTGTCAGTGTTGACTGACGTTTTGACATACTTAGTTGTGGTCATCTTCAATTTACTTTTATTCTTATAAGAATTCTTCAATCTCCAAATTTCGTTTTGGTAACTTTACTAATTATTCATCGGCTGAAACAAGATTGTAACTTTAACAATCAGTTTGTGGCTATATGAACTAACAGATTCTATCCTTGCGATTTATCTTCAAGTTTAAATTGCAGTTTGTGGCTTTGAAAAGATATTCAGAAGATACATAAGCCACTATCCCGTTTAGAGCGTCAAACAAACCCGACTTTTCTCTAACTTTCTCGACCTTTCCCTACCCAAATACGTAAGTCATTATTTTCTCTTGTTTCAGATTATACAACAAAATTGGAATGGTTACAATGATGTAGCTATAGAGAAATTCTCTCGTGGCATTAAAGCCAAAAGCTTACGAATAGTTCCGACGAAGTCTATTGGTAAACCGTGTTTACGAATTGAAGTTTGTGGGGGAGGTAAGAAGTGAAAATATGTCTGGTTTGGTTTGCTCTGTAAAAGAGGTATTAATATACTATATATAAACTTGTTTGCTCTTAAAATTAACTAAACACGTGGAAATTTCTTATTTGAGGTATTCTATACATCTCCCAGGCAAATCTTAACATTGCGATCTCAGACTCTAGTGTTGCACTACATGTTTCTTTTTTCCACAATTTCCGAACTTTTTACTAAACATAATGATGTTCCACCACAAATCAAGAAATTCAGACGGAGTATTCTATTTTATCGCATGATTTTATCCATCTCAAAATGCAATGATACCATGTTTACCGTTGGTTTTTTTTTCTTTAATCATTCAGACATTCTACCAGACAAACCAACAAATCTTACTGCAACCAAAGTCTCATCAAGATACCTTAAGATATCATGGAAAGATCCAAAAAACACTGGTGTGAAACTTGGCACAAATCTCTTGAATCCTCTGACCAAAGTTCGATTAATAGTGATAAAGGATACTGTCATTATTTTTAACAAAACTTGGGAAGCAACTCTAATTAAACCTTATCTATTAGAGAATCTTATTCCTTGCACAACGTATGCCGTAAATGTTTCCGCTGGCAACTCTGAAGGTTTTGGTGGATCAATTACAGCTAGTTTTACCACTGCGGAAGATGGTGAGTTCGTATTATTTTTTTGTGCATTCATATTGGTTTTGTTTGCATTGATGGTTTTATTATTGTTGACGAATTTTGAAATCTCAAATCGTTTGCTGGTCGACTTATGTGTCAATCATGTTTTTCTTTTGTGTTTTATTTAAGTTAGTAATGACAGTATACTGGTTGGGATTTCTTTTTAAATTTTACTGTTTTAGATAAATCTTTAAAAAATGTGTTTTTCATTTTTGTTCAGTTCCTGAAGGTCCACCTTTAAATGTTAACATTTTCGTCATCAGCAGTTCATCGTTATCAGTCACGTGGAAGCCACCTGATGTAACCAAAAGAAACGGAAAGATAGTCAGCTACACTGTTTGTATTAAACAATGGGGGGGTGTCACGTGTTCAAAAAACTATACTACTGAGGAACAACATTTGGAAATAAATCATTTAAAACCAGCGACAAAATATTGTGTTCGTGTTTTAGCGTCTACGAAAGTGGGTCCTGGAATTTACAGCAAATTGAAGTGGACGTTCTCAAACGGACGTGAGTTATTTATCAAAATAAAAATAAGAACTTATAAAGGTAATATATTATTTTTTCACCTTTTAATTTTAGTTGCACCGGAACAGCCCAGAATTCAGACAGCGTATTCACTGACATATTTGTTGCGAATCCCCTCCATAAAATATCAGTAAGTACTTTCAAAAAATCTTCTCTCGGCCATAAACAAGAACAGTTACAAGATACTTTGAGCATTGACGTAGTGTGAACAATTTTTCTGTTGTGACGTGTGGCGGAAGGGGGCAGTCTATTTTGACTCAGAATGCGTCCCCGAGATCTAAAACTTTATAAACGAGGTCTTGATTAAGGCCCAAGCCGAAATTTTTTAAATGTAGCAGCTTTAATTACCATGTCTATACGGGATGAAGTAGTAAAACTGCAGTATTTCAAAAGCGTTTTTCCAACCTAAAATCAAACTTTGACACCCCATATTCACTTCTGCACCCCATATAAATAAAAGGGTCATTTATAGCGCATGCTGCAGATGCTTTAGAGCTTTAACGTACTTCACATCAAAAATCGCATCTTGCGTAGAAACAAGAAATTTTCTCGCATTTCAAAAAAAGTGTTCTGTTCTGGTGAATATATGAATTGAGATCTTATTAGAAATTGGTGTTGTTATTCATCACCATCTCATCTGTAGTAATGTCGATCATTTGGTTTATACTCTTGTACTGTCCCGTGCGTATATATTTTTTTTCTATGGAAGCTTTAAGTGCAAAAACTAACACGCTTTGAAGGCTTGCCTCAAGAACTCAAGGAGTGGTGCTGTATTGCTGGCTTAGGGATCCCAGCCTTGTGAAATAGGTTCCAAAAAGCCTGCCACACACTCTTTGCCGGCATATTAAGTCTGTTACCTGATTTAGAGATACGGCTATATGCAATAAGAGTTGTAAAACATATGTCGAACTTTTTGGAAACCAATCAGATGTAATTTCTCACCAGATGGTAGTTTTTTTAACTACCTCAGATCTTTCATAAAGTTAAATCATCAAATATGAGCATCTGCTTTTACCTATCACGGTGTGAATAGCCACACATTGAGCAATTTGCTAAACTCTGTTGTTTTTAAATATCTGAGGCTATTGAATGCATTTGTAATAGCTTTTTTTTTGTTAAGCTCAAAGTGTTCGCAAATTTGTCAATCCTATTTTTCAAGATTCAATTATAGCTTCAGTAACTCATAAAGACAATATTATGTCAAATTGTTGTAGTATGTGATGTTTTACAAAGTTGTGTTTTGTTTTTTTTCTTACATGATTTTTATTAGACAAAACGTAAAATTAGTTTGTCAACAGCAAAGATACTTGGATACTGAGCATACAAGAATCGTTTGAAAGTTTGTCGTCGTTAACTTGTTATAGACTAAATTGTTTCCAATTAAATTAATGCAAATGCAATTTCAAGCAGAGAATTGGATGTACATTGCTGTGAAAAGACCTCCCTCTGGAAAAACTGTCAAATCAAATTTCTACTAAAATACAGCTTTACTGCTAAAGTCAAAGTTATATTTCAAAATTTAATACACGATATATTTAAACGTTACTTCACTCTTGGCATTTACGTCGAAAACTATATTTTACTATGAAAGAAGCCCAACATTTTATTTCAAATTTTCCCTTTAAATGAAAATAACTTTGTGCATTCCACTTATAAAAATTCCTTATACTTCTCATAGTTTGGCATTCATATTTATACTCCTAGTTTTACGTACATAATGGTGACTGGCAGCGTTCGCTTTTTAACAAAGCATAGCTCCTATTTGAAGTTTGTAATATATACAAAAACTTTAAAGCATTATCTGCACTTTTGGCAAATACTCGTACAACCAATTGTAATTTTGCGTTTTAAGATAAGCAATATATTATTTGCACATTCTTTTTTTCATTTACAGATATTTTCATGTGGTAGCAATGGAGCATGACAAAAAAGAAAGTCGGTTGCCTTCAGAATTAAAAAATGATGACTTAGTTAGTTACTCAGAGGCCATATCATCCGCACAACCAAAGCCCTATATTGCTGCAGTAATTTTTCCCATTAGAAAAAACACGTCATTGTTCACACTCGGTGATGTCGCAAACACAGTTGTTACAAGAAGACGCCGCTCTGATGGTAGAAAACACCAAAATGGCCCTCTGAAGCCAGGAACTAGTTACAAAATTTTCCAGCGAGTTTTCGTAAATGATCAGGTAAACAGTGAGATCAATCTTTGTCAAATTTTACGTGCAATGTTCTCATCACTTTTTTTAATTCATTATAAGTATTTACTTCGTTTCAGGTTTCTTTTTATTCTACTGACTGGAGTCCTCCAGCAAAAACACTAGAAAACGCAGGTATAGGGCATTTTGTTAAACTCACTGTAACGGGCCATTCAATTGTCTATATATGACTCTGCTCATGTGACATAAACGATTTTCACAATTACGCAATTCTTGTGGAATACTTATATGGCAACCATTCGTAAAGTAGATCACAGCTGTGTTTTGTGCATTGCTTTGTTTAATGTCTGTCAATTTGTTTTCACTTGTCTTATGTTATTCATGTCTTACTTGTTTTATAAAACCTTAAACTTTGAAATTGACTTTTTATTGCGTTCCACTGGTGATAAGTCTTTTTTTCCTAAATTTTTTACTTTAATAACGGCGCCTCTATGTTTTTCCACTGTTTTAGACATCGCAGCCACGACAAAATGGTACATCATTTTGGTTGCCGTCATTTCAGGAATCATTCTCATCATTGTTTTCTGTTCAATTATTCTACTTTATCGTCAACGTTTTGTATTGAACAACAAAAATAAACAAAATGAACAACTTCAGTCCCCTGGTATAGAGAGCACAGACGTAAACAATGGAGCCTATGAAGAAGTGAAGTTATCCGACATATCTAAAAGAAACGATAATGAGGCTTTGACAGACTGTGATGACTTAAATTATCAAAAATTAGACGTATCAAAAATGGACAGGGAAGAAAATTATCAGTCTTTAATGGATATGCCTTACGTCAATATCAAAGATAAAATGTATCAAAACTGAAGAAAGTTCACATACATACCATTTCTCATGTAATGAATGAAAAATAATAAAAGTAAACTTTTATATGGCATGTAACTTATGTTAAGTGTCAAAGGCATGTATCACCAGCTTTAAAATTAGCGAAGGTCTTATGTTCCACTGTTCTAAAAAGCCAAGCTAGCATTTACAAAAATGGCACGATATTTTCGCTACGCTAACTACAGCAATTGCTCTCTTTTCTTAATCTTTTTACTATCTATAGAAACGATAGAGTTATTGAAGAATTAGCTTTGTCAAACATGAATTAAGAAGATGATAATGTCAGATAATGAGTCATTAACTGTAACTGCTGATCCAAGGTATTAAGAAATAGACGTATCAAAAACGAACACAGAAGATGATCATCAATCATTAATGGAGGATAACGATTCGTCTTATGTAAATGTGAAAAAAAATTGATGACAATAAATAGTGAAATGCATTAGATAGGTATACCAGCAACAAAAATAAATAAGATGAGGAAGGAAAGTGAAATGACAAAGAATGGATTCAAATGAGAGAATTTTTTAGTTTATAGTGTATCAAAACAACTAATTTTGCTAATTCGTTTACGATATTCATTCTATGGTGCGAAGCTCAACAGAATCTGAGGAATTTATCAATTACGTATGTAATGAAGATGTATTAAAAGATGCTTTTAAAAGAACAAGAAAAAAAACTTTCTGACTAAGGCTTGCTCATACACAAAGCATTAAAAAGAATGGTTTGGACCCGGGAGTATCGTTATTCATTAGATGTTTGTAGATATAGATCGTTCAGATTAATAAAGTCATGAGAAGGATTGTTGGTGTTGATTATGTCTGACGTTTAAAACCTTAGCGATGAAGACGATTACCGCTAAGGTTGTCAAAACGTCAGTCGATATAACACCAGCAGTCTTTCTCATGACTTTCCTAGCCTGGATGATCTACATCTACAATCATAGCTACGTATACACTTTTCATATGCTTACCGGACTGTTCAAACACTTCTGCAAAACAATATATTTTTTGCGGATATTAGAATTAACTAGTTTCAGTTATATGCCATATTTAGCAGCGTAGCCAGCTAGACCTTTTTACTTTCGCTTTGCGAATATTTTATGGTTCACTGACCGTGAGAACAATGTATTTTATAGTTTTCTACAATTTATAACATGCATACCTACATAAATTAATATGGGCTCCACAATTATAGCCTTGATTTCTAATCGAAGGAAATTGGACCTTTAGCAATTTAGAGGCTCCAGTCGTCTTTACAGAATCCAACATAACATCTCTCTGGCCTAAAAAATTATGGCGAAGAAGGTTCTGAAGAAAACAGACATAACTGTATTGAAAGATTTCAGCATTCTAAAGTTTTTTGAATCTTACTGCATGAGAATTGTTTTGACTCAAGAGCACAGTTTAAATTTGTACAGCCTGGCTCCATAATAAAACTTAATAGACCAGGCTGTCTTGTTGGAGGAGACACAGTAAGAGACTAATTGGGGATATACCAGAACACAAAAGACCTAGCCACGCCAAACTGTTAATGGTGAACTATTAATTTCGCGCTTTAATAAATGTGTAGTACCTCCTGGACTTATAAAACCTCATTCCTACGTGGGAATAGACGATTGTAAACATGAAGATAATCAGCAATTTCATTTTGGTTAGTACGAATTTTTACTCAGTTCGCATATATTGTTAACATACAACTAAACGCTTGTAATTAGCGTTCATGTAAACATAAATATGTTTTTTTGTTGGTGACATTTATTTATACATTTATTTTATAGTTTACCAGTTGATATTTGAAAGTTCCCATGAATGGTATGAAATTGTGGAGTTTTGCATGTTTACTTAAAGTCACGGTAGACTTCTTCACTTCTTTTTTTCAGGTACCCTTTGAATTTATCTTAAAACATGCGAACTTACATTAAGTACACCATGTCATCGGGTCCATTACTCACTGTGGATACGGTGGATAGCAAATCATTCTAACTAACGTAGAAAAATTTCAAAAGCTTTTACTTTCTGTTTTGCAGTTATCAATGTGGAATGCTGAATCCATTATGTTCCAAAAAGAGTCTGAATGTCACAATGTGTTGAATTGCTGAGAAATTCTTCAAAAAGTGCTTAAAAAATCGAGACAATAACATACAACTTTATTAATGTTTTTGTGATTTCAACCTTTTTGTCTACTTTTGTGTCCTACTTTGTGTCTTTCTTTATTTCTACGATTTGCCAACCTTTTTGTCTCCGTTTGTGTCTCTCTTTTTGTCTGCCTTTGTGTCCATCATTTTGTTCATCTGTTTTTCTACCATATTGTCTGCTTTTGTGCCTGCTTTTAAGTATACTTTATTTGTTTTTTGTTGAACTCTTTATTTACCTTTGTGTCTACTTTTGTGTCTACCTTCGTGTCTTCCATTTTATCAACCTTTTTCTCCACCAATGTGTCTACATTTATGTTTATCTGTTTGTTCTTCCTTTGTGTCTTTATCATTTTCTCTTTATCGAGGTGGTTTGTAAATTGCGATCTCATTAATTTATCATCTAGATGCGTGCCTCATAATAATAATAATGAATGTATGTATAATTTCGTACACCCATCATCTTTCCTTTGTTTTTGAAAGTCTTCTCAATGTATTCAGGTTCTTGTAAAACTGGTTGAACTCATCAATGTTCAGTTGCCGTTCAAAACACGTATCGCTATTTCACAACAATTATCCAACACTTATCCAACACATATCAAATACGTTGATCAAAAGGATATTCAATTCACACAGACTGATGTTTACTAATTTGAACTTGCAACTGCAAGATTGATTAAGTTTCAAAATGAACACAGTCGTTACAAAATGACTACACCCACGTGATTTTCCCTGCACTATGCTTGACACTTCTAGAACATAGCACTTGTAGAACACTTCTAAACTGAGTGGATACTCGCTATGAATTATGGTAAAAGTAGAATACGATTTTAAATCTACTTTGTAAAGAGCAATGATATTTACTAATATTCATCTTTACAAATAATATTTAGAGGTTTGTGTTCGCGATACCAACAGTGCTGCCATGTTTATCGTCTCCAATATCTGGTAATATCAGAGCCCTCTATAGTATAAGAGTTGGGACATCTATTGTTCTCTTATTTGTACACGCTGATTGGTCAGTTTCGGTCTTCTGATCAAAACCCGCCATTTTGGTTCCTACTTTTGAAACTTGTACTAGTGTTTACATAGCGATTATTATTAGTGTTCACAGTTTTTAAGATAAATATGGTGTTTTGCTGCGCGTATGGGTGCAATAATCGTTCATCTGACGGATACAAATGTACCGCATACCCTCAGGGTCGAGAAACAACGAAAAACGAAAGAAATGGCTTTGTGCAATAAAAAGAGAGAACTTTAACACGGCGTCGGCGAGACTTTGCGAGGCAATTATACTCTTGTTGTTCTTTAGATAATTAACATGACAATGACAATGTAAATTTTAAAATTTTTAATAAATATTTAATACAAATTTGCAATTGTGTGTTGTGATATTGTGGTACGGCTCCTTAAGGTTCACTTCGAAGCGAATCAATTCGAGCCTAAAATCCGCGGCAAACTCCGACCAAATGCAGTACCAACTCTGTTCACACATCGAAAGCCTGTGCTTCGAAGAAAGAGTCCAACTAAACGAGAATTAAAAGTGAACACTGGTCAGTACTCTAACGTTTTGGCATCTTCAGTACATTATAAATTATTGACCAATGGGAAATATACACTTGTTTACCTTCTTGTTCACGTAGTGTCACCACAACCTGTTGCCATTGAGATTGCTAGTAGCCAAGATGATAAAAATCTTGACTCTGTACAATCTACAATGACTGTGACTGAGTTGGACTTGAGCAATCCTCAGAGTAGCACAAATAGTCAAAGTCACACAAAGCTGCGGGAGGAATCGGAAATGTTGAAGAAAGAGCTGAAAAAAGCAAAAGAAAATCATAACAACCTAGCAAACAATATATCTGCTTTATTTAATGAAGACCAAATACCCTACCTTTCCAAGAAGCCTGGTTATGGAAAAGGTTAAGCAATACCATTTTTAAATTGATGAAGTATATTTATGAAATTTTGCACTTCCACACTAAAAAAACAAATATATTAAATATAACCTTAAAATTTACCTTTGATTTTTTTATTTTTAGTTTGGTGGTCAAATAACACAATTGAAAGTGCTATAAAAATAAGATATTCATGTGGAGCAACTGGATACAGCACTTTACTTGGGATGAATTATCCATTACCTTCTATAAGAACACTTAATCAACGAATGGAGCACATTGAATTTTCCTCGGGTCTTACATATGAGGTTTTTGCAGCATTGCAATTGAAGGTAAACATACAAACTAATAGAAAACACAAAAGCATTACTGTTGTGTTTTGACTTTCTAAAGTAGTTACGTAAGAATACCTACATATTGTATACTGAAGGTTAATTTGCATTGAAAGGCTTCCTCCATGGGAGATCAAGAAAGAGACTGTGTTCTTTTGCTTGACGAAATGGCAATCATTCCATCATATGATTTTGACACAAGAACTGAGTCAGTCATCGGCCATTGCACTATCTCTGGCAGCAATGAAAAGACATGCAAGACACAATGGCAACACATGCCATGGTTTTCATGTTATGTGGTTTGACAGCAAGATGGAAACAAGTTGTTGCGTACTTCTTCACTGGAAATTCATTCTTAGCTAAAGAAGTGAAAGATATTATCATTGAGATAATTCAAAAGGCAAGTGAATGCAATTTAACAGTATATAATGTCACTATGGATATGGGAGGGGGCAACCAGGCTGTTCTTCGGGAATTTGGGATCTATTGTAAAGTAAAAAGAGAAAATGATGAATTGGGACAGTGTAATGATACTGTGGAAATAGTCAATACCATTCAGCATCCTGTTATTGAGGGTCAGAGACTTACATTTATGTCTGATGTTCCACATGTTTTGAAGAATATCAGGAATCATCTGACTCGTGGACAAACATTTTTCATCCCACAGTATGCCATTGCTGAGTGCAATTTACCTACAAATGCAGTCACAATAAATCACATCAAAAAGGTGGTTAATTATGATTCTTTGCATAATCTAAAGATTGCACCACACCTGAATGAAAAATGCTGTGATCCTGGGCATTTTGAAAAAATGAAAGTGAGCATGGCTAAGAATCTACTATCCAGAAAAACATATGATTTTGACACAAGAACTGAGTCAGTCATCGGCCACATGTTTTGAAGAATATCAGGAATCATTTGACTCGTGGACAAACATTTTTCATCCCACAGTATGCCATTGCTGAGTGCAATTTACCTACAAATGCAGTCACAATAAATCACATCAAAAAGGTGGTTAATTATGATTCTTTGCATAATCTAAAGATTGCACCACACCTGAATGAAAAATGCTGTGATCCTGGGCATTTTGAAAAAATGAAAGTGAGCATGGCTAAGAATCTACTATCCAGAAAAACATATGATTTTGACACAAGAACTGAGTCAGTCATCAGAACTGAGTCAGTTTCTTGGAGAAATCTTTTCCTACATCAAAACATGAAGAAAGTCAATCGTTTTCTGCAGAACCGAGCAATTTTATTCTTGATCTCTCTACATCAGAATTGTCAAGCTTGGACCATCTTGGAGGGTATGCAGTCCACCAGTTCATCAAACTAAATGGTCACTGCCACGAATGTTTGAAAACCTTACTTGCAGTTCCTCCTAAGCCAGAATTGCATGACTATATCGTATCAATGCAAAGTCTTGTCCAGCTTCGCGACAACACTGGATCATCTCTTACATATATTTCAATTAAAACTCATCAATTAAACTCACAGAAGTCTTGCTTCACCCTAACATTTCGTACAGTTCCTTCTCCCTCCTTATACTTTGTATATGTGAACCGAAGACGAGTTTCGCCATCAAGTGTAGTCTTGCTAGCCCTCCGCAAATTAAAGTTGAAATGTAATGCTGCTAAGATGGACCTACAATGAAAATTATTAGTTAACTTTATTTCATTATCACATATTCTTTGTCTTGAATTTTATCAAACTGTGATTTTTAGTTTACCTGCAATACATGCCAGAATAAGAGAAATGAATCATTTTTGGTGCGAAATGATTAACAACTGAATGGTATCCCTCCAAACAGCTGGTCTGGGCAACAGAAGAAGCTTGTTTGATAGCTTTAACAAGTTTCTTTTTGGTAAGTGCATCTTTCAACTTTTCATAAGCAACAGATCCTAGATGAATATTATTCCAACTATTTGACTTACTTGGGTTTTTATCATGTTGCTTAGAGTTAGCGTATTAAAATCAACAAATGTAATGATATTCTTTTAAACTCAAAATATTGTACCCTTTGTTAACCACACTGTTGGCTTTAGGACATCACTGTGACTGCATCTGCTGTATATCTTATTTGGGAAGTCTTTGTGTTTATTCAAAATGTGATAGAAAAAAGATTCAAATTTGGCCCATTTAACTTCTCCAATTCCAGATAAAGTAGATGTAGCAGCCCAATAGAAATGTCGTACGCATGCTTTTCTCCATCTTCCTAGGATTTGGCAGTCTTTTTCTTTTGCCAATGTAATCATGATCTTCTGAATCTCTACGAGATAAGAATAACATGCTGTTGTAAACAATTTTCACTGATATGTAATGATGTAGGTATATATATAACTTAATACTTTTTCCAATGTGCCACAGGTCATAGAAATGCTGGATGACTGGTTTCCCCAATTTTTTGCACAGTTTTGGACATGTTTCCCTCATCCATTTGGCTATGGTGGCATGTCGATCTGATACGAATGTTGTTATTATTACGCCAGTTGCAAGGAGAAATGACATGGCCTTTTGGTGACCAAGAGCCTCCATAGCTGAACTACTCCCTGCTTGGTTTGCCTTTGACAAAAATGTGAGTGACATATGTTCAAGTATTTGGAACAAATTAATTTTATTGTTAGCCAGTAAAACTACCTGTACAACAACCAAATGAATGATTAATCCAATTGTGCAGCAAAATATTGTGTATGTGCCATACTTTGCTGAATGAGCCATACTGTCATGCCGCCCATCTCCTGACAATACAACTTCTTTTCCTTCTAGAGATTCCAATATCTTTTTTTGATAATTACGCCAATATAAAACAATGGAAGGAAACAGAAAGTGTCTCTGGTGATAATAATATGTGACTTCTCTGTAGCTGATCAACCCCATGTTCTTGAACACTTGAAGTACCTGTACAATGCCATTGGTTTATGGAGTACTGAATATCTGTGATTGAGATGATACGTTGCTACATACTTCCTCACCTTTTTTGCTGAAGCACCTGCACACAAAATAGCAAAACTAAGCAAAATATTGCCAGCTGGAAACTTTCCAAAAAGATATGGTTGACTTTTCCAGGTAAAACTTTTTTACAGTTACTGCACTGACTTTCCATAATCAACAGAGTGCCACAACAACTTGTTTTCACTTTTGGGTTGGGGTGAAAGCAATGATGACAGTGTTGAAAAAGCAAAAGTAGCTGAGAAAGGAAAACAATTCCCTTTGGCTCATCTCTTTTGTTTGTTCCTTCATTTACTCTGATAATGAAAGAAACATTACTGTAAATGCAGAAATTATCACAAAACTTGTTACACATACACGCATAGAATGCGTTATTTTAAATTACCGATTGCGAGTTAAATTATCATCATCGTCTGCAGTGTTCTCATATTCCCTCCTCAACTGCTCAGGCTCCCACAGAGGGTCTGTATTGTATGGATCTTTCTGTTTCGTTTCTTCACTATCACACATATATGTGTCCATATCCTCCATAAGTTCTTCAGAAATCTGGTCTAAATTACCACAAAGATGTAGTGGTTTTTTATACATGCTGTTTTTGTTGAAGTGTGAGCCGTTGATATTTTAACACTAGCCTTCGTTTTCATCTTGTAAATGAAAATGTTCTGTCGTAGGATTCTTTTTATCTGAAAAAACATTGAAATTTGTTTTTATTACTATAGTCTCCTTTTGTGAATTGAAACTTTAAACGTAAATAATGTATACTGTGGTCAGTTCTTTCATCGGTTACAGTTTCTCTTGTTATTAAATTAGACGTCCTTATCCATTGCGTTTGATTGATAGCTAATTTCGTGTGCAGTTTTGTAAGTTCTCCATGCAACATCTTTAATTCACTATCTTTTTTCTTGCAACTGTCACAGGACGCCGTAGCATGATCCTGAAAGTTTAAAAATGTCTACAAAAGTTATACAAAAATATATTTCAAAGATACAAACCGGTTCATTTTCTTTGTTTTCCGTGTAATTAGGTGCATCGGGCGTGATCTGTTGGTCCTGTAAGAATATTGAGGAATAGTTTTTTTACGAAGTGCACGTATGTATGAAGAGCAATTGTTGGCTTTACGTATGCATCATTCTCAAATTGGTCTGGAATTTCAGTTGTGCCTTTTTCTTCTTGAAAATAGCACGAATCTTCTTTCTTCATGCATGATACAGACACTTCATTTTGTATTTCCTTTAAAACCTTAGTATAAATGTATATTATATATTGAAAGTTTGCCTGGATGTATTATTGGTTCTCTCAAATTGTGAAAGTTTATCATCTGCAATATGTGTAAGTATATAATAGTTGTAACTTGTGCTAACCTGACGCTCTCTTGACTTTGTTGGTGTTGGCGATTTCTTCCAAATAGTAGGTACGGCACCAGGTTTGAGCCGTCTAGTCATACCACCCAAATGGAAAAAACGCTCAAAACAATCATCCGAGAAGTGATTCGAACAAATCATAAATCGAATTTCGCGCGAACTCGGATTAAAGTTTGCGCGCTTCGTCTCAACAAATTTAACCCAAATTTTTCTTAAAGACTCGTCGTTTGGGCTTTTATGTAATGAAATGCCTGTACTTCTATCAGACGTATTACTGCAATCTTGCACGACACAGCGTGTTGAAGGCATGTTAAAAAAATTGAGTTATACAACCTTTTATATCTCTATTTGTATATAGTGTTATATTGTAAACAGCCGCGAGTTAAGACTATGACGTCACAAGCACCTTCTTGAAAATTCAAATATGGCGCATTTTAATGGTGGCTCTTAAAGTACAAGTTTTATCGCTACGTAACTCGAGCAGCATTAAATACATTGCGCTAAAATTTCGTCAGAAGAGATTTTTTTACATACACTATTAATCTATGAAAAAAAACGGTAGGCAAAATTTTCGTCATAGTACCACTTTAAAACATCCGCTTTTACAAGATGTATGCATGGCCAGGAAGCTTGTATTTTCATTTTTTCCATGTTGACTTCGACATTCTTTACTTCCGCGTATGAGTCAGCGTTCTTGTAAATGCAGAACATCCTCTGACGGCCTATTTTGGTTGATACACGTCCTGAAAGCTGAAACACTACACGGCCATGAAATTCAAAGGATTCTGGTTCTCGATGCTGGTATATAACTTCGCTTTTCTCTTACAAGGTAAGAGCTTGCCATTGTTTGCTTTTGAAATCAAGGTATGCCCTTCGGGTTTTTAAATTTCATTGAAAATGAGATGGTTGTTTTTCTTGTAAGTCGATAAATTTTCGAAAGACATTTCTCGCTGACCATGTTTTAATCTATAATTATCGAAATTTAATACGATGATGTAAAAGAATGATAACATCGCTATGTGTTGATTTAATCTTTTATCGCTTTGTTTGGGTTTTTTGTTTACACTTTCATTACAAATGTATTTGCTTGACAAAATAACGTGTGCATGTTTTGTAAGGAAGTCATACCTCCTGCCTTTTTCGTAAAACAAATCAGACACGCGCAGTCTGTGTAGGTATTGTATATTTTATAACTGGGTTTTGTGGGTTGCAATTTGTCGTAGTTAATGTATTCTTTTCAATTATACGACAATTACAATTGTTTTACTGTGAAGTTTTGTATTAGAAAATACGAAAAATTATTATAAATCTGTATATAAGTTTAAAGATTGGTAATCCAGGCATTATATTGTTTAAAAATAAAAGTTTCTCCGGATTTTATAAATAATTTTATTGAGCTTTCGACTCGGTGCTTCGAGCGGTCATCAGGTCAGCACCGAAGCACCGAGTCGAAAGCGCAATAAAATTATTTATAAAATCCGGAGAAACTTTTATTTTTAAACAAATCTGTATACATATAATTTCACGAACCTTTAGAAATTTAAATTAAGTATTGATAGCTTCATGTATACAAGTTCCACCATGGTTTTTTGGCAACGTTAGAACTTGGTAACAAGATGTGCGATACCATGGCCTACTTAAGTAGGCCATGGCGATACTAGCCTATGATACCATACTTCTTGTGTGAGTCTATGCAATATAGAAGAAAAATTTGCTCTAGATTATGTCACATCCTTTTGAACTGCTGCATAGATTATACTGCTTTATACAAAATCAGGGGCATCGGAAGGAACATAAAGTCGGTTGGTGGGGCACATTTCAGAAATTATGAGTTCCAATGTCTGGAACATGTTGCCAAGTAGTCACCATTTTGAATTTTAGCAATGCCTGTCATCGAATCACTAACATAATAAACTAATGAAAAAAAAATTGCAAAAGATTCCTACATGATTCTTTAGAGTTCACTCACTGCACTGTAGATATGTATGTTTTATAGTCAAAATAGACTATTAATAAACATTCTCTTTCATATTAATTTTGCTATTTCAATACAAAGGGGGGTACTGCCTCCCTTTTGAGAAAAGTGCAAGGGCTTTACCCCCCTGGTGCCCCTATACAAAATTTAATTCACTTTGTAATTCAATTCACAAAGATCTCATTTGAAAAGATATTGCAAAATGAGTTGTATAACTACAGCTTAGTTGCCTCAGTAGTGTATCTTTTGTATATATTGCTTGTATTTGGTGAAGTTTCTTCTACCAAAAATGTTATGAATTTTATAAAAGGTGATTTCAGAACAGAGTTCTTGTCAGGTCAAATAAAGTAATATTGTCTTCACAGACCCATATTGCATAGACCTATAAGACAAGTATATGGGTTTATATGACATAGGCCATATAAGTACCCATTACATCAAAGAATTAGATAATGAAGGACTCAATAAGTAAACATCTTATCTTGAAAGTAGTCAACCGTTGTGTATAAATATATATAATATATTAATCCTAACACAGTTTTAATAATCCTAAGATGGTTGTGTATAAATATGATTCAAATGTATCTGTACAGATTCCCTGACTTGTAGTGAGTATAAAGAGCTGTAGAAAGTGTGGTAAAGGGGCTGCAACCCCCACCCCCTCAAATAATTAGGGTGGAGTGGCTAAGCTCCCTACTTCAATGTTCATAGCTACAAAGAGCTTTTCATTATTTTTCTTGAAATGAGTCACTGTTAAATTAAATTTTTCTAAAAGGTCAGAAGGCCACGCCCTGGTGCAACCTTTCAAGTTACATTCTCAACCCCCCCCCTTCCCGAATACCAAGCACATAATTATTTTAGATTTTTTGAATTTATAATTTTACGTATACTTTGTTGTTGGCAAAATTTATTTGTTCATCTTTTGTTCATCTATGGCTTATTAAAGCACCTTACAGACGAACAAATTTTCTATGACAAATAGTTGCTATCCTGTGTCAACAGGCAACAAACTTTTTACGACAAATTTTTATGTGGCGAATTTTCTTTGATCGTCTGTACGTATCAACATATCACATTGGGTTGATTTGCCGTATTATCTTAGTAGACCTTACAGACGAACAAAATCGGTCATGTTGGCAAATTTTCTATGACAAACGCATTTGTTCGAAAGATGACATGCTAGCTTTTGAACAAATGCATTTGTCAAAGAAAACTTTGCTAAAAAGTCCTGTACAGAGGGGCAAAGGACATTTGCCACATAAAAATTTGTCACAAAAGTTTTCTCGTCGGTAAGCGGCTTAATTGATATTTGTAAACTATAATTTCTTGAAATAGTGGAATTTTTGAAAAAGTTATGTCCAGTCATGTTCTACGTGTTGACTTCTTTTTTCTCAGGTACTGCTGGATTTTTCTTGAAACATGTTGAAACAGGAAAGTGTATTTATGATACAAAGAAAGTACAATCAAGACATCGACCACCATCTGGGGGAGAAAGAACACTTCACTTCTTGGAGCTATCCGACAACTGTCTTCATCCAGCATCTCAGTTCAAATATCTAGATAATGGTGCCCTATTGAAGTTGAATGTAACAGGTTGTCTTCAGGGAGTTTATAAGACTGGAAATGGTTACTATCTTGATATGTTATATATCCACACTGATACACACAATATCAATGACGTTGCTTGTGTCAGCAACAATGCTGTAACCCAAACCTCTTGGGGAGGTCTACAAATACGGTTCGACAGACATGGAAACCAATTTCGATGTTTTAGACCTCGTACTTCTAAAGAACTACTAGACAATCAAGCAGTTGATCCTTATTTGAAAATGGCTGGTTGTAATTCGGCACCAAAAAAGCAATTTCATTTCGGTAAGTGTTATTTTGTTCTTAATTCATATTTCGGTCGACCAAAATTCAAAACACATCAAAATATTTTAAATATTCACAAGTTGTTAAAAAACATGGTAAATCAGCTCAGCACACAAGAAACGGTTATATTGGTATTCAAAAAGAAGGAACTTCATTAAATAAAAATAATTTTTATTGGTACACCAACATGTCGGCCATGATGTCAGGTGACAATGTTCTTTAGACTTGTTTTTCTTGTGATTTAATTAATAAAATAGAAGAATATGATCTTCTATAGTCTTTCTAATGCAATTTCCATTGACTGGCTAAAACCAGTTCACTATGGGTGCTTTAGCATTACGGTACGAAAGGGCTACAAATAAATTGCGCTGTTTAAAACCTGCTAAACATAATTCACCGAGAATCCAACAAAGACTTGATCCATACCTTAGAATGGCGTCTTTTCAAGATGAAAAAAAACAACAAGAATATTTCATTTTGGAATATGTCAAAAATATTTGACTGTTTCTATTTTGAAATTTGAAGTGTTTGTGTCATGTTTTTGGATTCAGGTTACTGTAACAGTTTGGACGATTTTAAACACTTTTGCAATATATTTTATAGTAAAAAATGTTGAGTTTAGCGGGTTTTTCGGCCCTCTTAGTTGGTGATTTTAAGTAGATTTAACGTTTGACCGCCAGTATGAGAAAACTGACATCAAATCGGGAACTCGATTGTCAATGCTGCACTATATTTTATACAGGATCGTGTAGAAAACGGCCTATATAAGCAGATTTTTTTGTAATATATTGTTTTATAATATATTAGCAAATGAAAACAAAATACGATGTGAAATGAGACAGGAAAGCTATGCTGTTATAGTGTTTTCTAAACGCGTCTTCCCGATTTGATGGCAGATCGGGACTCTCGTCATAATTTTTGTAGTCACAGCTAAGCAAAAAATTATCAACTTTCAGCAAGAAAAAATCCAGGCACATGAAATTTTTGACATATAAATTATGTTGCAAAAATGTTCAAAATCATCTGACTTGTCTAAAAAGCCCGACTTGAAAAACAGGACATTGGCATTTTAAGCTAAGTATGATGCAGCGCTTATTAAACTTACTGTGATAAAGTGTGCAGGTAGTTACCTTCTGACCACTCTTCAGAGAATTTTCGTGTGCCTGCCACTGTCCAATGGCACTGTCTAATTCAATTTGTACCATTAAGCCACTGAGTGTAGCTATAAGTCCGCCTGTAATAGAGCCCACTTGCATGCAAGCCCATACACAAGCCCGAAGGCCAGGGTCATAACTAAGACTATTTTATTGTCAACATCAAGACTAGCACTAGGGGCACCCCAATGCATGCTAAAGCGTTTTATATGGAGTGATGGGTTTTTATGATCACAACATTTATGACATGAAAACTACTGTGTAGATAACAACAGTATAATATAGTCCATACATCGCCCCTTCCCCCTCACGTGTTTAAGCGCTCAAGTGTATAAGCTCGTGAAAAAGGGCTTACTAACTTATTTAAGCCCTGTTTTTTGACCATTTATGACTTGTTAATGTAGTGTTGTAGACATGCCACTATTAAGTTAATTAACATTTTGTACATTTTGTGTTTTCAATAGGTTCCGTGACTTGCGCTCGACAAAAAATAATGTACGCCAGCTGTCGTAAAAGACAATATATGGTAGTAAAGACTGCAGAATATCGTGGATTGAACCAAGGAAATGTTTGTGGTTCAAGTTACTATTACAACTGTAGTGTTGATGTTACGTGTCGTCTAAAAAGACTTTGTGATGGCAAACGAGAATGTAATGTAACTGTCGATGATAATCTTTTCCCTTCAAAAAGTTGTCTTGGTTTGGACAAATATCTTTACTTTGAATATCAATGTACCTCTACCATGACGTCATTCAATGAAACTTGCAGTAAGTGATGTGGACATGTAAACGTGCTTTTGATTGATTTGATGAACTAAATATGTAGTTATACTTCAATGTCTGCCAGACTAAGATCACTAAGGAGAATATTCATGTTAATCAACTTGTTATCATCAACTAATGATCTTTTACGATTTTTTATAGTTGAAGATATTCAGTTATCACAGTCGACATTACCCAGCGAAGGTTTTATGAAACTTTTTACTAAAGATGACAGGGATTTCGCTGTCTGTAAAAGTTCCTTGGAAAATGTCAAAGATAATGTTTGTCGTTTTCTTGGCTACCCTAAAGCCGATCAAATAATGGGGAAGACTTCCCGTAGTTCAATGTCTAAAGCTGGAGAAGTAAACTGCAGAGCTACTGTGGCACCTTCATTTCTATGTACGGTTACACCAAGTAGTGGCTGTTCCGAGTATTCAATTTTAAAATGTAAGTTTCGGGAAAAATAAATAAAGCTTGATATTTCAATATTTATTTAAGATAAAATCTACACATTTAATAAAAACGACAAGGTTCTTTAAACTAAACATGTTTCAACATCTCGAGATGCCATCTTCAGTATTATAAGGAATAATATGTATGTGATGAATGTATATATAAGAGTAATATGATACTGTGATACAATTTATACATTTATCAATAGATTATTATATTACAATGAAATAGTGGTTAGAAAAATGACGAAAGTATTTACAGGCTGAATACAGTGTTAAAACGAAAAACTTAAACGTTGAGATTAGGGTTAGTTTTGTTAATGTGAAGTGCTTCTTTGATTTTGAGTGCCAATGTAGTATCTGTAGTGTCGATGATTTTAAAGCAAGAGGGTGAATAGTTAGTTTTGCATGAAGTTAATTTTAAAGGTGTCGAAAGATATGTGAATTTTTATCAGTTGTGGTGTGTTCCCTGATTCTGGTGGATAAGTGACTGGAAGTTTCGCCAATATATTGGGAATTACATTCCGCACAATCGAATTGGTATACCACCATAGATTTAATAGAATCAGCGATATGATCTTTGAATGAGAAGTAGTTTTTAATTTTGAAAGAAGGGAAAATTTGTCGGATGTTAATGTCAGTGCAGAAGCATTTGATGATGTTTGTAAGTCTATGTTGTGTGTGTCGTGAATGATGTCCGATGTACGGTAGTTTAAATGAAAGAGTTTTTATGGACTGTTCGTTGTTGTTGGTCGTGATTGTTATATCGGATGTTTTAGTGTTTGCTTTGCAGGTAGTATTAGTTTTGTCATGGAGATATCGTTTGACAGTTTTGTTGATGAAGTGTAGTGGGAAAGAGTTGCGTAATAAAATAGATGTGATGTTCTTTAGGTCTTGTAGAAAGCCATTGTCGGTGTTGTTAATTTTGTATGCTCTGTCTATAAGTGTGCGTATTAATTCAGTCTTTTATGAAAGTGGTGTGAAACTGAAATAGTTCGTCAATAGTCCCGTGTAGGTTGGTTTATGATACGTCGACGTTATATAGGTGTCATGTGCTTTTGTTAATAAAATGTCTAAAAAAGGTACTTGGTTTTGTTTTTCAGTATCGAAAGAAAATTTAATGTTCGTGTGTTGTTTGTTTATGGAACTAGTTACAGTAGTTACTAGTTACACCAGAATCAGGGAACACACCACAACTAACAAAAACTCACATATCTTTCGACGCCTTTTAAAATCACCTTCTTGCAAAACTAACTATTCACCCTCTTGCTTTAAAATCATCGACACTGAAGATACTACATTCGCACTCAAAATCAAAGAAGCACTTCACATTAACAAAACTAACCCTAATCTCAACGTTCAAGTTTTTCGTTTTAACACTATATTCAGCCTGTAAATACTTTCATCCTTAATTCTATCTATTATTTCATTGTAATATAATAATGTATTCATAAGTGTATAAATTGTATCACAGTATCATATTACTATTATAAATATATTCATCACATACTTAATATTTCTTATAATACTGAAGATGACATCACGAGATGTTGAAACATGTTTATTTTAAAAAAACTTGTCGTTTTTATTAAATGCGCAATATCAATAGTGCTTTTCCACAGTTACGATAAAATAGACTACTCATCAAGTTTCAACGTCTGCTAAATGAGAAGCTCGAAATCAAGTGATATTTATAATGTTAGGAATTGTATTTGAAACGTCGAACGCTTTGTCTAAAAGAGTGTGTTTTGTTGTTTCGTCTAGTATATTTCACCCACTCATGGCCTATCTTTGCAAAACAGTTTTTTTGTTATTTGCAATTTCCCCTCATTATAGAACCGTATGGGTTTGTGTCATTGCTTTCCATCATATCAAACAATTTCAATGTTATCACAATATTAAATTTTATGTTGACTTTGACTACCGCTAAGGTTATCGAAACGTCAGTCAACATCGATAACAACAGTCCTTCTCAGGACTCTACTAAACTGGATGATCTACATTACAGACATGTAACGATACTCCTGGGTTCAAACCATCTACTCAATAATTATTTTATCACCTCAGGTCATGTTTGTGATGATCCGCTCTTACAAAACACACAAAAGTTCCCGGACTCCTTGTTTACTGCCCCGACCTCAACACAGGACCATAGTGCAAAAGCTGCAAGAATATCCAGTGGCAGTTCATGGTGTGCTCCTGCTCCTGATGGCAATCATTATCTTCAGTTGAATTTCCCAAGTCTTTATACAGTTAACGCTATCGCAATCTTTGGAGACAGTTCAAGTTCAAACTGTATAACTGAATATCACTTGCTTACTAACATTGACGGTGTTAACTGGAACTCTGAAAAGTCCAAAAAGGTAACAAAAAACTTTTCTAATTTTATTTTGTTGAATCATACCAGTATTCTATAGCAAATGCTTTAATTTTACTGGCTAGTCTAGTCAAAAATAGAAAATATAGTAAAGCGATAGATAGCAAGTTGCGAAAAACATGGCTGCCTACATTGCCTTCTCGCGTTTTACTTAGGTTTCTGACAATAAAGTTGATTGTTTACTTCAGAAAACAATTCTAGAGAGGGTTAACAACTTTAAGGTTTTGTAGCGTAAAAAAAACAAAGATTAATTGAAATAACTAAACGTGCATTCAGGAAGAGTCGTTTACTTTTCAATGCGAACATTGAAAACTACAGCATACGCAACAAAACTCTAAAAAATTAAGGAAAACTATTACAAGCTTTTTCTTTATGAGTACTAGTATGAAGTAAGTGGTTTTCACTTGGGAGTATTTCGATGTAGATCGTCCAGGTTAGTAGAGTCCTAAGAAGGACTGTTGGTTTTGGTGTTGACTGACGTTATGACAACCTTAGCGGTAGTTATCTTTGACAACCTTAGCGGTAGTCATGAATTTGTCCGAATCAACTATAGAATCATGGAAATGGAGAGCGATTCATCTAATTATTAAATAGTTAACGATAAATTTCAAAATCAATGATTAAAAAAATTAAAGTTAACAATGCACGCATAAGTTAACTGAATTCTTAATTTTCTACATATTTTTATGTTTATAGATGTATATCGTTCAGTTTAGTGCATTACAGATGAGGACTGTTGGTGTCAGTGTTGACTGACGTTTTGACATCCTTAGCGGTGGTCATCTTCAATTTACTTTTATTCTTATAAGAATTCTACTATCTCCAAATTTCGTTTTGGTAACTTTACTAATTAATCATTGGCTGAAACAAGATTGTAACTTTAACAATCAGTTTGTGGCTATATGAACAAACAGATTTCTTCCTCGCGATTTATCTTCAAGTATAAATTGCAGTTTGTGGCTTTGAAAAGATATTCAGAAGATATAAGCCACTATCTCGTTTAGAGCGTCTACAAAACCCGACTTTTCTCTAACTTTCTTGACCTTTCTCTACCCAAATACGTAAGTCATTATTTTCTCTTGTTTCAGATTATACAACGAAATTGGAATGGTTACAATGATGTAGCTATAGAGAAATTCTCTCATAGCATTAAAGCCAAAAGTTTACGAATAGTTCCGGCGAAGTCTATTGGTAAACCGTGTTTACGAATTGAAGTTTGTGGGGGAGGTAAGAAGTGAAAATATGTCTGGTTTGGTTTGCTCTGTAAAAGAGGTATTAATATACTATATATAAACTTGTTTGTTCTTAAAATTAACTAAACACGTGGAAATTTCTTATTTGGGGTATTCTATACATCTCCCATGGAAACAACAAATAAAGAAGGCAAATCTTAACATTGCGATCTCAGACTTCAGTGTTGCACTACATGTTTCGTTTTTCCACAATTTCCGAACTTTTTACTAAGCATAATGACGTTCCACTTTTTTGAAATTAATGAAATTCAGACGAATTATTCTATTTTATCACATGATTTTATCCATCTCAAAATGCAATGATACCAAGTTTACCTTTTTTTTTCTTTTATCATTCAGACATGCTACCAGACAAACCAACACATCTTACTGCGAATGAAGTTGCATCAAGATACCTCAAGATATCCTGGAAAGATCCCGAAGTCACTGCTGTGAAACTTGGCACAAATATCTTGAATCCTCTGACCAAAGTTCGATTAATAGTGCTTAAGGATACTGTCGTTATTTTTAATAAAACTTGGGAAGCAACTCTAATTAAACCTTACAAATTCGAGAGTCTCAATCCTTACACAATGTATTTAATAAATGTAACCGCTGGCAACTCTGAAGGTTTTGGTGGATCAATTACAGCTAGTTTTACCACTGCTGAAGATGGTGAGTTCATATTTTTTTTTGAGCATTCATATCGGTTTTGTTTGCATTGATGGTTTATTATCGTGCACGAATTTTGAAAACTCAAATCTTTCGCTAATCGACTCTTGCGTCAGTTTTTTTTTCTTTTGTGTTTTATTTAAGTTAGCAATGACAGTACACTGGTTAGGATTTCTTTTAAAGTGTTTTTACTGTTTTAGATAAATCTTTAAAAAATGTGTTTTTCATTTTTGTTCAGTTCCCGAAGGTCCACCTTTAAATGTTAACATTTTCGTCATCAGCAGCTCATCTTTATCAGTCACGTGGAAGCCACCTGATATAGCGAAAAGAAATGGAAAGATACTCAGTTACACTGTTTGTATGACGCAATTGGAGAGTGAAACGTGTTCAATGAACTACACCACCGCGGAACAGCATTTTCAAATAATTAATAATGTGAAGCCAGAGACAAAATATTATGTTCGCGTTTTAGCGTCTACGATAGCGGGATCTGGAATTTACAGCAATAGTACATGGGCATTTTCAAATGGATGTAAGTTGATTATCGTTAAAGTAAAGTTTTGATTAGGATGATAAATTTATTCTACTTTCAATTTTAGTGGCACCTGAACAGCCCACGACGCATGGAAATTCATTGACTTATTTGTTGCAAAATCCAACTTTGGAATATCGGTTTGTAGCTACCTCAGGGTCAATTTTTACATGCTGTAAGGAACAAAGAACTATTTTTTGAGTTTTTTTGAGCTCTTTGCTCAAGTACATATAGGACAATAGTTTTAATGAGAGGATTGGGGAGGTGTAAACAACTGCTCAGTTTTTTTTAGGCTGTGCTGAGATGTACAACATATATTTGAACAATTGACAAAAGCAGAGGGTGGGTGTGTATTTTTAAAAATGTTTTGCCTTCAATTTGCAGATATTTTTTCGTAGTCGTGATGGAATATGGCGAAGAAGAGAATCTATTGCCTTCTAACTTCAAAAACACAGACTTAGGGACTTATTCTGAGGCCATTGCCGCCGCGCAACCAACGCCGTATATTGCCGCGGTAATGTCTCGTGGAAATTTTAAGTCTGAGTTCACACTTGGGGATAGCGGAAACACAAGTCTTGCAGGGACAAGAAGACGGCGTTCTAATGGTAAAATTTATTATAATGGCCCCCTGAAGCCCAGCACTAACTACAGAATATTTCAACGCGTTTTCTTAAACGATCAGGTGCGATCTTTTCAATACCTTTTTCCCTGCATTAATAACAACATTTTTTATTCAGATATGAATGTTCACTTTGCTTCAGGGGGATTATTATTCTACTGACTGGAGTCCAGTGGTAGCAACTGCTCAAAAGCGGAAATCATCAGGTTTGTGTTTGCTTTCAATAGCTTATGTGAAATTTATGGATGTCTGAAGTGTAATGCTTCAAGATCGTTGCAAAGTTCGCTTTTACCAAGTGTCTGAAAGTTCTTCATAATGGATAGTGATCTTGGTTGATGATGCAGCAAAAATTCAACAAATAACTGACGCAAGGATTTTGTACATCTGGAGCTATTGCAGGTGCAGTTGTGGCTGCTATTTTGGTCATTATTCTCATCGTATTGGTCATTCTGTTTGTGAGAAGGTATGATTATTGCTTTGGGATTTTTAGCGTGCCAGTTTTCCAACATTAAATAATTACGTACCAGTTTACCAACATTAAATAATTACGTACCAGTTTTCCAACATTAAATAACTACATACCAGTTTTCCAACATTAAATAACTACATACCAGTTTTCCAACATTAAATAACTACGTACCAGTTTACCAACATTAAATAATTACGTACCAGTTTTCCAACATTAAATAACTACGTACCAGTTTTCCAACATTAAATAATTACGTGCCAGTTTTCCATCATTAAATAATTACGTACCAGTTTTCCAACATTAAATAACTACGTACCAGTTTTCCAACATTAAATAACTACGTACCAGTTTTCCAACATTAAATAACTACGTTCCAGTTTTCCAACATTATATAACTACGTACCAGTTTTCCAACATTAAATATTACGTACCAGTTTTCCAACATTAAATAACTACGTACCAGTTTTCCAACATTAAATAACTACTTACCAGTTTTCCATCATTAAATAACTACGTACCAGTTTTTCAACATTAAATAACTACGTACTTTTTTTCCAACATTAAATAACTACGTACCAGTTTTCCGTCTTCCAGAATTAAAAAATTTCCCCTCTTAGACGGCGTAATGGAAGGAAACGTTCTGGGTTCGTTAAAAAATCAAATGTAGAAAAGGTCAGAAATCACGGACCATCTGTAGTGAATCAAGTATTAGTTGGAAGCCATAACATTGGAAATATCAACACCCTTCATAACATCAATAGCCCAATGAACAGTTAGGATGAATCAGTTCTTGTCCTGAATGATGAGAAAGTTTACGAGAACAATGCTGGTAATCTTTATAAAATCGATTGGCAACATCAGTTTGTGTGTTGTGCATTTTAACACGTTTTTGTGGCTGTTCGTGATGACAAGTTTTTTGTCTGCAATAGCTTAGAGCTTTACTCCGTGTTACTTAGTTTCGTGTGTGTTAGTTAATTTCATGTGTCAATTTTCACGCGTGTTACTTAGTTAAATGCGTGTGAATTTCATGTGTGTTAATATTTTCATGTATGTTACTTATAGTTTTATGTGCGTTGCTTAGTTTCATGTGTGTTTTTAATCCCATGTGTGACTAAGCTATTTTCATGTGTGTTTCTTTGTTTCCTTTGTTTTAACTTAGTTTCACATCCTTAACGTCTTATAAAAGCAAAATTATTTACATTTGTTACTGAAATAGAGTAAACCCTCTTCATTGCGCTTGTAAACTTTTTAAATGACGTTCTTTGTTTAAAGATAATAACATACTTATTTTCTCACCTGTTGATGTTTTTCTTTCTGTACTCTTTAAGCTATTACCGCCAAGGATCGTCAACCAATTCCCATAGCAATGTTTGAGAGACACGTGAGGAAACTGAAGCATAACAACATGAAGGAACTAAAGTTAGAGTTCGAGGTAATGTTGCACCAGCTATCATTGAGTTAAGCGCATGCGCATTTAATTGAAAGGTTTTACTCAGATTTTCGTTGTAAGAGACGCGAGCTTATCATTGAAAGCTCGTAGTAATTGTACAAACTATATACTTACGTATATAAAAAGTACGTAAAACTGCAAGTTGTTATCACATAATATAAGAAATTTTTCCGTTGTCACAGTTAATCGTCTGTCCAATCAAACTACCCAAACTTTCACACGTTTTTTCTTGGCACTGTCACACATTTGGTGTAACACTTAAATGATTTTGATTTTCTACAGGATTTACCAAATGGTCAAATGTCCAATTGGGATGTCGCGAAGAAACCTCACAATACTTCAAAAAACCGATATGGAAACGCTGTCACATGTAAGATTATTAGCCAAGAAACTTTGAATATTCCGAAACTTGTGTGGAAGCACAGTCATGTGTGAGATTATGGACGAAAAAACTATACCATAATGACGATAACTGATTGAAATGCAGTCAGATGTAAGATTATTGACTAATAAATCTTACTACTAAAAAAACGGAGCAATATTGATTATTAGTCTAAGAACCATGCAATACTAACGAAGGCCGTTTCATTTAGACGACCATTCTCGTGTGATGCTCTCCGGAGATGAAAAAACTGACTTTATTAATGCTTCATTTGTCGACGTAAGTGTTCTACAAAGCTTTAGTTCATTACTTTAACCATATACAGGGTGTCCCCCGAAAAACGGAACCCACACAAACTAATTTTATTTGTGCCGAAGTTACTATGCACAATACTATCACTATAGCATTCACATGCTGTTGGATGAACTTGACAGTTCTGCACCTATGGGATTTGATACAGTTTGTACACAATATTACTGAAGCAAGATAAAGTACGTACTATCATACACGTACTTTCATCTTCAATTTATAGCGCAATATCTTTCTAAAATCAAAGCGACATTAACAATGTTAAAACGGCCACAACAACGTAATCGTATTTTCCGTGATTTGAATTGAACATTGACAGACTAGCGTGTAAACAAATCAACCAGGCGGAACAAATAGCTGTTACAGACTAAATTATTTTGTGCAGATTTCATTTTAATACATACATAATTATTTGTGTGGGCTCCGTTGTTTTGGCACATCCTGTATGTTGATTGTCTTTTGAATAATGTCAGTGAATGGTTGCTTACTGATATAGGGGCTCATTATATGAGCCCGCGTGTAGACGGGATTCAGTGAAGCGATAAATGATTTTGGCAAATGGAAAAGATTCAATACTCTTCATCAGATAAATCTTCTCTGGCAATTTCACAATATTCTGGTTTGATAACTACACAAAAAATTTGAAATTACAACAACCAATTTGGTTTAATTTGAGAACTACAACAGGAATGACTTGTGGTGCTTAAACAAACAGTTGTAATTTTTACGCTTGAAGTTTCCACTCCTTTCAATATCTCGAAATCATTTCACGCCTCACTGAAACTCGGCTCGCCGGGAACAGCCCCATAGACTCCAAGCAATTGTTGTTTAACGTTTCTACGTTTGTATTTCAGGGCAAAACTGACAATTATTACATCGCAACCCAAGGTATGTAAATGAGGTACTATCGCACGTGCCTTTTCTAGTTCTAAAGGATGTTTTCAATACGAAATGACTGCTTATTCGATAATTTCAAGGTGTACCACATTAGTGTCAAAAGATATGCAGTTACTTATCATTGCGTTGTTGTTAGAGATTATTTATAAGTAAAACCATGTTAGTGAGCTGACTTAGTTATCAAATGTATAAATAAAACCATGTTAGTGAGCTTACGTAGTTATCAAATGTATAAGTAAAACCATGTTAGTAAGCTTACTTAGTTATCAAATGTATAAGTAAAACCATGTTAGTGAGCGCACTTAGTTATCAAAAGTACACAAAAGCCAAGGGAGGTTGAGTAAAACTTGCATTGTAATACTATGTTTGCCAAAATGCTTTAGCCAGTGTTTCACATACTGTCAAGTATTGTGTAAATTAAATGTTTTGTGTTTTGGGAATACTATGTGGTGATTTTATTATTTCATGCCAACATTCGGGATTGTTTATAATACCACAGAATGTGGGATGTACAGAAGGGTCACTCGTATCGGAGCCTTAGATGTTTTGTCCTCGCGCATGTTGTGCCGCGCATAGGCAGCCATTATTCCAGCAAGATATTTAGGGCTTTTCACTTGTTCCCAACCACTAAAATGACCGAACGTCAATTCTTCTTTGAATTATTTCAGATTTCATTGTGAAGAAATGACGTCTTGTAATTGCAGCGGTTGGAAAAAGTGAAAACCGTAAGTATCTTGCTGGAATAATGGCGGCCGTAAGGATGCGGTGCACACCTGAGTGGCTCTTCTGTATAATTTTTATTCTGAGCTAATATTACCAGTACATGCGACTTGTAAAGACGTATTAATTGTAATACAACCTTTAAATTTGAATATTAAATTCTAATTAGGTAAATACGTACATTATTAATTCGTTAAACGAGAACGAAAGAACTTGAGGCGACCATGCATCATTATACTTTTTTCGATTTTTATCAAACTAAATTGACTTACATGCTATAACGAAATTCCTTCTCTTTGTTCTCCTTCTTTCAGGACCCAAATCCAAAACAGTCAACGACTTTTGGAGGATGATATTCGAACACAAGTGTCCAACTATTGTGATGTTGACGACATTAAAAGAAATGGGAAAGGTTTGAACAGTGTGGCCATACATATGCTTTTTTCAGTAGGTTTGGTCTGACGAGTTTAGACTCTTCCACCTGCTTTATTTAGCTTAAATGTTTAGAACAGGGGGGGAGTCATGGTTAAACTCATCCGTCCGAATCTGGCTAAAAACTTGCATACATGGTTACACTTGGTGGGACCATTGTGTCGACATAAATTATTTAATTTACATACCATAAAAGCGCCAACAGTTAGAGAATCAAACTGGCAAATAATAACTACCGAGAACTTTCATTTAATAGAATAAATATTTTCGTGTCATTTTGAATCGTGATAACGAATTAAATGATTCAAATTGTACATACATCGTGCTTTTCCTCTCAGGTGAAATGTGAAAAGTATTGGCCAGATGAATCCAAAATATACGGTACGATCCAGGTGACCATCACCAAGACAAAAGCTTTTGCTGATTACGTCTTGAGGTCTGCAGTAGTGAGTAAGGTAAGTCAGTCTTAGAGCAAACCTCCATGAGGCTGCATGTGTAAGAGGGAATTGTGGTCGGTCGTTTTTCTTTATTATTGATTTACCTGTGTATGCACTAATTAATCAGAAATTTACAAAGACGTCTTTCTTGATACTACTGAAAGACTGGGAGATAAATTGTTATGAAAGAATTTTCCTTCATTTTCAACGGTTACCTTTATTTTGCCGTTGTCCACGTTATCTTTTACCTTGTTCTGCAACAGAAGTATGGTGTGTCGACCTCATTGCTGACAGACCCATATGTAATAAGCTTGGAGTGAACCCTTAGGAATGTATCAATCACAATCTGTGCCGTACTTTGTCAAATAATCTATTCTTTGTTTTCACTTTGAAATTATTGTTAAAGGAATAATGTCGTCGGTCGTTCCACGCGACGAAGGGACAAATCGGACGCTGATGTTTTTTTTATCTTTTACCTTTAAGTTTTAGTGTTTGTTCTTATTGTCATATTATGGTGAGCATCACAAAGTTCAGCAGTTTCATTACATTTCATGGCCGGACTATGGCGTGCTTCGTCATCCAACACAACTATTGACATTCAGGAAGCATTTCAAATCTTATCACAAGACAAAAGCCGGTTTTGCCGTCATCCATTGTAGGTTAGTGATAACATGTGCCAAAACTAGACGTTAATTGAGAGGGGGTGAATAATCATGTATTCGGCTCTGTCCTGCTGATTTCTTCTGAAATTAAAATCGCTAACAAACAAAATCAGTCGGGCAGTGCTAAAGATGAATATTCACCCCCAATTAAAGTACTAGTTTCCGCCCTGCATGTGTAGTAAATCTTAAAATAATCCTCCATTGTAGGTTAGTGATGACATGTGTAGTAAATCTTAACATAATCCTCCATCGTACATTAGTGATAACATGTGTAGTTATTCTTAATATAATCCTCCATTGTTGGTTAGTGATAAGATGTGTAGTTTAAAATACTAGCCTTTCTCCTCGATGCAATAATTTTGGCTATGTTGCCAACAAGAATGGATGCAAGACGATTTTGTATCTGGGCATGCTCGTGTTTGAATTGAATTTTGTTGCTGTGTACGGTTGTCTATTTGTCTTTGCCTTTTGTCAGGAATCTTATATACTTGGCAACCAGTCTAGGATTTAGTTGAGGGAGGACGGTTTAAAATGGTGCAAACCTCTTCTCTCTGGACTATTAATAGTATATTGAAATGCATGCATTAAAAGCTTTCTAATAACATGCATGAACATAGTTTTATTGTTTACGTATTTGCTGACGTGTGAAGTCATAATAATAATGGACTCCGTCGATTTCGACGTATGAGGGTACCACGAAGTGGAACATCCTGGTTACTTACATTATAGTGAAGGCAGCTGAACAGACTACAATCGCTCGTACCCTTCACGCAACCACAACGCTGATATCAGCGTGACACAGTATGACAAGGCTGCAACATTGCAGATGCAGGTACAGTCCATCCGAGGACATAGTTTCTACCAAATTTCCCTCACATGGTTTGGTCAACCTAGGTTTAAAGACACATTGCCAAATGTGCCACGAGCCGGATTGACCCCGCGCGTCTGGCTTACAGCTCACGCCATTAACCATTCATCCACTCGCCCTTAAGACATCATAGTAAGCTACTATTGATAATACTCGAGATCTATTTGTCTGGGAAGTTCAGTGTCGTAGCAGTTCAGTGGTAGTTCAGTGTCGTAGCAGTTCAGTGGTAATTCAGTGTCGTAGCAGTTCAGTGTAAGTTTAGTGTCGTAGCAGAAGTGGAAGTTCAGTGTCGTAGCAGAAGTGGAAGCTCAGTGTCGTAGCAGTTCAGTGGAAGTTCAGTGTCGTAGCAGTTCAGTGGAAGTTCAGTGGAAGTTCAGTGTCGTAGCATTTCCGTGGAAGTTCAGTGTCGTAGCAGTTCAGTGGAAGTTCAGTGTTGGAGCAGAAGTGGAAATTGCCAAAATTTCCGCTTGGTGTGCTTCACCCAGTTTTATAAACACTTGATTTTTGTGTGGGACACGAGCTCGTTTTAGTGGATGGATAATGCATATTTTAGGTCATTGATACGTTACAGGTTGTTATCTCGTTAATACTAGTAAATTTTTCCGTTTGCTTTCTTCCTATAGCGCTGGTGTTGGTCGTACTGGAGTATTTATGGCCATAGATAAAATCCTCGATGATCTTGACGATGATTATGAGACAAATATTGATGTATTTGGCTTTGTGAAAGAGATGAGATCGCGGCGAATAAACATGGTGCAGACAGCGGTATGTCAATAAATATGTAATAAGACATCTCTACGCATACAGTACTTTAGTGGGTATCATTGTGTGTGTGGGGAGAGTGCTTATGTATAAAGGTGCTGCAGACAGCATGTCCTAATTGACCATAACAGTGACATCTCTACTTGAGATGTATTCAAGGTGTTTTTCCATGGGAGAGCAGTGGCAAAACCAGAGGAGAGCATGTTTATTTTTCCTAATTTTGCCAAATTAAGTTCCCTAAAATTTAATGTTTTAGACATAATAATTTGCATGTATGAATATTATCTTCCTTCACACACACATTATCGAGGTGACGCAATGATTTTGAACGCGATCCTAGCTCTTTATGTCTATCTACTGAGTCAAGGTGAGGCAAGGTGGCAAAAAGCAAAACTCAAAATGAAAGATAAGTTAAAAGAAGGTTTAAAAACCCAATCCTATCAAAAAATTTAAAAATTGAATCCAGACCAGCAACTTTCCAACTGTATATCAACTCTCGAAATGCAGATTTTAATCGTCAGTAGCGTAAGTTTTCAAACTTTCAAGATGGCGGCTTGCATTTCTCGTAAATATAGAATTTTGCGGAGTCACATATCTAGTAGATTTGGTTCTATGTCATTGAGCTGTAGACGCCATTAGAGAAAGGGTGCTTTATTGTGATTGAAGAGTTAAAAGATATGCGCTTTAGTTTCCATGTCAATCTTGTAGGTATAATTTATTTCACATAGAATTAACTTCCTCAAATTTACTGGTGGTGTGATCACTGTCCTTATTTGCAAATCTTTTTGACACAAAGATAATGAAGTTCTTAAGATGGCATCTGTGTTTTGAGAAACATCAATTTTTCACACGTTACTTTGTTTGTTTTTAACTATTGCTAGTACCTCATAGTTTATCATTTTGAGTAGAAAGCCATATGTTCTAACCAATCTAGGATCAGTACATGTTTATTTATGACGCCATTATGGCTCATATCCAATGTAGAGTGAATGGAATTGAGGCTATGCAAATCAAGGCCGAGATTGAACATCTATCAAAAAAGCTTGGGAATGGAAGAACTGGATTTGAAGAAATATTTGAGGTAAATAAAATGGCGATGCATAGTTTAAGATTGTACATTAGATGGTTACCTTGCATTATTTTACACTGCTGTATTTTGTTCGGACTTCTTGTTTCAAAATCACATTCCCTCTAATAAGGACGTAGGAGTGGAGTTTATAATTTTCTCAAGGAGTCAAGTTCAACTTAAATCACTCATGATGAAGACCCTTGACTTAAGTATAAATTAAGGACTTAAATTTTAACATTAGATCACTCACTCCTTATGAAGACACTACACCGGAGTATATAAATCTCGAGTTTCAACATCAGATCACTCGTAATAAAGACACTAGAGTGGAGTATGTAATATAAGAACTCAAGTTTGATCTTCAGATCACTCCTGATGAAGACTGTAGACTGGAGTACATAAAGACTCAAGTTTCAACATCAAATCATTCCTAATGAAAACACTAGACCAGAGTGTATAAATACTCTGCTTTTGGCGCTGATTTTTTTTTTTTTTTGAGGAAGACGCTAGACTTTCGTATTTTGAGGAGTTATGCTTCGTCATTTCAAAGTTGATGATTTTCTTAACAGCGTTTACAATCGGTCACAACAGAACTACCTGAAGAAGTTTGTGAAGCTGCACTTTTGAATGACAATAAGAAAAAAAATCGCAATCCTAAAATATATCCAAATATGTTAATATTTACATCAAACGTCGGACGGAGACAAAGTTAAACTTTCATTTGTACTCCGTATTGTATCTTCATTGTTTTGCATCTTGTTGCTTAAAATGTATACGTCCACTTAAGGAACAGCGGTGGATTCATAAAATTGATAAAGAGGTGGCTTCTTTTAATAATATCCTTCCCCCCTTTTCCCCTAATTATCGATCTTTGATTGTCACTGTACCGTCAGCCAGTGCGCGAGAGTTTGTTTTCTTTTTAGGTGAATCTAATCGTCCACCCCTTAGCCACCTGGATCAAATCGAGAATTCCGACTACATTAACGCGTGTTTTGTTGACGTAGGTAGCTTTACGGAACATCTGAGTGAATATTTTTACAGTATTTATTATTGTTCATGGGATATTTTAAAGCCAGTAAGCGAAACTACACGACCACACTGCAGAAAACTATATTCGTATGGTGTTTAACCTATAAAAACTGATATATTTATGAACATGTCGTGCGTTGATTTAGGGTTACCTTGGCAAGAATTATTTTATTGCCACCCAGACACCTTTAAAAGAAACCATTAACGACTTTTGGAGGATGGTTTGTCAATATAAGTCTTGCACCATCGTTATGCTGAATCAACTCAACGAAAACAACCAGGTCTGTGATGAATCGAAAGAAAAGGAATTTTGCATTGATTATATTGTGATTCATTAGGTTTGTAGCTTTCTCGATCTACTGTCTCTAAATTTAATTTTTTTTGGATGACTTGATTTGCTTTGGTATTTATCAGCAATATCCAATGTTTTGGCCTACGCAACGAGCCAGAGCTCAATCGTTTGGTAAAAGTACCGTCCTTTTGGATTCAGTTGTAACAAAAGATGACATTACCGTGAGAAAGTTTATTGTTTCGCCTACGATGGTGAGTTTTTGAGTCAGCATTAAGTTGACAAGAATTTATTTTGGGTTGATTCTTTTAGTTAAAATGGTGTTACATGTATGCATAAGACATAAGTAGCTACATGATGACTGACTGTTTAAGTTTGTATTTCTGATAGAAAACAATATGGACTAGAGTATCTAAAGACCCCACTAGTTTCAAAATAACATCATTCGTCGAGAAGACACCAGACTGGATTATTTAATGACACAGGTTTCAACATGAAATCACTACTAACGAAGGCACTAGAATGGAGTATATGAGAACTGAAGTTTTGACATCAGATCATTCTTGATTAAGACACTTGACTGGAGTGTAATAAGGACCCAACTTTTTAACATTTCCAATATTTTAAGACTAAATTATTTATTAGATTTCCTATTTTTTGTTTCTTAGGACATTAAAAATGGTCGTATGGTCCGCATGATTCACTACGTATCGTGGCCGGCTCATGACGTTCCTAAAGATGTTCACAGTATGGTGGAAATTTTATCTGAAGTTGAAGATTCACAAAGAGCTGCTGATGTAAAGGGACTTGTTATTGTTGTGTGCAGGTAAACACGTGTCACTGGAATATTAGCAGTTGATCAGCCCTGTTTCTTTGCTCTGTTTCGTTAAAATTCAGCGGTTTAAGTTCTGTGTGAAGATCTCTACAAGAAATTTGCTACAAACTCAAAAGTACCTATAATTTTATTTTTTCGCATCCAGTGATGGAGCAGGTCGATCTGGAACCTATATTGCTATCTCAAATCTTGTCGACCGAGTCAAAATTGTCCAAGCGATGGATGCGTTCCAATGTATCAAGCTGATCCGGAATAGACGCCCGCAGTTCGTCGAAACGGCGGTAAGCTTGTCTTTCTAATTCTCATGAAGCCCCAATTGCACCAGCACCGAGCGCTATTCTCATTTATGAACTATGCAACCTCTACTAAATAGACCTTAAAAAATTCGTTGTTTTGACTTTATATTTATCAACACTTTAAAACATTTACAATCATCATATGTTGTATGGATATTGCCGGATTCAACTTTATAATTCGTGCTTGTATACGAACTTTGCTCTCAGTATCGTAGCCTAACTGCATGTTTGGTCCTGCTATGTAGGTCGTCTATGTAGATCATCAGCATTATTTATTTCTTTAGAAATCTGTTGTGTAATAGTTAGTCAAAATTATTTACATATCAATACATATTTGCCTGCTGGCTACGCTAATGGCTGCTCGGCTGTTTTCGTTGCTGATTTTAGTTTGCTTTTTGAGAGTGGAAGTTTTTAGTTTGATAATAAACTGATGCCCGGATGGATAGGTGCCGACCTCCCCCCTGATATTTATTTTACTGAAGGTCTTTATGAGTTTTGATAGTTTTAGTGAAATAGAACAGCGCGTAATTTATGTAAATAGCATATTCCAGTGTCCTAGAATTCTGCCGGCGTCACTGTCTGATGGCCGTTTGTCAAACGTGGACAATATTTTCTAAACAGAATGTTTCTTGAAACTTACACATTGAATTTTGCTTAGCTCGACTAACCTTGGTGATGTACTTAGTTTTTTGATTATTTCTATAACATTTTTATCATTTAGGATCATTTCAAACTCTGCTACCATGCAGTGAACTGCGTATTGGAGTTGTTCGACGACTACTCAAATTTCTCGGAAATAGGTGGAAGTTGAATTTTTATACTGTACAAATTTCTGGAAAATTATTTTTAGATGGTTGCTGGAATGTTACATGTTCTGCAATTTTGTCTTCCATGAAAGAATAGAATTCAACATAAAAAACATTCAAATATTTACTTTAGTTTTAACGAGGAGAGCCAGGTTAAGTATCGTTATATGTTTGTAGATGTAGATCGTCCAGCCTGGTAAAATCCTGAAAAAGACTGTTGGTGTTAATGATGACTTACGTTTCGCAACGTTGACTGTAAAGATGACTACCGCTAAGGTTATCGAAACGTAAGTTAAATTCAACACCAGCAGTCCTTCTCAGGACTCTACTAAACTGGACAATTTACATGTGTAAACATGTAGAGTCCAGGTTGTTAGGAACCTGATGAGAATGAATATTTCTGAGTAGGATTTAAAAATAATATGGAACATAACATAAAATTATTAGGTTTAGCAGTGACGTAGCAAGTTTGGTCGTGTCTTAATACATAATTTTTTTTGTGTTCACTTACTGTAAAAACAATAGATTTCTAAAGAAATGAACAATGATAATGATTTAAAATTTACATAGCACGACCAAATTTGAGGGCTGACTACGAATTTTGTCAATATTTTAAATAGTACAACATCAGTAATATTTGTATTTGAATTTATTAAATTGAGTACTAAGAACAAAAGTAATAAACAAATTTCCTCCTCTGAACGATAGTGTAAAGAGTAAAACACTTCAAAGGACATTTTACAACAAAAATCCAAATTTTGAAATGAAAGCGAGATTTGACAACTACATGTCAGTATTTTCCATCTAAAGATGACATGGGATGACCTAAGGTGGAAATACATGCTGTAACATATTCACACAGATTTCTTTTTACCTCACAAGGAACTTTTCTTTTTTCTAACACTTCAATATACAAGTATTCCAGTTTACATCACAGTTTGGGGAATCCAGGATTATGGCAACCACAATTAAGCGAATCATGGTTGGATCAAGTGGACCTTCAAACTCTCGAAGATGTAAACGAGCAGTGTTCAAGCTTTGCTTCTTTTTCATGATTTGAATATTCGTTCTAAAGTTTTGTATGAAATGTTTGACTACAAAATTCACCCGTCAAAAACCAATCTACCCATGCTGACTGTATTTGTCTACCCTTTGCTCTGTTTTATAGTTAACCGTATGTTTTTGGAAGTCGTAAAGAAAACTCAAATTTCTTTAAAAAACGATATTGCGTTTCTCCCTTAATGGTTAAATCTTAGATTTTATTTATTTGGATTCGCATTGCTCCAGATATAGACACTTTGAATTTCGAGAAATGCTTGCTGTACTAAGTTTCCGATTGTTTCTCTATATTTATTTGTTTATATATATATATATAGTTTAGTAAATTAATTTTCTATAAATGTTGCTACTCGGGGAGTCTGGGTTTCATTCCAAAGCAATCTTCAGGCAATGTACCGTTTTCTAACGTTTAATACTGTTTGTTAAAAATGCTACCTTGCAGGAAAACCTTGAAGTGGCATTAGAAGTTCACAATGTATGCCAGGAAATATTTGAAATAGATAACAATATAAATGAAGTTGATTCAGAGGAAAAGGATAATATGGATGTGGTTTGTAATACCTGAGTATGCCGTTGAAATAATTAAATTAATTTTTTAAAATGTTATTTCTAAAGTAATTATATTTTGGTCTTTTTTAGGTTGATGAAGAAGAATCTGTTAACGAACAAGGAAGAGGGAGAGAAATCTCACCTGTCATATGAAAACTGCGTAGCTGAATTAAACAAAATGGCTGAATTAAACATATTCACTAACAAATCTTGTTGCTTGGCATAACCCTAGACTTCAGTCATGGCTGTCTGACAAGAGCATGAAACTTTATTCAGTAAAATACATATCACCTATTTCACAAAACGAGTTTATTAGCCATTGACAGAAGATATAAGGAATCACATCGTAAAAGATATCGTTTCATCTGAAATACACTCAGTCATGGCCGACACGTCTCCTAACAATTCAAATAAGGACCGCCTCGTAGTGGCAGTGCAATACGTTGACGAAAACAACGTGCCAAACGAGAGAATACTGGAGATGAAAGAAGCAAGGAATAAAACATGTGAAGGCCAAGCAAAAGAGATTCTTGATTCCCTTAAATCACGATTACCTATTTGTCACGATGGGTTAGTGTATCAGTCTTACGACTACACAGCTTCATTGTCTGGGACTTTTAATGGAGTTCAACAACATTTGCAGGAAATAGTTGGACGCAACATTTCATACATCCCATGTCAAGGCCATAGGTAGGTGTCAAATGCACAGTATTAAACATTGCTGTACAAATTACTTAGGCATTAACTATATCTTTTTAAGTATTTTAAAGACTAGTCTCTGCGTTCAATAATTTTTCAATTTTATGTTTTTAGATCAAACACATTCAACGAGCATTGCTCAAAGGCCTCTACATTGGTTGAGATGTATAGCTTGCTCGAAGAGCTGTATGTTTTTTTCAGTAGAAGTTGTAAACGGTTTTATGTTGCAAGAACATATGGAAAAAATTGAAAATGCTCTTAAATTGCGCAATCTCTCAAAGACGAGATGGGTGTGTTAGAAGTGAACAATTGAAGCAGTATGGAGATCTTTTGAAGCCATACGAAATGCCTTAGCGGACATAGCAAAAATTGACAACAACTCATTAACCAGAACCAAAGCAAACTCGCTCTGTAAGAAAATGGTCAAGTTTGAGTTTGTTTTTGCAGTTATGTTCATAAAGTTTATCATGAGAAAGACCAAGATCCTGACAGTACAGATGCAGAAGCCAGAGCTCAATATCCTTTATGGTCTTCAACTGATTGATGAAACTCTTAGATCACTGGAAAGAATACGGAACACTGATTCCGAATTGAATGATCAAATAGATGCAAGTGGTGAGTTTGCAAAGACTCTAGGCTCCAATCCCGAGGAAGCGTTTGCTAGAAAGAGTAATAAAAGATCAAGCAGACGTTTGGATGACAACCCTGAGACTTTGGCAATTATGTCACTAAAAACATATTATCGAAAATGCATAATTGAGGTCCTCGTTTCGCTCATCAGAGAATATAGAGATAACATAAAAAGTTGTTTGCAAGAGATAAAGCCCTTAGCTTTTTATCCTTCAGCCTCCACTGACTAAACCAAATTTTGAACAAGTTGAGAAGCTCACCGAACCTTTTCCTCCCTCAATTAGCGTAGATTGTATGTCACTGTATGCAGATCTTAAGATTTTTGTTGACTTTGTAAATGAGACAGAAGAAGAATGTAAGACAGTCCACGACGCTAGAAATATTCCAAAACGTTTATAAATGCTACAAACTTCTGTTTACTGCTGCAGTAAGTGTGGCTGATATTGAAAGATCATTCAGCAAAATGAAAATTGTAAAGAACGTTTTGCGCTCAACAATGAAATGTGAAAGGCTGGAAGAACTCATTGTCCTCTTAACCGAGAAGGATTTAACAGATACAATTCAACTGGATGTAGTACTAAAATCTTGGGCATCCAGAAAAAACCGTAAACTCAGAATAAAATTTAAGTAAAAAGCAACACCTCAAGATTACGTTGAGATGATTCTCCCTTAAGACTCTTGATATGAGAACAAATATACATTGTTTATATTTCAAAAACAGGTTTATATGTGTAATAATGTATGTGTTAGAAACCTAATCTTCAATAAGGTGTACTAATAAACCACGCATGCAATAATAGAAATGATTATAATTTGCTAGCCAAAATGATTTAAGGGGTTTTTGTGGCATTGCTCTTTGCAGGGCAAATTTTCTCCACACGTTGCGGACAAAACTTAAATCGATTCGACAAAATGCAACAATACTTGTACTCGTTGTTGTGTTGAGGAGAAAAAATATCTTTTGTAGCGATTTAAAATGTATAGTTAAATATGTCTACTTAAAGGTAAAATGAACGGCTGTTTTACTGTACTGAAAAAATAAACGACTGTGTACTTGTCTAACAAAAACAACATTTATATGACAGAGGTACTGCTTTATTAGAAAAAAGATAATTGGCCTACGTGTTCTTTGAAAGTGCATCAATATAAGGTACTAAGAGTAATATTCCTAATAGGTTAAGACACTCAACTGATTTGGATACACTAGCTTCAAAGCATTAACGCAGCATTGTCTCTCGTTCATTGCTCATCTGTTAAGTTACAACAGCAAAGCAATATGACAGTACGGCTAAAAATAGTAATACATATGCAGTTATTAACAAATAGATAACATTTAACCGTTGTCTATACAGTTATAGATACACGTGTATGACGTCAATTTTGATAAAAACTAAAAAAGTGACCACGAGCCGCCGGAGCGAGTTGTTGAAATTTTGTTATCGAAGACAAAGCTCAAATTATTGTTTGAAAGCAGAGTTTTTCTTTTCTTTTTGCTCAACTACGTTAACTGCCTCAACTAGATCTTTGTGAATATCTTATTTTCCCATTCAGGGAGGTATTGCGATAAATTTTCAAATATATCCGCCATTTGTTTGTTTTTATAAACATGAAATTTTCTGTGACGTCAATTCCGTGCTTATGTCCTCTGATAGATCATAGCTGTCGACCAATGAAATTGCTCAAATTCTTCTGGTTATTATATAATATAATATTGTCTGAAGTTATTGCATGTCTATTTGGGTTTACGGAAGATTTTCGATTCAATGTGAATAGTTTGCAAATTTTGTTGCCAAATGAGTGTCACTTTCTATTTGTTCTTTTTTTGTTGACAACCAGTCAAAGATAACTCCATTTTGTTTAGAGCATGTGGATGCACCACAATCATTGTAAACGGTACTGCCATTCAAAAGCTATGTCCCTTATTTACAATGCAAATTTCATCCAGCATGGGGGCAATTCCATAGTTCTCTTCCAGGGGATGGTTGAAACCCACCAATCGCTTTCTTTGTTTAATAATAATATGAAAATCGTTGAAGTCTTTTGTTCTTAAATCTTTCTTGTTAAGGTGAACGTAACAGATCAATTCAAACACTACGAAATATTAATTTTATATTGCTTGTATTTAATTCTTTTTATTATACGTAAACACATGCTTTCAAAGATATTAGTGATTAAATGTGTTGCAAGTCGAGGCGAAAAGTTCGGCGCAGTCCGACGGTCTTTTAATACACCTTCCCAAGGCTTAAGAGAACATTTAATCATCAATATCCCTGAAAGCATGTGTTTACTTTTTAATAACATGGTTGCAGAATCAATAATCAATGCACGAAACTCTTCCGTTTGACAATAATGAATTCAATTTTGAGCTCACTTTTTTGAATATTGACAACCATCGATGGTATTTGAAGCGCACATTGTTCATGGTCAGTCATGGAATAAACAAATTCATCCAGCTATTTAATTGTGAATTCTGTTTTTAAATTGGTTTAGTGAAGCTATGTATTATTTGCTTTGCAAATACATACTGTAGTTTGATTATTATTGAAGTTATTGATGGTTGATCACTGGTTTCCCAAGTTAGCTTGTGACGAGAAAGTTTCTGACTCGAGGGAAAGACGATTTCTTTTAACACTCAACGACATAAATAGTGAGGCAATAAGCTTGTATAACACAAGTTTTGCGATTTTGAGTGATCGAGCAGGAGGACTTTCGACTTGGTAAGCTTGCCCTCAAAGTATTGTGGTTTCAAAGGCTAAAGACATCAACTATTAAACTTTTTCATCGAGAAGAATTGACAATGATTAAGTCGTGGATAAAATGAAGATGAAGCTTAAGCAATTTTTACATGACGAAATAAAAATTTGAAACTACTAAAGTGGATGGGCTGCATGTTTACGTCACGTCTGCCATATTGGTGGTCAAACACAACAAAATTTATCAAAGCCATTGTTTGCACAGTCCGATGAGGGTGGGTCAATTTTTTTCATAATTCCGTGGAAATTGGTTTCAATTCAGGATAGGGGTATTGTTTTACTATTGATGAGGAATATTTAGTCTAAACGTCCCTAATGAATATTATGATGAGGAAATACGTCAGTAAACGTCCTTGTGATAGCAAGAGGCCACCATGTTATTATATAGTTAAATGCTGTTAACGACTTTATATTGAGAATGACCATATACAGTCTCTCAGATCTATAACAATTCAAACCTGCGTTTCATTACAGGTAATTTTACAAATAAATGGAAACAAATTTCTTAAAGCAAATAACCAGAGTTTTGAAAACAAGAAGAAAACAGAAGTGAATGCCAACTTTTCCAAAACAGCAAAGGCAAAAAAGTAAAGAAAGCTTTGTCTAAGTTTAAATAATGCTTAATAATAAACATTTTCTTAACTTTGCTTACTCGCTCTCCAGCCTGCGCGGTGTGTACATCAAGAAATATCTAATCCGATAGTTCTCTTTAAAGAATTCGCCATTGCTTAGTAAGGGACTTATAATACAACTAACTTTAATAGGGTTTTTCGAAATTTATGTGTTTCTACATGCTTTTCCCTCCACCTGTTCACATCAGAACGTAGACTTAAGAACTACACTTTACAGGTAATTAACATATTTAATTTACGAAAAGAATTGTGAAAATTGCGTAAATTAAAATGATCCTTGCTCGTTGTAGTATACTTTGAAAATATCTCACCAATTGGCTGTCCAATGCATAAACTAGAAGTTTGTTATACACCAAATTAAAGTTAATATTGAAATATTAAGTTGTTCTTAATTCTTTACCGCTGAACGCAATCACTTAAACCATTATTCATTCATAAGTCATTATTCTTGGATGCATTATTTTTTTGCCATTTCTCAATGTATTTGTGCTACTGTCGTCTTGTGAACAGACACTTGTAAGCAATAAAAGCTGGTTTCATGTTGAAAATTTTACTGTTTATTTCGGTTCGACACAAATTGGTGTAATTAGGGTTAAATTTTTTACTAATGACTGCTAGCAAAATAAATTTAGTGTCGCCAAAGTTGATATTTAAGAACTTAAAATACGCTATGGGAACAATATCATTTTTTGTCATTTAGCACTTGAAGTCATTAACCTGTTTTGCCGTGTTCATAAACTTTAGATGCATTAATTTTGCTTCGGCGCTTTGTCTAAACAGAGGTAAAATATAAAAAACGTATCTTCTATAACATCGCTTCGTCAACCAATGTATTTATCTTAATTTTTCTCTGTTTCCAAATTTTCTAACACATTTAAAGTATTATTGTTGATTCGTAAAGGGTAGGATTTGAGGCAAAAAAAAATTCAATAAAATGTTAAATAATTGTGGCAGTCGGCATAAGTGCATGTTTATATATTCTCACTACACGCTACTCCACACTGGACGAAACAGCTTTGGCAAGCAGTTACAAGTAAAACTTTGGGAAAACCATAACTCTATTGCTTGTCATACTTGTACTAATCTTTATTTTCTCTGTTTGTTTAAGGTGTATTTCTGCAGTTGCCTTATTGTGTGCGTTTTTCAAACAAAGACGTGAAGACAATAAAAGAACAAAAGGTATGATGTAATAAATTTCATTGTCTACAGTTGATGGTAAAACGAATGTTTATTTATCCTCGATTCTATGTTAGCATTTAATATACAGCAGATTTTTTCTTTGACCGAGGTTAGCAGTTTACATGATGCCGGCTTGCCCTCGAAGTATTTTGGTTTAAAAGGATGAAGACATCAACTATTAAACTTTTTCATAAATCAGAATTGACAATGATTAAGCCGTGGATAAAATGAAGATGCAAACTGAAGCAATTTTTACATGACGAAATCAAAATTTGAAAATAATAAAATGTGCATGGCCTGCATGTTTACGTCGCGGTCGCCATGTTTATGGTCAAATACAAAAAAATATTTTATTAAAGCCATTGTTTACACAGGCCGATGAGGGTGGGTCAATTTTTTTCATAATTCCGTGGAAATTGGTTGCAATCCAGGAATAGGGGTATTGTTTTATTATTGATGAAAATATTTATTCTAAAGTCCCTATTGAACGTACTGATGAGGAATACTTAGTCTAAACGTCCCTAATGAATGTACTGATGAGGAATACTTAGTCTAAGCGTCCCTAATGAAATTTTGATGAGGAAATATGTCAGTAAACGTCCCTGTGATAACAAGAGGCCACCATGTTATTACATAGTTAAATGCTGTTAATCACTTAATGTTGACAATGATCATATACAGTCTCTCAGAACTATAGCAATTCAAACCAGCGTTTCATTACATGTAGTTTTACAAATAAATGGAAACAAATTTCAAAATCGTGCCCAAAGATTTGCCAGGCGGAAAGCGAGTTTTCAATATGAACATAATAGCCCAACAAAAAACTTTTGAAAAAGCCATCACAATAATAAAATAGTGAAGGATTTATTAATAACGTTTCGTCTTTAACTTAAGACATCTTCAGATTATTTGAGCATTGCAGAGTCGAGTGATGCCTTTCCTCATATCAACGTTCGCTTTGTTTTTCGTTCTTCCATGCGTCTCTCCTCTTTCTTTCCTTTTAAAGATAGGGTTCCCAAGCTCTTGCGATCTGGTGTTGTATACTCATTTAAGTGTCGATGCTGCTCTGCATCGTATGTGGGTCAAACCACGCGTCATTTACACACCAGAATATCAGAACACTTGGGAATCTCTCCCTTAAGAGGGAAACCTTCCTTATGTCCACCACCATCTGCAGTTCTTTCTCATATAAGAAATGCATCTCCCTCTGCCGATTTTAATGACTTCTCAATTCTCTCTTCCTCCTCCGACAATTATGACCTTATGATTCATGAAAGCCTTCTTATATCCAAACTTAAACCCTCTCCTAACACCCAAGGCAACTCAATCCCCCATCACCTTCTTTAATATACCTCACATGTAATTTAACACCCTGTAATATATGCTTGTATCTAAAACCTCGTGTATATAAATTAACTCAATAATCTGAAGATGTCGTTAAAGACAAAACGTTATTAATAAATCCTTCCCTATTTTATTATTGTGATGGCTTTTTTAAAAATCTTATGTTGGGCTATTATGTCAATATTGAAACAAATTTCTTAAAGCAAATAACTAGAGTTCTGAAAACAAGAAGAAAACAGACGTGAATGCCAACTTTTCCAAAACAGGGAGGACAAAAAAGTAAAGAAAGCTTTGTCTTAGTTTAAATAGTGCTATATAATAAACATTTTCTTAACTTTGTTTACTCGCTCTATAGCCTACGCAGTCTGTACATAAAGAAATATCTAATCCGATATTTCTCTTTAAAGAATTCGCGATTGCTTAGTAAGGGCCTTACAATACAACTAACTTTAGTACGGTTTTTCGAAATTTATGTGTTTCTACATGCTTTTCCTTCGACCTGTTCACATCAGAACGTAGACTTAAGAACAATAATTTACAGCTAATTAACATAGCTAATTTACGAAGAAAATTGTAAAAATTGCCTGAATTAAAATGATTCTTGCTCGTTGTAGTATGCTTTGATAATATCCCACAAATTGCGTGTCCAATGCATAAATTAGAAGTTTGTTATATACCAAATAAAAATTAATATTGAAATATTAAATTGTTGTTCTTAATTTTTAACCGCTGAACCCAACACTTAAACCATTCTTCATTCATAAGTCATTATTCTTGGATGCATTATTTTTTTTGCCATTTCTCAATGTATTTGTGCTGCTGTCGTCTTGTGAACAGACACTTGTAAGCAATAAATAAAAGCTGGTTTCATTTTGTAAATTTTACTGTATAGTTCGGTTCGACACAAATAGGTCTATATAGGGTTAAAATTTTTCACTAATAACTGTTAGCAGAAATAAATTTAGTGTTGCCAAAGTTGATATTTAAGAACTTAAAATACGCTTTGGGAACAATATCATTTTTTGTCATTTAGCACTTGAAGTCATTAACCTGTTTTGCCGTGTTCACCCACTTTAGATGCATTAATTTTACTTCGGCGCTTCGTATAAACAGAGGTAAAATACACAAAACTTAACTTCTATAACATTGTATCGTCAACCAATGTATGTATCTTAATTTTTCTCTGTTTCCAAATTTTCTGACACATTTAAAGTATTATTGTCGACTCGTATAGGGTAGGATATGAGGCAAAACAAAATTCAATAAAATGTTAAATATTTGTGGCAGTCGGCAAAAGTGCATGCTTATATATTCTCAATACACGTCACTGCACACTGGAGGAAACAGTTTGGCCAGCAGTTACAAGTAAAACTTTGAGAAAACCACAACTCTATTGTTTACCATACTTGTACTAATCTTCATTTTCTCTGTTTGTTTAAGGTGTCTTTCTGCAGTCGCCTTATTGTGTCCTTTTTTCAATTATAAAAAGAACAAAGGTAAGATGTGATGTAGTTGATAGTAAAACAGAAGTTTCTTTATCTTCGATGCTATGTTAACATTTAATACTGCAAATTTTTTCTTCGATTGAGTTTGGAAAATAAGTGTTGCTACAAACACAGCACATTTTCCGCCCCCAATGATTTGATTCTTATAGTAAATGGAGAGAATTTCTCATTTACCACAATACCTCCATGCTTGATGTAAGATTCAAGACAGGTTATTACATTCATATTTTGACTCATATATTATCATATTTTTCGCTCAAATCTCTCAACTACATCAAAAACAAGCCTATTCCACTGTTCTATAAATAATTTTGTTCTTAATCAGAACCTGCGAAAAATTAAAATAAAATAAGCTTGAGATTTTCAATTCTTATGGAGTATTCATTGTCAGCAAGTACTCCACGAATAAATGAAAACAAAGCAATAACGAGAAGCTTGAAAAAATGTAAAAAGTTGCAAAATATTTCCACGATTTTCTGTGATATTTCTGTTAATTTTAATAAAATAAATCAAGCAATCTCAAGATAACGCTAAAACCCAAAACTACTTAGCGCCCTTAATATCGACGTTTGTTTACTTCGTGAGCTCTTCCTCCACAATAGAAAAAAAGCTCCGCGGTGCATGTAATGTAAAAATCTAACTTTCTTTTAAACATTATTTTCGGTCATTATCTTTTGAAATTTTTAATTTATTTAGTTAATTTTTCAACTGAAACTTTTTGAATTTGTAAACTGAGGAATTTGTTATAGCTGCTAGTGTGTTTAATTCGATGAATTAAAAGATTCGAATGAAAATCCAATACGGGTATAACTATAGAGACAATACGGCTAGAGCTATACAGCTATAGAGGCTGCGTTACAAGAAGTTGTAAAGTACTTTATGATTTCACAGGTTTCTTACATGTTTCATGGCATAGCGGGAAATTGAAATGAAATAGCTAATGGGAAGCTCTGCATGAAAAATTGTTATTTTCATATTTAGAAAAAGAATTTTAACATCGTCCGGGGTTCTTAATCTATTGAATTTAAAATAAATGATCTGCATTGATTTTAATTTCATCTCCCTTTCTTCGCTTCCTTTAGCGCTATCCAATAAAAATAATTTTTGTCATCGTTCAATAAATCTCTTGAAACACAAGAGGTTGAAATTTAGACTGAACCGAGTAAGAACAATAAAGCATAAACTGAAAGATAACCAAGTTTCATTATTTTAAATAATTATAACCACCTACCTGTATAACAGCTACAGTGGCTACCATTATGAGAGCCATTATGCAGCCATATGAGACTAACTCAATCCATTTCTGAACAGTTTTTCTCGCTACACAATTTTGCTGACATGAATTTTTTAGATAATGTTCATATATTGCTCAAAATTACGTTTTGATCGTGATCTGCTTGCATTACAGATGTGATTGTGACGTAGTCATTGTCGATCTAAATATAAATTTAAAGTCTTCTGTGATAACGTACATACATCCAACAATCAATTATAATTTAGAATCTTACTGTATATCCTTGGATCTAAACAATGATGAGTTTCATGATATGGTGGTTATTGTGGCTGTCATTCCGTCAAGGATTCACAATGAAAATGGGTTGGAATGAAGAACTTGAGTTTTGTGAGGAAGAATGGAAGAAATTTGTCGCGGACAAAATTGAAATCGATTCGAAATGCAACAATACTCGTACACGTTGTTTTGTTGAGGAGAAGAAATATCTTTTGGAGCGATTTAAAATGTTTAGTGAAACATGTTCACTTGAAGGTAAAGTAAACAACAGTTTAGTTTACAGTAAGTACAGAACATCAACTGGCCATGTACTTGGCAAACAATCACAACACTTATATTACTTGATACTGTTTAATTTAAATAACGCTAATTGAAACCGTGCTCTTAGAAAGTGCATTAAAGTAAGGTACCTAAAGTAAATGGTTTAAACTCATAAGGAACATGTTAAAGTACTCAACTGACTTGGATACACTAGCTTCACAGCATTGGCGCAGCATGATTTCTCATTCATTGTTCATCTGTCTAGTTACAAAAGCAAAGTCATATGACGGTATAGTCAAAAATAGTAATATATTCAGTTATATTATATAGTCTGTATAGTTATTGTCTATTTGGAATTAACGAAGACTTTCGATTCAATGTGAATAGTTTGTAACATTTTGTGGCCAAATGAGTGCCACTTTCTATTTGTTCTTTTTCTCTGGACAACTAGTTGAAGATAACTTAATTTTTGTTAGGTACGTGTGGATGCAGCCCGATTATTTTGAACTTTACTGCTAGGCTATTCCCCAAAGATTATTATTTTGCATTCGCAAAATGGAAAGAACCAGAAGACTTCACGTGTTCACATAAGTTTATAAATGAAACAATAGAAAAGTCATATCTTAAACCTTTTGGAAGATTTTGGCTTGGCCAACACAATATCCCTTACAAGTATGTTTTATACGGTGGAAAAACTCACACTTGTTATGTTGTCATCAACGTGAACCTAAGACATTTATATCGAGGTACGTGCAAGGGCAGTTAATCTTAGTTTCTCCTGTGTCAGTTTAATTTATAGTGCACTATTGTGATTATAGTGCTTCAAATTAAACTTTGGTCAAATCCATACGACACTTTGACCTAGATTTAATTCATCATGAACATCTACACTTATGGGAAATTTCTTTGCAATTGCCAAAGTAATAGAATACATGCCCAGAACAGCCAAACATGTTTAATTCGTCATACATTTATTATAATGTAAACCTGTAAAAGGGCAAAAGCTCAATTCAAGAGCGTGTCTTGGTTATTTTTGCGTTTATTGATTTTATTCAGTAACGATCACGTTGGAAGATTTTGGTTGTTTGCTAAAAGGGTGAGGGTTAGGGTTACGGTGTTCATATTTTGATTTATGCTAGTTAAGCCTTATTATTGCAACACAACGGTGATGCAATCTCGATTGTGACTCGCTAAGATCATTTAGATACTTGTCATAATATTATCACCTTCAAAGCATTGAAATTTATCCGTAGGTGACGTAATTTTCTTTATGAGACAACTGTAAATACAAGAAGTATTTTGGTGTACACCAAAAAAGTGTACAGCTTACAGAGTTCACAATTCAGTTTTACATTGAATTATTTATTCCTTGTCGTCATGTTTCTATAGTACTGATCTAAATCATCAACTTTCTGGGCACAAATTTGTATTCAGTGTTCAGATAAACTTCCTTTTCATCAAAAACGAAAGATATGGGAGTTTATGCAGTTTAAGCTTCACAGAGGAGTTGGCAAAGTTAAAAAACCAGCTTTCAGCCAACAATCTTAAAAAATTTCAAAAGAAACAGATTCCATAGGTGGCCTGACAAATCACTACAATTGTGTAAACAAACGATAACTCTCCCCCTTCCGTTGTAACAGACCGTGTGCCGTAAAATTTGTATTAATTGATTTTTTACACTTTTCAACTTGTTTGTAATATTTTTCAGTCTCCATGCCATTGAACTAAAATACATCAAACGCTACCTCAAGCAAATAATTAAAACCCTATCTTACACCACACACCCGACATTTTACCCAAAAACGCGTGTTTAGTGTTTCGAGATTCTCTCGCGTAGTAAAAATTGATGACTACGCACGGGTGTCTGGGGTAAACTTACGGCTTCAAAAAATTATTGGGGTTTTGTATTACAGGTAGCGCTCCATGTTTTTTAGTTCAATTCTCCAGGCTGGATGCCTTAAATTGTTGAATACGTCATAATTTTTAAAATGACTCTAAACAGCAATCGGCTTATTTAATTCTTTAGAAAGGTTAAATTTCAAAATGCCTTTTTTTGGAGTGTTTTTTCCTATATTGATAAAATTCAGTATGCTAAATTATTTTTGATAAAATCAGTATTTCTGATATATATATTTTGTAGAGTTTTATATTTTCAATCATTTTTATCATGTATCATTGTCCTTTTTCAGATACAAATGGATTTTTCATAAAAAATGTTCAGTCAGGAATGTGTGTTACTTCATTTGTATCTGGAACAATCTATAAAATGCGCATTTCACTTGTGTTTACAATGGATTGTTTTGACAGGAGAGTTAATTTAAAATTTTTACAATCTGGCTCAATCTTGGAGCTGTATACCAATACTTGTCTTGTGAGACATGGCAACGGAGTTCGTTTGGTGTTACCTTATCGTAATTTTATTGAAGAATGCAGAGCCATCAATGCCATAACTCAAACGACTTGGGGTGGTCTATTCTATTCACGCTATAATAAATGCATAGTAGCTACAGGAAGTCATTTCAACTATTTCGACGTGGGACTGGCCAATTGTAAAAAAGAAGAAAATCAGCGATTCAATTTTGGCAAGTTAGAATATTCATCCAGTTAGCGTATATATATTTAAACTCTAATTAAAAGCCACTGCAAGGCCACAGATATAGGAATGGCGCCCGTGAAGTCACTGCCATCACACACTATATTTTTATCAAATCAATTTTTATTTTTTATGAATTTAAAGATAAGCTTGTAAAAGTTTGTATTTACTTTTTTTGTGTGTGTCTTTAATAGGCTCAGTAACATGTGCTGGAAAAAATATATCGGACGTTAGTTGTTCTAATAATCAATATATGGTGATAAAAGTTGCAGAATATCGTGGATTGAAAAAAGGAAGCATTTGTGGCTCAAGTTTTGATTACAATTGTAGTGTCGATGTAACATGTGACCTTAAAAATTACTGTGATGGTGAAAGAAAATGTAATATAACTGTTGATGATAATCACTTTCCTTCAAATATTTGTCCTGGTTTGAAGAAATATCTTTACTTTGAATATGAATGTAACTACACAAGTATGCCATACAAAGAAATTTGCAATCGTAAGTATTATATGGGCAGATTATATTTTGCTTATGATTTAAGCGCTTCGAGACAAGTTTTGACCTAAATACGCAATGGTATGGTGTTTATTTTTAAACTATGTACGTTATCAATTTGAAAAAATTGAAACAAATTTGAATTTTTGTAGGGTGTCTTCACCAGGCGTGGTTTGTTTATGCAGTTTTATCTCGTATGGTTTAATTTTGTGTTTTTATATATTGTGACATTTAAACTTGTGTTTTCAATATTTTGCTTAAGTTTAAAGGTTTGGACAATTTTCTCTTTTTAGTTTGTTAATGCAAATATTGTTCATAGAAACATCACTTATTCCAGTCAATTTGATTAATCAAATGTATTTCTTTTTTAAAATCTTTTGGCCATTCTATGTAGGCCAAAAGTGACATTTACAATTGCATTTGTATTCATATTTTCATGACTTCACACTACAGAATTTTTACATATACTGTATATATATACAAAGATAGATTCATTACAATTCCTATGAATTGGGAAGCTAAACGCAGCGCTCACCTATAAAAAACGGTATTTGTTCTGGTTTCATTAATGATTCACATAATCACTTAGACACATTTTGTTGTGATTCGTGTTTACAACATAAGAGAAAAGTTCTCAGTTCAACTTATTTGCCTGTAGTTCATTGTCAACTTAAAGATTAAAATCAAAACAGTGCTTACCAACTTTAAGTGTAAATCTATAAGATACTGTGTCCATCAGAATGTGGAAAACATTTCTGGTTAAGTGCTTTCAAACTAAAATTTTTTTTAAGTTAATGTCACCTTCTGTGTTCTTCTGATATTCAAACTCCGTGTATATATTTTATTCATGTATTCATGGACGAGATTTGTCATATTTATGTTCATAAAACCACTTCTAAAAACACAGATTTCACTTTAAGATATGCGCCATAATCACAATTAAAGGAAAAATAATTTTGATTTGTGTAGTTATGGATGTACGCCTGTCAAAGTCGAATCTTCCGAACGAAGGTGTCGTGAATGTTATTACCAAGTTTAGAAACTTCACCATTTGCAACAAATGTCTTTTGCACAAAATAAAGACGATTATCTGTAAACAACTTCGTTATCCTACCGCAGTATCTGTGGAAGGCTCAATGTCACTATCATCTTTGATGCATCAATCGTTTATACCTGGAATTGTCAAATGTGATGCTCGAGTGAACAATTTATCTCAATGTGCTATCACTCAAAATAATGATTGCTCTCAATACTCGTACGTTACATGTAAGCATTCTCATTCAATTTTTTGAATGTATTAACGTATTGCAGGACACATTTGTATGACGTCAGATAAAGATTTTTAGCGAAGAATTTAAGGAATCAATGTGTTACTTTTGTGTTCTCAACTTACATCTGTCTATTGTTAAGCATCATGACTTACCCCTATCATCAAGACTTACATCTGACATCGTAGTGTCACTGTATTTTACGCTGACTTGGAGAATTTCACAATTCTTCTTTTACATAACAAAAGAAATATAGCATCACAAAATATAAACGATCGCTACTCTTAAATAATAAATAATTAAAACAGGATTGCTGCGAATACTGAGGATTATATTAATTTTGCTCTTGCTACTTCATTTCGTGCTTCAAAAAATGTCCAATTGTCATTCCTCTGCAATACGATTGACGTTCGCTCTTTAATGGAATTTAAATCGCTACGGTATTGTTGTTATTTGACAAGATACTTACGGTTTCTTGTCATAGCACGCTTGATTCCAACTGGAATTTAACCTTAATTAATAAAAGCATGCAAAATCAGTCGTATTCCTCCAATATATCTTGTGCTCTTTTTCTTTCTTAAGAAAACAGTTTTTGATTTTTCCAATTTTACGTGAATGGAGAACAATATGAGAGTGCACCATTGCTCTCTATCAAATCAAACCAGTTCTAATGTTATAGTGCATTTCTACCAAATCCTTTTCTATTTAAGGTCATGTTTGTGATAATCCTCTATTAAAAAACGAAGAAAAATTCCCAGATTCTTGGTTTACTGCCTTCCCAAAGAGTCGTAGTGCTGCTAAAGCAAGAATATCCAGTGGTAGTTCATGGTGTGCTCCTGCTGCTAATGGCAATCATTACCTTCAACTGAATTTTCCGAGTCTTTATACAGTTAACGTTATCACTATCTTTGGAGACAGTTCAAGTTCAAGCTTTGTAACTAAATATCAATTGCAGACAAACATTGATGGTGTGAACTGGAAATCTGAAAAATCCCAGAAGGTAACAATGGACTTATCGAATTTGTATATTATAAATTTAAAGGGAAATTTAAAAAAGGAATGAAGTTATAAACTAAGTAAACTTTTAAATTGCTATTTATATACAAACTTCTGTGCAGATGTTGATTCAGTGGTGTAGCCGGCACGCAAAATTGCTGGTTCTATGTAAATTTCAGATCATTATCATTATTCATTTCTTTAGAGATCTATTGTTTTTACAGTTAGTGAGCTCCGAGAAATTTACATATAGCACGACCAAATTTGTGGGCTAGCTACGTCACTGTGTTGATTGTCTTGGTTACTCCTGCACTACGAAGGACTCTTGCATTTGATTATAAAGTTTAAATTGTAGCTATGTGCATGATTTGAAGAGATACATAGACAATGCTTAAATCACTCTCCTCTGGACAGCGTTAAACAAACCTTTCTTTTCTCTAACCTTGCTCTGCAAATACACGAAATTCAATTTTTTTGTTTTATTCCAGATTTATCTAGGAAACAAAAATGGTTACAATGAGGCGGCTATAGAAAAGTTTTCTGGTGGCCTTAATTCCAAAGCTTTGCGAATCTTTCCATTGGAATTTGTTGGTGCTCCGTGTTTACGAATTGAAATTTGTGGTGGAGGTAAGAGGTGGAAAAAATATACCAGGTTTACTTTGCACTGTAAGCACTTAATTTTTCAATATATAAAGTTTTTTTCTCTGAGTATTAATTAAACATGAGTTAGTTGACAAAACGAACAATTTTCCATGAAGGCTGAAGTGTTAGTTTCTTTCTCTGTTGAAATAAACTTATTGAAACAAGCCTTTTCAACATGCAGTTAAGTTTAACACGTGTTATTGGAGAAAAAGCAGAACACTTATTTCACTTTTAGGGGCTACACATGGTTCAATTTGTCGACTTTTCTTTTATCGTGCAGACTTAATCCCAGACAAACCAACAGATCTCATTGCAACCAAATCTGCATCGACGTACCTCGAGATATCATGGAAACATCCCAAAAAACCTGGTGTAAAACTTGGTACAAATATCTCGAATTCTCTTACAAGATATCGATTGATTTTGCTGAAGGATACTATGATTTTTTTTGATAAAACTTTGGAGGTAACTGACAAAAAACCGTACAACATTACGAATCTTGTTCCTTACGCAACGTATAAAGTTAATGTAACCGCTGGCAATTCTGAAGGCTTTGGTAGATCAACTACAGCTACTTTTAGAACTGCTGAAGATGGTGAGTTTATATCAGTTTTTGTGTATACATATCGGCTGTTGTTGCATTGATGGTGTTATTGCCATAGACGACTTTTGAAAGCTCAAATCTTTTCTGGTCGATATTTATTTCAATCATGTTTTTTTTATACTGTATTATATTTAAGTTAACAATGACAGTGTACACTTGTTAGGACTTCTTTCTAAAGTGTATTTAATATTTTATATAAATCTTTAAAACAAATGTTCTTATTTTTGTTTAGTTCCCGAAGGTCCACCATTAAATGTTAAAATTGTCGCCTTAAGCAGTTCATCGTTATCAGTTACGTGGCAATCACCAGACAAGAACAAAACAAATGGAAAGATAGTCAATTACACTGTTTGTATTACACATTTGGAGAATGAAACCTGCTCAATGAAGTATATGATCAAGGAACAGCCTTTGAACGTAAATAATGTGAAACCAGGGACAAAATATTATGTTCGTGTTTTAGCGTCTACAATAGTGGGATCTGGATGTTACAGCAATGTTACATGGGTATTTACAAATGGATGTAAGTTGTCTATGGTTTATGCACAGGTTTGTTTAAGATGATAAATTTATTCAAGTTTATTTATTTAGTGGCACCTGACTGTCCACCAAGCAGATTGGAAATACGTTGACTTATTTGTTGCAAAATCCAAATGTGGAATATCGGTAACTATGTGTTTTACTAGAGCAAATTATTGTAAAAAAAACTTAGAGGAACTTAAAAGTATTTTTTGAGTTTTTTAGATTCATAGCTAAGTATAGGACAGTTGGTTTCATGTGGGATCGAGGTAGTCTAAATATCTATCTGGGGAAAGCTTTGATGACTCGTCGCTTTTCTTTGGCATTGCGGATGCATGCATAACATATCTTTTAACCATTAACAAAAGCATAGGTTATGCATTTGTTTTAAAAAATGTTTTGCCTTAAATTTGCAGGTATTTCTATGTAGTCGCGATGAAAAATGTCACAGAAGAGAGTCGATTACCTTCTAACTTTAACAACACAGACTTAGTGACTTATTCTAAGGCCATATCTTCCACACAACCAATGCCGTATATTGCTGCTGTAGTCTCTCGCAGAGACTTTAAGCCTAATTTTACACTTGGTGACGGTGAAACCACAACACGGCGTTCCAATGGTGAAAATTATTATAATGGCCCGCTAAAGCCTGGCACTAACTACAAAATATTTCAGCGCGTTTTCATAAATGATCAGGTGCGACCATTTATTTACGTTTTCATCAGCATTGATTGCTGCAATTTTTATTCAAATATAAATGTTCACTTCGTTTCAGGGTGATTATTATTCCACTGACTGGAGTCCAGTGGCAGCAACTGCCCAAAAGCACAAGTCTGAAAGACCCATGACGGCAACTGCCCAAAGCACAGGTTTGTGTTTGCTTTCAATAGCATAAGGAAGTTTATCGATGTCTAAAGTGCAATGATTCAAGATCTTTGCAAATTTCAGTATAGTAAAATGCCTGAAAATTTTTAACGATGAATATAGATTTTTTTTATGATACAACCGATTTAATTCCTACAAATAACTGCCTTAGTGATTTTGTGTACGTCTTCTCTAATTTCATTGCGTTCCAAACCTAATTTATACCATAAATAAATCATGAATAGTTAACAGGGATGAATACATGAGGTGTGAGAGCGGTTACACCCTCAGCTTTACAAAAATGATCGCTGAAAGACAATATTTGTTGGTAATGTTATGATTTGTCATTCAATTTTATCTTGTAGACGGTGGAAAAATTGGAGCCATTGCTGGTGCATTTGTAGCTGCAATTTTGCTCATTATTTTTGTCATATTGGTCATTCTTTTTGTTAGGATCAATTCAAACTCTGCTACAGAGCAGTGAACTGCGTATTGTAGTTATTTGACGGCTACTAAAAGTTCTCAAAAATGGGTGAAGTTGAATTTTTTTCGCGAAATTATTAGACGTTTTCTGAAATTTAACGTACTATAGAAGAATATGATTAAACATAGAATTTTATTTCCTTTTTAACTATAAGAGTGAACGAGAGTGAATGATTCTGAAGAGTATTTGAAAACAATTTGGAAGATAACATCAAATTTTTAGGCTAAGGATGTAGTCAATATTTGAAATAGGATAATAGTCGTAATACTTTTTATCTAAGTACATTAAATAAGAAATAAAGTTAAATTACAAACAAACAGTGGCGTAGCATGCTCAGTAATTTATTTAAATAAGTTGGGGGGAACGGGATTTTCATTCATTCATAATTTTGGAGTCAATGGAATATATATGAATATGTACACACTTTTATCTCATTAATTTACCTGACGTAAGAAACAGGAAGTTTAAGTGGATGGAGTTTACTTTGTTACCAACTTTGTTAGTTTAAAAAAAATGGTACTTTAAAGCATGTTCTTGTCCTTTCTTGTTTTCTCTTCTTATCGTCATGATGATATTCATAGGAAATATCCAAAATTTTCGAGTTAATTGAATTTCCTGATTATTTGATTGGGAGAGGTCTAGGAACGTTGTACTTCGGCTGTAGATTAGTGATTAATGAAGAAGAAGAAATGGGTTGGAAGCAACGACTTGAGATTTTAAAAAACATGAAAAATGTATGTGTCAGAAAGCTCTTTTGCAAAACACATCCTTTGGTTGAATACTAAGGAAGGAGTTTAGTGGTTTCAAGTTAATTGGTGACAATCAAATCGTTAATGAATAGTCTGTTGTTAACCCCACTCCTCGTTTTTCTACACCGGCCTGAACACCACCGAAAGATTGATCTTTGTTTAAACGCGGCCATAACTTACATTTGCTTTCGAATTATGCTTTATTTACGGAAAATATCAACTTGTTACAAATACAGAAATACGGGGCAATTACAATGAAACATGAAGGTATCTTTATGAGGGTATTGAAGACTTGTGCGAAACAGCGAATCAGGCTATAGTCACGGAAAACATAGCCGACCCTCTCACGAGTATCTCCGGTTAATACGTCACATATACAGATGACCGGAAGTGCCCGGTGTTTCAACTTTCAAGAGTCCACTGATAACCTGGACAAGCAGACAATTTCAAATAGTACAAAATAAAACAAATTCCGAAGAGGGACATCTCGTTTTCTTGATATTCAAGATATTTCAAGAGTTTGAAACAAAATAATGTGTAATATTTCTTCTTTATTCCAAAGACATCATCAGACTTATGGTTTACAATGCAAGCTGTGAAACGTTTATATTTTTAGAAGCGGAAATGACAGTTTTGTAATTAGAGAACTATAAGACTAAACAATATACTTATATTAAAATAGCGATAGTTTCTTACAAGCTTTAAGACCACTATTAAGTTGTGGCATATTGCGTTATATCAAAAGTGCTTCTAAGATGAGAAGTTGATTAGGATTATTATTTTTACAGTGATATAAGATTTTGGTGTTACTAGGAATCAAATTACAAGGATTGAGTGGCACGCGTGTGAGATCGGGGTCGGAATCAACGTCAGGAAGTGAGAAAAGGTGTGAGATGTAGTTGGCGTCAGGACAAATGAGTAAATGTTGTGAGATGGCACTAGAATTATTGTAATTAGTAGCATGTTGGGTTAGTCTTGTGTGTAGGTTTCGTTCAGTTTTGCCAATGTATGTATGACCACAGCCTGGACATTTAAATTCATATATAACATTGGCTTTAGAGAGTTCCGGAATTTTGTCCTTTTTGGGACAGAAAATTGATGTCTTTTTTGTTTCATATATAACTATAGGTTTGATTGGAATTGTTAAGCTACGGCGAATTTTACGAAGAAGATTGAAAACCAAACGTTCACCCTGTTTGCCTAGATATGGTATTCTAATGAAAATTTTACGAAGGTCATTCTCAGTATTTTGTTTAGAGGGGCTATTTTTAGCTATGACTTTGGTTTTGGGTTTATGAATCAAGAATTTCCGGACTGTAAGAGGGAAACCATTCCATGACATAAAAGACTGGAGTGTTTGAATTTGTTTTTTGAATAATGTTTGGTTAGAACAAATCTTAAATGCGCGAAAATATAGAGAATTGATCCAAGTAGTTTTGCGGTTGAAAGGTTCGAAACTTGAAAAATGTGTATATTGGCCAGTATGAGTTGTGTTACGGAATATATCAATGTCATTATTGGTTATTTTGAGGTCTAGAAAGTGGACATGATATCAGAGTTCAGAGTTCACTGATATCATGTAATATGGCGGATTGTAAAAATTTGAATAGTGTTGTGGTTACGGACGAAATTTTGTCCTCAAAAAGGTATTGATTTCTTTTTCAATATCAATTGTCAGTTCTTAAATATTTCATTACATTTTTGTTCACCTTGTACTCCGTTGGCGTTAAGTTGACCTTTTAAATTGACAATCATTAGTCACCATGTTTCGAGACAAAGCCGATTAACAAAGACTCAGCAGACGGCAAAATATTCTCCTTGCCTGTATTTGTGTGCTATTCGTATTCTTCCTTTTGTTTTTTGCTTTTGCGGCAACCAATTTAATTAAAACTATACGCTACAGTTTCTTCAAATGACCATTATTGAAATAAATTAAGAAACAAAGACTGACAAGCAATTTGATATTCTGATGAAAATGTTTTTCGTTTGATATTTGATGTCTTCAAGAAGTGAATTTCAGCATTGAGTTTCCAAATTGAAAAAGAACCTTAGATGTGCCTCGACTCTTTTAAAGATGCAAATAAAACGTGTCTTTTGTCTGATTTATATGGACATGATATTTGTATGTTTGACTTCAAAATTATGAGTCGCTTTTATCTGATGTGATTCATGTTGAAAGTTTTAACATATTTTTTGTCTGGTGTTTAGTGTCTTGTGGAAATTGATTTGATGTCGAAACTTATGTCCTTATCTGTTCCAGTTTTAGTGTAGATTAATCTTTTGTATAAGTACAATGGCTATGTTGCTATATATAAAAATTAAAGTGTTTATCACAAGAAATCCAGTGCAGTGTCTTCATTCCGTACTATTCACTATTGTAAAGTATTTTGTGGGATTTGTCACTTGTTACTCCTGCTACACCATTCGCTCATCATTAAAGAAGATTGAACATTCAATTATGCTATTTTACTTAACAGTAGAACAGTAGAATGTTCATTAACTTGAAGGAAGAATCAAGAGCTCCAGTAGACAATAGCATTTATTTATACTGCTTAGCAATTGTTAATATTCAAGTCGCATTAATGCGCATTCAATTCAAGAAAAGTTTGAATCATTTGGATAAGAAGACATTTAAATAAACAAATGTATGTGTTGTGCAACAGATAGTCTGTTGTAACAGGTATAAACTGTTGCACATTTGTCTGTTGCAATCGACACTGCACTTGTCTTTTCTTACAAAGTATGTATATACATGTTGTGCTATTGATTGTTAACTGCTGCTCTTGATGATAAATATTCTACAGCACTATTGATAAGTCAAAACATGTAATTGAATGTCCCATGTTATTAGATGATGAGCAAATGATATATTTAAAGAAATGTGTTAAATTAGTTTTTTCTGGTTATTTGCTAGGAATAAATGTCTGCAAAGCAGAAAAGATGAGGAAACGCCAATTCAAATTCTATAGAGAAGCCGCCAAATCCATATCATCTTGCACAGCCCATGTTAAGGAAACTTTCATATTGGCAAGTCATAGCTTACGGAACAATCTTAAATATTCACAGCAGATTTGTGCCTCCTGTTTTGTTGGCAAATGGATTATATTATTCGGTGATTTAGGAAAATTGAGAGGAGAATTTTTATACATATACCATATATATTATTTTGCAAAAAGTTATAATTCAAATTGCTGGCATCCTTTGTAACAAATAGAATTCTCTTTTTGGTGAATCGAATATGGCAACAGACTCATGGAAGGTACTTTCTACTGCATTTTGTTTATGAAAAATTTTATTTTCATTTCATTTTGCTGTTAATGTTTTCTTACTAATTAGAAACATTTTATAACCTTTTCTTACGAATTAGAAACATTCTATAATGTTTTCCTACTAATTAGAAACATTCTATAATGTTTTCCTGCTAATTAGAAATATTCTATAATGTTTTCATCCTAATTAGAAACATTCTATAATGTTTTCATACTAATGAGAAACATTCTATAATGTTTTCCTGCTAATTAGAAACATTCTATAACGTTTTCTTACTGCTTAGCAACATTCTATGATGTTTTCTTACTAATTAGAAACATTCTATAATGTTTTCTTACTACTTAGAAACATTCTATAATGTTTTCCTACTAATTAGAAACATTCCATAATGTTTTCTTACCATTTAGAAACATTCTCTAATGTTTTCCTACTAATTAGAAACATTCTATGATGTTTCTTACTAATTAGAAACATTCTATAATGTTTTCCTTCTAATTAGAAACATTCTATAATGTTTTCTTACTAATTAGAAACATTCTATAATGTTTTCCTTCTAATTAGAAACATTCTATGATGTTTCATACTAATCAGTAACATTCTATGTTTTTTTATTACTTAGAAACATTCTATGTGAACAAATGGGTCTCAGGACTATGGTATCAGTGACCATTACCTTTCAAATGGTGTTCATGTATTACGCAGGGAAACAGGTGTCATTGAAAAACTTTGTGTAAGTTATTTTAACAATTCAAAGTCAGTTTAGTATGAAGTTTTTATGCACTGGTCAATGACGCAAATTAATGCAAAAAAAATGCTTCTCAACTATTTTAAATTTTTTCATGAATCATTATGTGACATTGAGAAATGCAAAAGTTTGCTGCAGATTCTGCTGTTTTTACAAAGGTGTTGCTTTTGTAGAGTAAGTTCCTGCAAGATAAAAATAAGATGTACCATGAAGAAGTAAAAAATTTATCTATGACCAAAAAACTTGTTTCTTAATACACAAAAAATATGCCACTTTGTTCATCTAAAAGTGCATTTGCATGTTATCTAAAAGTTTGCCAAAAATGTTTTTGATTTCAATAGCCTTTGTAGAGGAAGCTGTAACCGTTTTGCACTGTTTGGTGTCTTATTTTTTGTTCTGGTCAATTTGAAAAGCTTTCTATTGAAACTTCCATTCGGACTGTTTGCCTCAGTAATCTATGTTTTAAGATGATTCTAATGATATCAAGTCCCATTATTAGACATAGGCACTTAAATCCAACATGACAGATATTGTATCAATTTTTAACCTAAGATTGTGAAAATACCTTCAACTGAAATTCACATGCCCATTTGTGTAATATTAATTTGCACCCTGTTTGAGGACATTAAACCACATTTGAATTCATTCAACCACTTTTGTATACATTCAACCACATTTGAAAACATTCATCTACTTTTGTGTACATTCATCTACTTTTGTGTACATTCAAACACATTTGAATACATTCATGTACATTTGAATACATTCATCTATTTTTGTGTACATTCAAACACATTTGAATACATTCATCTACATTTAACTGTATTGAACTACATTTGACAGGCAATGAGTGCTTTGACATCAACATGTGTATTAATGACATCTTCCATAATGTTATTGATTTATATTCCCTAAGTTCATCCCCTCTAAAAGCACATTCAGTCTTTCTTCCATAACATTTATGCATGTTATTTTGCAGCAAAGTCATGGCTTTATTGAGTGTGCTGAACAGGATCTTCGAGTGTTCTTTCATTACAGTCAGTACAAAGGACATTCAAGTGATGTTTGTGATGTCGTTTTCAAAGAGTTTCATCATTATTTTTGTAGCAGTTATTTCGCAATGGCGAGTCCGAATGTGGTCGCGTTAGTTATGAAGTGAACGGAGTAAGTACTGTTTGAACTTCTTCCATTTTTTATGCATCTTTACGTGGCTAACTTTAATACTTAAGTCATTTTTTTTTTGGGGGGGGGTTTGAGAGGGAAGAATTAATGTAAAATATAAAAAGTATCAGACTTTTTACTCAACATCTTTTATCGAACATTTATCGATTGGACAATAAATACAGAACACACCAGTGAGCAAAATATTTGCTTTGGGCAAAAATCCCAAAATTGAAACAGGCAAGAAAGTTAGTGACGTGACGATAAGGGAAAGTGTAGATTACTGCCTGCAAATTATTGACATTTCCTTCATCTTTTTTGAAACAGGTTTTCGCCTTTATTTCCTTTTTGGATTTTGATCGTTCCCTCCACACCATAGAAAGCTTGCTATGCATATTTTGTTGTATCAAATTAATTTTTTAGGCTTTTTGACATGCATACCTACATAAACATTGACTACCCTCCCCACCCACACAATTATCGAGGCTATTATAGCGCCACTGTATTCTCGCCCTTGATGAGTTAAAATTATACTGCAATATGGGATTAGGATTAGATCAGATGAGATGAGTTTAAGATCATTGCATGATACAGGTATGCACTGTCAGGGGTGGAGTTTAAGATCATTGCATGATACAGGTATGCACTGTCATGGGGGTAGAGTTTAAGTTCATTGCATAATACAGGTTTTCACGGTCAGGGGTGTTTAAAATCATTGCATTATACAGGTCTGCACAGTCAGGGGGTGGAGTTTAAGATCATTGCATAATACAGGTTTGCACGGTCAGGGGTGGTGCTTAAAATCATTGCATAGTAAATGTCTGCATGATCAGGGGGTGGAGTTTAAGATCATTGCATAATACAGGTCTGCACGGTTAGGGGGTGGATCTTTATGATTCTAACCGTTGCTCCTTTTCTTTCAGGAATTGTTTTTTCTTCCACATTATCAAGCTGGTGTTTTATCAAAGTCTCACATCTACAAAGGTGATACTGTGTCTTTTTACAACCTGGAAAACAAAAGGTAAATTATATTCTTTGCTATAGGGTCGAAAGCTTGTACTGTTTCTCTAGATTGTATCACGTGCTTCATCACGTGCATTACATTACCTGGTTAAGCAATGGATGTGCAGTCTTAAGAATGTTCTTTCTATTTTAGTGAAGTCTTCTTATTTCTACGTTTTGATGTGCTACCTTACACAAGAAAACGCTTTGGTTAAGGCCTATAACATGAACGTTAGTTTATTATTTACACGAACCATGTCCAATTTACGAACCATGTCCAAATTGTTGTTTGTTTGATGCACTGCTACAGTTCATAAACCTCTATAGAAATGGACAATGCTGTGCCGTGGAGTTGTTGCTGCTCGAAGCTTCGCCTCCTGTTTACATTCAAGGAATTGTCTGCTCGCTCAAGGAATCGTTTGGCTTCATCGACAAAGCTGACAAAGTGAACGAGGTTTGTGTTTGGGCCGTTGCAGTTACTCCCTGTAGATCAATATTGATAATTTATTGTTTAATACAAAATGAGTTTTATCAGTTATTTCACTTATGTATACGATTTAATCATTTGTAATTTATTTTACACACGATGACTTCTGATTGGCATTTGACGTAGGATTGGAAATTTTCGGTTTGCAAACGAGTCACTTGACTCAACTGACGTATTTTTGTGATAGCTGACGACAGCAACAAGTTTATTTTGGAAATTCGTAAAATTTGTTTGTAAAACTTGGCCAATTATTTTGTCAGGTAAAGAAGTTGCAGTCTCAGTGGAGCGTCTACCAGAAGGTACAGTGAAATTTGATGATGTGAGCAAAGACACATTTCAAGGCACCATCGAGAAAGTACATTGTCGGACAAAAGACAGGAACCGTTAAATGGTGTGATATTGTACAACACAAGCAATGGTAGTTCACAGCTGCCATATTGGGAGAAAGATGTCTTGGGGGAGTTCACCGTCTTGACTTGGGATGTTGTTGGTTTTAAAATTGCTACAGGTAAATATGGTTTGTTGTAACTGTTGGTATTATTTCAACATGTGCAAGATCAATGAGAGATGATTTTGTTGATCTAGGCAAAGAACAGTTTAAGACTGATCGAGATATCTAGTATATATAGATTAAGTTACGATCGATAAACCAGGCGGGAATCGTACACAAAATATAAATATTAAATTACTAAGTTAGTTTAGTTTAGGTTTCCTTCTGTAGTAACACTGGATCAATAAGAGCTTATCTTTACTGGATCTTTAGGAAGAAGAGTTTAGAACTGGTAGAGATATCTAACATAAATAAACTTGGTTTAGTTCAGGTTTGTTTCTGTGGTAACACTGGATCAACAAGATATGATCTTAACAGGATCATAAGAAAGAAATGTTTAGGACTGATAGAGATATTTAGTAAAAATAAAGTTAATTTAGTTTAGGTTTCCTTTAGTAGTAACACTGGATCAATAAGATATGATCTTTACTGGATCATTAGAAAGAAAAGTTTAGAACTGATAGAGATATTTAGTCTAAAGAAAGTTAGTTTAGTTTAGGTCTCTTTCTGTAGTAACACTGGATCAATAAGAGATGATCTTTACAGTAAGAACTGTTCAGAACTGATAGAGATATCTAGTATAAATAAAGTTAGATCAGTTTAAGTTTCCTTCTGAAATATTAGCCTAATTGGTTGTTAAAATCTAGGCTCTTATATGCGAAGTTTTACTTTACTCCCTACTTCAGCCTCATATCTAATCTTAGTTAAAAATAACTTTGTTACTGTATCAATGGGTGCTCCATCGACAATTCTTTAAAACTTCAACTAGTCTTCCTTTGCTTAGACATTACCATGTTTAGACGTAACATTTTGTTTTAAACTAGTTCGTTGTCCTCCTTATTGTTGATTGAATGTTTTGGTGTCTTGTTTAACGTGCATGTCTGAACATTTGAAGAAAATACCAAACGTGTATGTACCTTACAGAATAACCAAGCTTTCAAACTATAGTTTTCCTTTGAGTGTTTCCAGTTGGATATGGCAACATGTCCATACAATGAAAGAAATTAACAAATTTTCCCCGTGATATCGGGAATATAAAGCACGCTTCCATCTTTTAGCCACTCAGTCAAGCGATACATCTCTCTTCTTTTCGTGCAGATCGGCGTGATTCTTTAAGAAGAGCAACGGAAATTCATCTCATCAAGGAAGTGGAAAGCAGCAATGGATGCAATGTCAGAGAAAGAGTAAGTTTTAATTCTCCTTTACATTTGCTAGTGTTTAGACTGCGTCAGGGAAGCCATTTCTCCAAATTTAGCGGAAATTGTTTACCTTTATCACTGTGATGGCAAATGTTAATTGCTTTGAGTTATGGTTTGACCTTTACCCCCCTTGTCTATGAGTATTTTATCCACCCACCCCTTCAAAAAAATTTACTCCCCCTCAAGTTGTACCTCCCTAAAAAGGTATATTTGCTCTCGAAGCATTCAAATTTTCACAATGTATCGTTGAAAATAAAGGTTTGTCCAAAGTATTTTACTGTCTTCAATCTCTCGTATTTTGTTGGGAAATCTTTTATTTTCGACAACGCTAACATTGTGCTCCATGGGCATTGGCATTGAGCATTTTTATTTTATGAATGTCGATGTATAACTATAGTGCACAGAATCGACTTAAACTCGTTTCCTTCTTAAAGATCTATGTTAAAAATTATTGTTGGTGTAATGTGATTAAATGCATGATTTTTTGTTCCTTGTTAGGGGTTTGTTTCGGCTTTGAAAGACGGCTATGGCTTCATTCAGTGTTGTGATAGGGATACATTAAATGCATGATTTTTGTTCCTTGTTAGGGGTTTGTTTCGGCTTTGAAAGACGGCTATGGCTTCATTCAGTGTTGTGATATGGATACATTAAATGCATAATTTTTTTTCCTTGTTAGGGATTTGTTTCGGCTTTAAAAGACGGCTATGGCTTCATTCAGTGTTGTGATAGGGATACATTAAATGCATGATTTTTGTTTCTTGTTAGGGGTTTGTTTCGGCTTTGAAAGACGGCTATGGCTTCATTCAGTGTTGTGATAGGGATACATTAAATGCATAATTTTTTTCCTTGTTAGGGGTTTGTTTCGGCTTTAAAAGACGGCTATGGCTTCATTCAGTGTTGTGATAGGGATACATTAAATGCATAATTTTTGTTTCTTGTTAGGGGTTTGTTTCGGCTTTGAAAGACGGCTATGGCTTCATTCAGTGTTGTGATAGGGATACATTAAATGCATGATTTTTGTTTCTTGTTAGGGTTTGTTTCGGCTTTGAAAGACGGCTATGGCTTCATTCAGTGTTGTGATAGGGATACATTAAATGCATAATTTTTTTCCTTGTTAGGGGTTTGTTTCGGCTTTGAAAGACGGCTATGGTTTCATTCAGTGTTGTGATAGGGATACATTAAATGCATGATTTTTGTTTCTTGTTAGGAGTTTGTTTCGGCTTTGAAAGACGGCTATGGCTTCATTCAGTGTTGTGATAGGGATACATTAAATGCATGATTTTTGTTTCTTGTTAGGAGTTTGTTTCGGCTTTGAAAGACGGCTATGGTTTCATTCAGTGTTGTGATAGGGATACATTAAATGCATAATTTTTGTTTCTTGTTAGGGATTTGTTTCGGCTTTGAAAGACGGCTATGGTTTCATTCAGTGTTGTGATAGGGATACATTAAATGCATGATTTTTGTTTCTTGTTAGGGATTTGTTTCGGCTTTGAAAGACGGCTATGGCTTCATTCAGTGTTGTGATAGGGATACATTAAATGCATGATTTTTGTTTCTTGTTAGGGTTTGTTTCGGCTTTGAAAGACGGCTATGGCTTCATTCAGTGTTGTGATAGGGATACATTAAATGCAATTTTTTTTCCTTGTTAGGGGTTTGTTTCGGCTTTAAAGACGGCTATGGCTTCATTCAGTGTTGTGATAGGGATACATTAAATGCATAATTTTTGTTTCTTGTTAGGGTTTGTTTCGGCTTTGAAAGACGGCTATGGCTTCATTCAGTGTTGTGATAGGGATGCATTAAATGCATGATTTTTGTTTCTTGTTAGGGGTTTATTTCGGCTTTGAAAGACGGCTATGGCTTCATTCAGTGTTGTGATAGGGATACATTAAATGCATAATTTTTTCCTTGTTAGGGTTTGTTTCGGCTTTGAAAGACGGCTATGGTTTAATTCAGTGTTGTGATAGGGATACATTAAATGCATGATTTTTGTTTCTTGTTAGGAGTTTGTTTCGGCTTTGAAAGACGGCTATGGCTTCATTCAGTGTTGTGATAGGGATACATTAAATGCATGATTTTTGTTTCTTGTTAGGAGTTTGTTTCGGCTTTGAAAGACGGCTATGGTTTCATTCAGTGTTGTGATAGAGATACATTAAATGCATAATTTTTGTTTCTTGTTAGGGATTTGTTTCGGCTTTGAAAGACGGCTATGGTTTAATTCAGTGTTGTGATAGAGATACATTAAATGCATGATTTTTGTTTCTTGTTAGGGATTTGTTTCGGCTTTGAAAGACGGCTATGGCTTCATTCAGTGTTGTGATAGGGATACATTAAATGCATGATTTTTGTTTCTTGTTAGGGGTTTGTTTCGGCTTTGAAAGACGGCTATGGCTTCATTCAGTGTTGTGATAGGGATACATTAAATGCATAATTTTTTCCTTGTTAGGGGTTTGTTTCGGCTTTAAAAGACGGCTATGGCTTCATTCAGTGTTGTGATAGGGATACATTAAATGCATAATTTTTGTTTCTTGTTAGGGGTTTATTTCGGCTTTGAAAGACGGCTATGGCTTCATTCAGTGTTGTGATAGGGATGCATTAAATGCATGATTTTTGTTTCTTGTTAGGGTTTATTTCGGCTTTGAAAGACGGCTATGGCTTCATTCAGTGTTGTGATAGGGATACATTAAATGCATAATTTTTTTCCTTGTTAGGGGTTTGTTTCGGCTTTGAAAGACGGCTATGGTTTAATTCAGTGTTGTGATAGGGATACATTAAATGCATGATTTTTGTTTCTTGTTAGGAGTTTGTTTCGGCTTTGAAAGACGGCTATGGCTTCATTCAGTGTTGTGATAGGGATACATTAAATGCATGATTTTTGTTTCTTGTTAGGAGTTTGTTTCGGCTTTGAAAGACGGCTATGGTTTCATTCAGTGTTGTGATAGGGATACATTAAATGCATAATTTTTGTTTCTTGTTAGGGATTTGTTTCGGCTTTGAAAGACGGCTATGGTTTCAATTCAGTGTTGTGATAGGATACATTAAATGCATGATTTTTGTTTCTTGTTAGGGATTTGTTTCGGCTTTGAAAGACGGCTATGGCTTCATTCAGTGTTGTGATAGGGATACATTAAATGCATGATTTTTGTTTCTTGTTAGGGTTTGTTTCGGCTTTGAAAGACGGCTATGGCTTCATTCAGTGTTGTGATAGGGATACATTAAATGCATAATTTTTGTTCCTTGTTAGGGGTTTGTTTCGGCTTTGAAAGACGGCTATGGCTTCATTCAGTGTTGTGATAGGGATACATTAAATGCATGATTTTTTGTTCCTTGTTAGGGGTTTGTTTCGGCTTTGAAAGACGGCTATGGCTTCATTCAGTGTTGTGATAGGGATACATTAAATGCATAATTTTTTGTTCCTTGTTAGGGTTTGTTTCGGCTTTGAAAGACGGCTATGGCTTCATTCAGTGTTGTGATAGGGATACATTAAATGCATAATTTTTGTTCCTTGTTAGGAGTTTGTTTCGGCTTTAAAAGACGGCTATGGCTTCATTCAGTATTGTGATAGGGATACATTAGATGCATAATTTTTTGTTTCTTGTTAGGGGTTTGTTTCGGCTTTGAAAGACGGCTATGGCTTCATTCAGTGTTGTGATAGAGATAAATTAAATGCATAATTTTTGTTCCTTGTTAGGAGTTTGTTTCGGCTTTGAAAGACGGCTATGGTTTCATTCAGTGTTGTGATAGAGATACATTAAATGCATAATTTTGTTTCTTGTTAGGGATTTGTTTCGGCTTTGAAAGACGGCTATGGTTTAATTCAGTGTTGTGATAGAGATACATTAAATGCATGATTTTTGTTTCTTGTTAGTTTGTTTCGGCTTTGAAAGACGGCTATGGCTTCATTCAGTGTTGTGATAGGGATACATTAAATGCATGATTTTTGTTTCTTGTTAGGGTTTTGTTTCGGCTTTGAAAGACGGCTATGGCTTCATTCAGTGTTGTGATAGTGATACATTAAATGCATAATTTTTTTGTTCCTTGTTAGGGGTTTGTTTCGGCTTTGAAAGACGGCTATGGCTTCATTCAGTGTTGTGATAGGGATACATTAAATGCATAATTTTTGTTCCTTGTTAGGGGTTTGTTTCGGCTTTGAAAGACGGCTATGGCTTCATTCAGTGTTGTGATAGGGATACATTAAATGCATAAATTTTTGTTCCTTGTTAGGGGTTTGTTTCGGCTTTGAAAGACGGCTATGGCTTCATTCAGTGTTGTGATAGGGATACATTAAATGCATAATTTTTTGTTCCTTGTTAGGAGTTTGTTTCGGCTTTAAAAGACGGCTATGGCTTCATTCAGTATTGTGATAGGGATACATTAGATGCATAATTTTTTGTTTCTTGTTAGGGGTTTGTTTCGGCTTTGAAAGACGGCTATGGCTTCATTCAGTGTTGTGATAGAGATAAATTAAATGCATAATTTTTTGTTCCTTGTTAGGAGTTTGTTTCGGCTTTGAAAGACGGCTATGGCTTCATTCAGTGTTGTGATAGGGATACATTAAATGCATAATTTTTTGTTCCTTGTTAGGGATTTGTTTCGGCTTTGAAAGACGGCTATAGCTTTATTCAATGTTGCGATAGGGATACAAGATTATTCTTTCATTTCAGCGAGTTGATTGATGCGGTGAGTTTTGTTATTATGGCAATCGTAAGCAAAAAACCTTTCAAATTAACCTCTTCTAACCACGTTAGAACATCGTTTTCTACGTAAAGCTCGATATGTGCCAGTGAAAGTTTGTCAAGATAAATCGATGGAGAAAGTAGCTTTGCTGTTAGTTTAAAGTATCGTTAAACGTTTGTAGATGAAGATCGTCCAGGTTTAGTGAAGTTCTGAGAAGGACTGTTGGTGCTGTTGTTGACTGTCAGCCGTATAACCAGAGTATTGACAACCTTCGCTGTAGGCTTCACTCTTAAGATGACTACCGCTTAGGTCGTCGAAACGTCAGTCAACATCAACAACAACAATCCTTCTCATGATTTCCATAACGTGGACGATCTACATCTACACACATGCAAAGGTACTCCCGGGTTCAAATCATTTAATTTAAAGCCTTATCAGTTAGTGCATGATCGTCTCAAAATTATTGCTTGTCGTGATGCAGTTGCTATTTTATTTTCCATAGCAACAAGAAATCAACTTTTCCGGTGAAGTGGAGTTCAGTGTAGTCGAGGTTCGTAAAAAAAGATGCATTTTGAGATTTTTTGTCGACTGACTGATTTCTACAACTTAAAAACTCGTTTACAGGATCACGTGTCCGGAAGGCTGAATGCGATTCGTGTGAGAATCTTACCACGGGGAAACATAACTCTCAGGTATAGTCACCATAGTGTATCAACCAATCATATAGTCACCATAGTGTATCAACCAATCATATAGTCACCATAGTGTATCAACCAATCATATAGTCACCATAGTGTATCAACCAATCATATAGTCACCATAGTGTATCAACCAATCATATAGTCACCATAGTGTATCAACCAATCATATAGTCACCATAGTGTATCAACCAATCATATAGTCACCATAGTGTATCAACCAATCATATAGTCACCATAGTGTATCAACCAATCATATAGTCACCATAGTGTATCAACCAATCATATAGTCACCATAGTGTATCAATGAATCATATAGTCACCATAGTGTATCAACCAATCATATAGTCACCATAGTGTATCAACCAATCATATAGTCACCATAGTGTATCAACCAATCATATAGTCACCATAGTGTATCAACCAATCATATAGTCACCATAGTGTATCAATCGTATAACCAGAGGATTTACAATCTTCGCTGTAGAGTGAATGATTCTGAACAGTATTTGAAAACAATTTGGAACATAACATCAAATTTTTAGAATAAGGATGAAGTCAATATTTGAAATAGGATAACGGCTGTAATACTTTTTATCTAAATACATTAAATAAGAAATAAAGTTAAATTACAAACAAACAGTGGCGTAGCATGATCAGTAATTCATTTTTCTTGGGGAGGAATTTTCATACATTCATAATTTTGGAGTCAGTGGAATATGTATGAATATGTACACACTGTCATCTCATTAATTTACCTGACGTAAGAAACAAGAAGTTTTAGTGGATGGAGTTTACTTTCTTACCAACTATGTTAGTGGTAGTAAAATGTTGCTGTTCTTGTCCTTTCCTATTTTCGCTTATTATCCCCATTATAATATTCATTATAAAATCATCCAAAATTATCGAATTAATTGAATTTTCTGATGATTTGATTGCAAGAGTGCTAGGAGCATTGTGTTTTGCTGTAGACTAGAGATCAACAAAAAAGAAGAAATGGGTTGGAAGCAACGACACAAGATTTTACAAAACAAGAAAAATTCATGTGATCGAAAAACATATCCTCTCTTATAGTTTTTTGTCAGCCCCTCTCCTTGTTTTTCAACACTGGCAGGAACACCCACCGAAAGATTGATCTAGGTAGTCGGTACCAAACTTTTTTCCACCTTTCTTAACGTCTATTTTCTTTCTTCCCCTTTTAGGAAAAAATCTCAAACCTCAGAGATTGGATGTTGTGTATTCATTAAAGTGTTATAGCTGTACGTATTGTATGTGGGTCAAATCACACGTCATTTAAACATCGGATTTTCGTAGCATATGAGAATATATCCATTTGAAGGTAACCAAACGTAACGCCTTGCGTTATCGAGCATTTTTGCTAACATAAACATGTCTGGAGATACCCACAACATGGATGACTTTGAAAGAATTTCCTCTTTTCGCGATTAATACAAACTCTCCCTTATTGAGAACCTCAAGTCAATAGCTACAAGTCTTCACTTATCGACAGTATAGTAAAAATACAGTAGAGCAAGTCCATTGAATTTTTTGTGCTACGTATATCTCATTGCGCGTATGATTACTACATTGGAAGCTAGTAAATTGACTTTTTTTGAGTAATAGGAGTGCTGAGCTGGCTAACGGCAGTCTGTTACCTAATTATATGTACAGCAGCAAGTTTCTCAGCAAAGTGGACCTTTGGTATGTTTCCTTTACTATGACTTAACACCTGTCCAAGGCAGTTCTATTCAACTCTTTTAATTTCACTATATTTTGCTTCCTAACTTCGTAATTTATATAATCTATTTGACACCGTCTCATTTTGTATTCTAACACCTTATGTAAATATGATTATTTCTCATAACATCCTATTAAGCATGCAATGCTACCCAACCTTCCGATTTGTTAAATACGGCCCTATAATGCAGCGGATGTTGAGTTTTATTTTATGTTTTTCTACGTGTTTCTGTGCACCTGTTCACTTCAGAATTGTTTTATTATTGATGAGGAATATTTACTCTAAACGTCCCTAATGAATATTTTGATGAGAAAATACGTCAGTAAACGTCCCTGTGATAACAAGAGGCCACCATGTTATTACATAGTTAAATGCTGTTAATGACTTAATGTTGACAATGACCATATACAGTCTCTCAGATCTATAACAATTCAAACCAGCGGTTCATAACAGGTAATTTTACAAACAAATCTAAACAAATTTCGAAAAACAAACAGCAAAAAATTTGAAAACAAAAAGAAAACAGGACAGAATGCCAACTTTACAAAACAGCGAGGACAAAAAAGTAAAGAAAGGCTTCGTTTCAGTTTAAATAATACTTTATAATAAACCTTTTATTAACTTGTTTATTCGATCTTCGAGCCTGCGAGGTCTGCACATAAAGAATTAAATGATTCGAATTTCTCTTTAAAGAATTCGCGATTGCTTAGTAAGGGACTTATTATACAACTAACTTTAATACGCTTTTTCGAAATTTATGTGCGTCTACATGCTTTTCCTTCCATCTGTTCACATCAAAACGTAGGCTTAACAACAACACTTTACAGCTAATTAGCATAGCTAAGTTACGAAGAAAATTGTGAAAATTGCCTGAATTGAAATGATCCTTGCTTGTTGTAGTAGATTTTGGTAATATCCAACAGAGTGGCTGTCCAATGCATCAACTAGAAGTTTGTTTTTTACCAAATTAAAATTAATATTGAAATGTTAAATTGTTGTTCTTAATTCTTTACCGCTTAACCCAATCACTTAAACAATTTTTCATTCATAAGTCATTATTCTTGGATGCATTATTTTTTTGTCATTTCTCATTGTATTTGTGCTGCTGCCATCTTGTGAACAAAGAGTTGTAAGAAATAAAAAAAGCTGGTTTCATGTTGTAAATTTTACTGTATAGTTCGGTTCGACATAACTTGGTGTGTATTTGCGGTTACAATTTTTTACCAATGAATGTTAGCAAAAATTAAATTTAGTGTTAACAAAGTTAATATTTAAGAACTTAAAATACGCAATGGGAACAATATCATTTTTTGTCATTTAGCACTTGAAGTCATTAATCTGTTTTGCCGTGTTCACCCAGTTTAGATGCATTAATTTTGCTTCGGCGCTTTTTCTAAACAGAGGTAAAATATCAAAAACTTATCTTCTATAACATTGCTTCGTCAACCAATGTATGTATCTTAATTTTTCTCAGTTTCCAAATTTTCTAACACATTTAAAGTATTATTGTCGATTCGTAAAGGGTAGGATTTGAGGCAAAACAAAATTCAATAAAATGTTAAATAATTGTGGCAGTCGGCATAAGTACATGTTTATATATTCTCAATACACGCTACTCCACACTAGAGGAAACAGCTTTGGCTAGCACTTACAAGTAAAACTTTGCGAAAACCACAATTCTATTGTTTACCATACTTGTACGAATATTCACTTTCTCTGTTAATTTAAGACGTATTTCTGCAGTTGCCATTTTGTGTGCGTTTTTCAAACAAAGACGTAAAGACAATAAAAGAACAAAAGGTAAGATGTAATAAATTTCGTTGGCTACAGTTGATGGTAAAACGAATGTTTGTTTATCCTCGTTGCTTTGTTAGCATTTAATATACAGCAAATTTTTTCTTTGACAGAGTTTAGCAGCTTACATGTTGCCGGCCTTCATTCGAAGTATTGTGGTTTTCAAAGGCTAAAGACATCAAATATTAAACGTTTTCATAGATCAGAATTGAGTCAATTTTTTTCATAATTCCGTGGAAATTGTTTGCAATCCAGGAATAGGCGTATTGTTTTATTGTTGAGGGTATTTAGTCTAAACGTCCCTATTGATAGTACTGACGAGGAATATTTAGTCTAAACGTCCCTAATGAATACTTTGATGACGAAATTTGTCAGTAAACGTCCCTGTGATAACAAGAGGCCACCATGTTATTACATAGTTAAATGTTTTAATGACTTAATGTTGACAATGACCATATACAGTCTCAGATCTATAACAATTCAAACGAGTGGTTCATAACAGGTAATTTTACAAACAAATCTAAACAAATTTCGAAAAACAAACAGCAAAAAATTTGAAAAAAAAAAGAAAACAGCAGAGAATGCCAACTTTTACAAAACAGCGAGGACAAAAAAGTAAAGAAAGGCTTCGTTTCAGTTTAAATAATACTTTATAATAAACTTTTATTAACTTGTTTATTCGCTCTTCGAGCCTGCGAGGTCTGCACATAAAGAATTAAATGATCCGATATTTCTCTTTAAAGAGTTCCCAATTAGTAAAGGCCTTATAATACAACTAATTTTAATTTGGTATTTCAAAATTTATGTGTTTCTACATGCTTTTCCTTCCACCTGTTCACATCAAAACGTAGGCTTAACAACAACACTTTACAGCTAATTAACATAGCTAAGTTACGAAGAAAATTGTGAAAATTGCCTAAATTGAAATGATCCTTGCTTGTTGTAGTAGACTTTGATAATATCCAACAGAGTGGCTGTCCAATGCATCAACTAGAAGTTTGTTTTTTACCAAATTAAAATTAATATTGAAATGTTAAATTGTTGTTCTTAATTCTTTACCGCTGAACCCAATCACTTAAACCATTTTCATTCATAAGTCATTATTCTTGAAGCGATGTTTTTCTTGTCATTTCTCACTGTATTTTCGCTGCTGTCGTATTGTGTCTATTGTTTAAACAAACACCTGTAGGCAATAAAGTTACAGCTGGTATTACGATGTAAATTTTACTGTATAGTTCGGTCCGACACAATTTGTTGTATTTAGGGCCTAAAATTTTGCTAATGACTGTCAGCAAAATTGAATTTACTGTTGGTAAAGTTGATAGTCAAAAACTTAAAATACGTTTTATATTGTAACAATATAATTTTTCGTCATTGAGCACTTGAAGTCATTAACCTGTTTTGCCGTGTTTGCCCACATTAGATGCATTATTTGTGCTTCGTTGCTTCGTAGCTATAAACAGAGGTAATTCTCTAAAATGTCGAAAACTCAATGTTCTATAACATTGCTTTGTCAACCAACAACAACATCCAAATTTCCAAACATTTATAGTATTATTGTTGATTTGTCAAGGATAGGATTTGACCCAAAACAAATTCAATAAAATGTTGAATAACTGGGGCAGATGGCATGAGTGTTTGTATATACTCAATATAGCACTGTACATTTGAGGAAGCCGACAGCCTTGGCCAGCAGTTGCAAGTAAAACGTTGCGAAAGCCACAACTCTGTTGCTCGTCTGACTTGTATGTATCTTAATTTTTCTCTGTTTGTTTAAGGTGTATATCTGCAGTCGCCTTATTGTGTCCGTTTTTCAATTAATAAAAAAGAAAGGTAAGATGTGATTTAGTTGATAGTAAAACGGAAGTTTCCTTATCTTATTTATTATATTTAATACTGCAAATTTTTTCTTCGACTGAGTTTGGCAAATAAGTGTTAATACAAACACCACACAACTTACGCCCCCCAAATGATTTGATTCTTATAGTAAATGGAGAGATTTTTTCATTTACCATAATACCTCCACGCTAGATGTAGGATTTGGGACAGGTTATCACATTAATGTTTTGATTCATATATTTATATACTATCATATTTTTGCTCAAATCTCTCAACTACCTCAAAAGCAAATCCTATTCCACTGTTTTGTAAAAATTTTGTTCTTTAGCGGAACCTGCGAAAATTAAAAATCCCTTAAGATTTTCAATTCTTATGGAGTATTCATTGTCATCAAGTACTCCACAAATAACTGCAAGCAAAGGAATAAGCTTGAAAAAATGTAAAAAGTTGCACAACATTTCTACGATTTTCTATGATATTTCTGTAAATTTTTATAAAAGAATTTGAGCAATCTCAAGATAACGCTGAAACCCAAAACTACTTAGCTGCCCTTAATATCGACGTTCGTTTATTTCGTAAGCTCTTCCCTCCTCAATAGAAAAAAAGCTCCACGGTGCATGTAATGTAAATATCTAACACATTTTCAACATTATTTTTTGGTCATTATCTTTTGATATTTTTAATGTATTTAGTTAATTTTTCAACTGTAACTTTTTGAATTTGTCAACTGAGCAATTTAGCTGTTTTATACCTGCTAATGTGTTGAATTCGATAAATTAAAAATTCGAATGAAAATCCAATACGGGTATAGCATTAGAGACAATACGGGTATAACTATACAGCTATAGAGGCTGCGTTACAAGAAATTATCAAGTACTTTATGATTTCATAGGTTTTTTACATGTATCATGACATAACAGGAAATTGAAATGAAATAGCTAATGGGAAGCTCTGCATGCACAATTGTTATTTTCATATTCAGATAAAGAATTTTAACATCGTCTTGGGTTTTTAATCTATTGTATCTAAAATAAATGATTTGCTTTGATTTTAATTTGATCTCGCTTTCTTCACTTCTTTAGCGCTATCCACTGAAAAGCATTTTTTCATCGTTCAATAAATCTCTTGAAACAAAAGAAGTTGAAATTTAGACTGAACCGATTAAGAAGAATAAAGCATAAATTTAACGTTTACCAAGTTTCATTATTTTAAGAAAATTATACCACGTACCTATATAATAGCTACAGTGGCTACCAATAAGAGAGCCATCATGCAGCCATATGAGACTAACTCGATCTATTTCTAAAAAGTTTTTCTTGCTACACAATTTTGCTGAAATGAATTTTTTTGATAATGCTCATATATTGCTCAAAAATACGTTTTGATCGTGATCTGCTTGCATCACAGATGTAATTGTGACGTAGTCATTGTCGATCTAAATATAAATTTAAAGTCTTCTGTGATAACGTACATACATCCAACAATCAATTATAATTTAGAGCTTTACTATATATCGTTGGATCTATGCAATGATGAGTTTAATGATGTGGTGGTTATTGTGGCTGTTATTTGGTCAAGGATTCACAATGAAAATGGGTTGGAATGAAGAACTTGAGTTTTGTGAGGAAGAATGGAAGAAATTTGTGGCGGACAAAATTGATATTGATTCGAAATGCAACAATACTCGTACACGTTGTTGTGTTGAGGAGAAGAAATATCTTTTGGAGCGATTTAAAATGTTTAGTGAAATATGTCCACTTGAAGGTAAAGTAAACAACAGTTCAGTTTACAGTAAGTACAGAACATCAACTGGTCATGTACTTGGCAAACAATCACAACACTTATATTACTGAGGTACTGTTTAATTTAAATATGTAATTGAAACCGTGTTCTTAGAAAGTGCAATAAAGTAAGGTACCTAAAGTAAATGGTTTGAACCCGTAAGGTACATGTTGAAGTACTCAACTGATTTGGATACACTAGCTTCACAGCATTGACGCAGAATAATATGTCGTTCATTGTTCCTCTGTCTAGTTACAAAAGCAAAGTAATATGACAGTATAGTCAAAAAAAATATATATATGCAGTTATATGATATAATCTGTATAGTTATTGTCAATTTGGGTTTAAGGAGGACTTTCGCTTCAATGTGAATAGTATGTAAAATTTTGTGGCCAAATGAGTGTCACTTTCTACTTGTTTTTTTTTCTGGACAACCAGTTAAAGATAACTTAATTTTTTGTTAGGGACATGTGGATGCAGCCCGATTATTTTAAACTATACTGTTTTGCCACCTATCTATTATGGTCATTATCCTCTTTTACTAAAAGGATTATCCGGAAAATTGAAAGAACCAAAAAACTTCACGTGTTCACATAAGTACATAAATGAAAGAGTAGAACGGTATAATAAATATTATTATACAAGTTATACTAGCTTTGGAATCCGACTATACGAATTCCCTTTCGAGTATGTTTTATACGGTGGAAAAATTCACACCTGTTATGTTGTCATCAACGTGAACCTAAAACGACAAGGTACGTGCAAGAGCAGTTCATTTTAGTTTCTCCTGTGTCAGTTTAATTTATAGTACACCATTGTGATTATAATGCTTCATATTCAACTTCGCTCAAATCCATTCGATACTTTGACCTATATTCAATTCATCATGTACGTATACTCTTAAGTCAATTTCTTTGCAGTTGCAAAGCTAATAGAATACACCCCGGAACAGCCAAGCATGTTTAATTCGTCATACATATATTATAATGTAAACCTGTAAAAGAGTAAAAGCTCAATTCAAGATCGTGTCTTGGTTATTTTCAGGTTTATTGATTTTATTCATTAACGATCACGTTGGAAGATTTTGGTTGTTTGCTAATGGGTGTGAGGGTTAGGGTTAAGATGTTCATATATTGATCTGTGCTAGTTAAGCTTTATTATTATAATACAACGGTAATGCAATCTCCATTGTGATTGTCTAAAAGCCTTCAAATAATTGTCAATACACTATCACCTAGAAAAACATTGAAAATTACCTGTAGGTGACGAATTTTCTTTATGAGACAACTGTATATACAAGAAATATTTTGGTAGAATCTTCATCGAGACTTTCAAGTGTTATACTCTGCTCAAATTATCGGGAATATAGACGAAAAAACACCGAAAGTGTTAAACTGTTTGTCCAGAGAGTTTTCATCGCGTATTTACAGGAAATAGACGAAAGCGAACCGCAAAAATTTTACAATCAGACTGCAGTCAGCGCTATCCCCCTCAGATTTGCTTCGGTAGATATCCAATTGACATCGGTCTGAATATTATTTTATATCATGCTCAACTTAATCCAAAAATTGTTAAATATTTTTAACGGGAGAATGTTCTTATATCACTTCACACAAACACACAAACAACATTTATATACCGGCCAGTATTAATCCCCGCCAGGGGGGTTGACCGGTCCATAAATTTTTCCACGCCACCATCTCTATCTCTCGCCATATCTCTCGTTATACCCATCGCCTTCATATCACTGTTCACAACATCCATCCATCTCTTTCTCGGTCTACCTCGTTTGCGGACTCCATCAACATTCATATGCAACGTTCTACGAATTTCAGCACTTTCTTCCCTCCTTTCCACATGCCCAAACCACCTCAAACGCTGGCGTCTTACCCAATTCTCGATACACTCAACACCAACTCTTTCTCTAATCTCTTCAGATCCTATCCATCAACGTTACACACATCATCCTAAGCATTCTCCTTTCCGTCGACGCCAATCTTCTCAGGTCCTCTGCTTTCGGCGCCCAACACTCTGCTCCATATCCCAAAACACTTCTAACACATGCCTTACAATTCTCCCTTCTGCTTCAACGAAGTCGACTTTCCGCACAACATTCCGACAACTCTCTAAAACTCCACCACGCTGCTTGAACTCTGTTCCTCACCGCTTGCTCGCACCCTCCACCATCATTTAACACATCGCCCAGATATTTAAACTCCGATACACCTTCCAAACTCACGTCACCCAGTTCAAACCGTTCAATCGCGACTCGCCCACCACTTCGACACGTCCCGCACTCAAAATCAGTTACTCTTGTCAATGCACCACGGACACCTGAACATCTTCCATGAACCCATTTACCGCATTTCCCACACATTATCGAATTCACTCCAACTCTTTTCCCACACACACCACATTGCCATTTATCACTGTCCTTCACCTCCACCTGCCTCGAGCATCTCATGCCCTTCGTCTTTGCCTCATTCACTTTCAGTCCCTTGACTTCTATTGCCGTTTTCCATTCTCGGTACCATTCCAGAACTTTCTGCTTCGACTCCGCCACCAAGACAATGTCATCTGCATACAACAAACACCAGCATCCTTCTTTTCTTCTCACTTCCTCTGTCAGTACATCCATCACACAAGCAAACAGTAACGGCGACAAGACTGAACCTTGATGAACACCAACTTTTACCTCAAAAACACCAGATCTAGCACCTTCCTCCGTAACCACCGCCTCTACACCTTCATAAGTCTCCATAACTGCCCGAACCATATTCTCTGTCACACCTTTCTTACGCAGCGTACTCGATCACCTTTCTCGAACTCTATCAAACGCCTTCTCCAAATCTACAAACACCATATACAATTCTCTGTCCTTCTCCAAAATTTCTCCCCAGCTAACACAAACCGCATTCCCTCTCCCCGGTATGAATCCATACTGCTCTTCCCCATCCGAACAATTTTCAACCTTCTTTCAAACACTCTCTACTATTTTCAACGCATGCTCCATCAGCTTAATAGTCCTGTAATTCCATACCGTTGCTGCTCCTTTTCCTTTGTACAGCGGAACCACTGACTCTTTCTCCATGTACTCGGCATCTTGAGCCCCTCAAAACCTCGTTCGCTACATTACACAACTCCGCATAGTTCATTGTCCAACATTTCCTTCCCACTTCACTCGGTCCCGTCGCCTTTCCTTTCTTCATCTTGCGAAGAGCCGCCGCCACCTCATCAACAGTCACTATTTCCCACGGCCCAAAAACTTCATCCGCTTCAACTTCTCCATTCCACTCATTCTCTACATTCATCAAACGGTCACAGTACGCCCTCCACACTTCTAACCTGTCTTCCAATAACACCTTCAACTCCCCATCATGGTTCTGCACGCCCTCCTTCCTCCCTTCATTTCTTTTTCTTCCATTCTCCTGCATTTCTTTCTGATGTCTTTCTTTCGCTTTAGCCACCTCCTTTCGCTTTTCTTGAATCGGATGTAATCGATCCTATCTGTTTCAGTCCGCGACTTTCTCCACCTTCTGCCAACTTCTTCCAATCTTCCTCGTTGATCCACCACCATGCCTGTTCTTCTACTACACCGCCTTTACTTCTACACATACCTTCTCCGCTGCCTTTAAAACACCCTTCTCCACACGTCCATCGCTCCTCCACCGTCTCACCTCAACATTCAATGTCACAATTTCGTCACGGAAACACTGCTTCCCTTCATTCGATCGTAACTTCCATAGCTTAAGCCTGCCTTTACCCTCAACCTTTCTCCTTTTCACCTTCCTGATTCTCCAGTCCATGACCAGCAGCTTGTGCTGGGTCACACATTCTTCTACTGCAATCACTTTTGCATCCTTCACGTTTTTCCTTTCTTCTTCATTCACCAGTATATAATCCACCACCGTCCTACTGTCACCAGATTCATACGTCACAAGCTTGCTTTCTTCCTTTATAAACCACGTATTCACTACCACCATCCCACAACTCGCTGCTAACTCCAATATCGTCTCGCCTTCAGCATTCATATCACCAACTCCAAAACCTCCATGCGCACAGTATCCTTTTCTTACGCTTCCCACATGACCGTTCCAATCACCAAGCATCACACATCGCCCTCTAATGTCTGCTCTCACTGCATACACGCTGTCGTAGAACTTTTCTTCTCCTCCGCTTCGTCCAACCTGCGGAGCATACACCACAACGAAACTCACAACTTCGGCCTCAATAACTACATCAACTCTCAGGACTCTGTCCGAAACTCTCTTCACTGCTACAACTGACTTCGCCCAATCCTCTCTTATCGCAAAGCCAACACCATTCGTGCCACTTCCGTTTCCCTTCCAAAACCACTTAAATCTCGCTCCATTATCTTCACCCTTTATGACTCTCGTACCTTCTCCTTTAAAACTTACCTCCTGAAACCCACACATCAACTTTCCTTCTCTTCAACATGTCCGCCACTTCTGCACTCCTTCCTTCATTGTCCCAACGTTCACTGTGCCTACCGAAGGGTGACACTTCCACAACCATTCGATCCGGAGATTCTTCGCACCCCCTGCCCACTGAAGGGCTGCCGGGGACTGGGGGCCATATCTCCTTTTCCAAAGTCCATGAATTTTGTTGGAGCAAAAGTTTTACGGTAGGATGCCCTTCCTTACACCAACCCCTTTTAGTCGTCTTTTACGACACGCAGAGGATACGTTGGCGCAATTCTAAGCCGGCAACCACACGGCACTTCTTATATCACTTCAGTAGAAACAAATTTCGTTGTATATTAACCCTCTGTATAATATCCCTGTACATATTTGTATGGATATCTCCTCTGCATGTATAAACCTGTATAAACCAGTAAAAAAAGGCTCACGATTTTTTATAAGCCTTGGGCATGATATTTATTTAAAGTGTTTGCAATTTTAAAATGTGCAACACAGGTATTTTTATAATCAAGAGCACTATTTCACAGCACAACTTAAATGAACTCCACCAAAAAGAGTGTACAGCTTACAGAGTTCACAATTCAGTTTTACATTGAATTATATATTCCTTGTCTTCAAGTTTGAATAATACTAACCTAAATCATCAACTTTTTCTGGGCACAAATTTGTATAAGTGTTTAGATAAACTTCCTTTTCATCAAAAACGAAAGTCATGGGAGTTTATACATATGAAAAATCAGATTCAGCAAACAATCTTAAAATATTTCAAATATTTCAATTGCGTAAACAAACCATAACTCTCCCTTTTCCATCGTAACAGACCGTGCGCCGTGAAATTTTTATTAATTGATTTTTTACACTTTTCAACTTGTTTGTAAAATTTTTCAGTCTCCATGCCATTGAACTAAAATACATGGAACACTACATCAAGCATATAATTGAACCATATTTTACGCTACACACGCGAGATTTTACCCAAGACACGCGCGTTTAGTGTTTCGAGTTCCTCTCGCGGAGTAAAAATTGATTGACTACACACTCGTGTCTGGTGTAAAGTCTTGCGTGTCTGGGGTAAAATCAGGGCTTTAAAAAATTATTAGGGTTTTGTATTACAGGTATTGTTCCATGTATTTTAGATCAATGCTCCATGCTGAATGCCTTAAATTGTTTCATACGCCATTATTTTTAAAATGACCTCAACAGCAATTGGTTTATTTAATTCTTTAGAAAGGTTGAATTTCAAGATGACATTTTTACGAGTGTTTTTTCCTATATTGATAGAATTCAGTATGCTAAATTATTTTTCATAAAGTCATTATTTTTATATTTATATTTTGTAGAGTGTGGTATTTTCAATCAATTTTATCATGTATCATTGTCCTTTTTCAGATATGAATGGATTTTTCATCAAACATGTTCAGTCAGGAAAATGTGTTCGGGATGAAATACTCTTTCCCTTCCCGTATACATGGAAATGTTTTGAGGAGTCAATTTATTTTAAATTTTTACAATCTGGCTCCATCAATATATCGAATACAACAAGGTGTCTTGTGAGATACGGAATTTATGTGTACTTATCTGATGGAAATTTTAATGGAGAATGCGGAGCCATCAATGCCATAACCCAGACATTTTGGGGTGGTCTATTCTTTTCACGCTATAATAAATGTATAGTACCTACAGGAAATTATACGAACTTGGAACTGGCTAATTGTAAAAATGAAGAAAATCAGCGATTCAATTTTGGCAAGTGAGAATATTCATCCAGTTAGCGTATATATACTTAAACTCTGATTAAAGCCAATACAAGGCCGCACATATAGGAATGGCGACAGTGAAGTCACTGCCATCACACACTTTGTTTTTATCAAATCAACTTTTATTTTACAGGAATTCACAAATAAGCTTGTATAGATTGAAATTTACTTATTTTTTGTGTGTCTTTAATAGGCTCAGTAACATGTGATGGAAAAAATATATCGGACGTTAGTTGTTCTAATAATCAATATATGGTGATAAAAGTTGCAGAATATCGTGGATTGAGAAAAGGAAGCATTTGTGGCTCCAGTTTTGATCACAGTTGTAGTGTCGATGTAACATGTGACCTTAAAAATTACTGTGATGGTGAAAGAAAATGTAATATAACGGTTGATGATAATCATTTCCCTTCAAATATTTGTCCTGGTTTGGAGAAATATCTTTACTTTGAATATCAATGTAACTACACAAGTATGCCATACAGAAAAATTTGCAATCGTAAGTATTATATGGGCAGATTATATTTTGCTTATTATTAAAGAGCTTCGGGACAAATTTTGACCTTAATGCGCAATGGTATGGTGCTCATTTTTATACTATGTACGTTATCAATTTAGAAAAGTTGACACAAATTTGAATTTTCGTCGGGTGTCTTCACCAGGCGTGGTTTGTTTATGCAGTTTTATCTCGTATTGTATAATTTAGTGTCTTTTATAATGTGACATTTAAACTTGTGTCCTAAATATTTTCATAAGTTTAATGGTTTGGTGAATTTTGTGTTTTTAGTTTGTTAATGCAAACTTTGTTCATGGAAACATATCTTCTTCCAGTCAATTTGATTTATCAAATCTATTTCTTTTAAAATCTTTTGGCCATTCTATGTAGGCCAAAAGTGACATTACAATTGCATTTGTATTCATATTTTCATGACTTCACACTACAAATTTTTACATATACTGTATATATATACAAAGATAGATTCATTACAATTCCTATGAATTGGGAAGCTAAACGCAGCGCTCACCTATAAAAAACGGTATTTGTTCTGGTTTCATTAATGATTCACATAATCACTTAGACACATTTTGTTGTGATTCGTGTTTACAACACAAGAGAAAAGTTCTAAGTTCAACTTATTTGCCTGTAGTTCATTGTCAACTTAAAGATTAAAATCAAAACAGTGCTCACCAACTTTAAGTGTAAATCTATAAGATACTGTGTCCATCAGAATTTGGAAAACATTTCTGGTTAAGTGCTTTCAAACTAAAATTTTTTTTAAGTAAATGTCACCTTCTGTATTCTTCTGATATTCAAACTCCGTGTATATATTTTATTCATGGACGAGATTTGTCATATTTATGGTCATAAAACCACTTCTAAAAACACAGATTTAACTTTAAGATATGCGCCATAATCACAATTAAAGGAAAAATAATTTTGATTTGTGTAGTTATGGATGTACGCCTGTCTAAGTCAAATCTTCCGAACGAAGGTGTCGTGAATGTTATTACCAAGCTTAGAAACTTCACCATTTGCAACAACAGTCTTTTGCATAAAATGAAGACGATTATCTGTAAACAACTTGGTTATCCTACCGCAGCATCTGGGGGAGGCTCAATGTCACTATCATCTTTGATGCATCAATCGTTTATATCTGGAATTGTCAAATGTGATGCTCGAGTGAACGATTTATCTCAATGTGCTATCACTCAAAATAATGATTGCTCTCAATACTCGTACGTTACATGTAAGCATTCTCATTCAATTTTTTGAATGTATTAACGTATTGCAGGACACATTTGTATGACGTTAGAAAAAGATTATTAGCGAAGAATGTAAGGAATGAATGTGTTACTTTTGTCTTCTCAACTTACATCTGTCTATTGTTAAGCATCATGTCTTAACTCTATCATCAAGAATTACATCTGACATCGTAGTGTCACTGTATTTTACGCTGACTTGGAGAATTTCACAATTCTTCTTTTACATAACAAAAGAAATATACCATCACAAAATATAAACGATTGCTACTCTTAAATAATAAATAATTAAAACAGGATTGCTGCGAATACTGAGGATTAAATTAATTTTACTCTTGCTACTTCATTTCGTGCTTCAAAAAATGTCCAATTGTCATTCCTCTGCAATACGATTAACGTTCACTCTTTAATGGAATTTAAATCGCTACGGTTTTGTTGTTATTAGACAAGATACTTACGGTTTCTTGTCATAGCTGGCTTAATTCCAACTGGAATTTAACCTTATTTAATAAAAGCATGCAAAATCAGTCGTATTCCTCCAATATATCTTGTGCTCTTTTTCTTTCTTAAGAAAACAGTTTTTAATTTTTCCAATTTTACGTGAATGGAGAACAATATGAGAGTGCACCATTGCTCTCTATCAAATCAAACCAGTTCTAATGTTATAATGCATTTCAACCAAATCCTTTTCTATTTAAGGTCATGTTTGTGATAATCCTCTATTAAAAAACGCAGAAAAATTCCCAGATTCTTGGTTTACTGCCTTCCCAAAGAGTCGTAGTGCTGCTAAAGCAAGAATATCCAGTGGTAGTTCATGGTGTGCTCCTGCTGCTAATGGCAGTCATTACCTTCAACTGAATTTTCCGAGTCTTTATACAGTTAACGTTATCACTATCTTTGGAGACAGTTCAAGTTCAAGCTTTGTAACTAAATATCACTTGCAGACAAACATTGATGGTGTGAACTGGAAATCTGAAAAATCCCAGAAGGTAACAGTAGACTTATCGAAATTGTATATTATAAATTTAAAGGAAATTTAAAAAGGAATGAAGTTATAAACTAAGTAAACTTTTAAATTGCTATTTATATACAAACTTGTGTGCAGATGTTGATTCAGTGGTGTAGCCGGCACGCAAAATTGCTGGTTCTATGTAAATTTCAGATCATTATCATTATTCATTTCTTTAGAGATCTATTGTTTTTACAGTTAGTGAGCTCTGAGAAATTTACATATAGCACGACCAAATTTGTGGGCTAGCTACGTCACTGTGTTGATTGTCTTGGTTACTCTTGCATTTGATTATAAAGTTTAAATTGTAGCTATGTGCATGATTTGAAGAGATACATAGACAATGCATAAACTACTCTCCTCTGGACAGCGTTAAACAAACCTTTCTTTCCTCTAACCTTGCTCTGCAAATACACGAAAATCAATTTTTTTGTTTTATTCCAGATTTATCTAGGAAACAAAAATGGTTACAATGATGCGGCTATAGAAAAGTTTTCTGGTGGCCTTAAATCCAAAGCTTTGCGAATCTTTCCATTGAAATTTGTTGGTGCACCGTGTTTACGAATTGAAATTTGTGGTGGAGGTAAGAGGTAGAAAAAATATACAAGGTTTACTTTGCACTGTAAGCACTTAATTTTTCAATATATAAAGTTTTTTTCTCTGAGTATTAATTAAACATGAGTTAGTTGACAAAACAGAACAATTTTCCATGAAGGCTGAAGTGTTAGTTTCTTTCTCTAATGAAATAAACTTATTGAAACAAGCCTTTTCAACATGCAGTTAAGTTTAACACGTGTTATTGGAGAAAAAGCAGAACACTTATTTCACTTAAGAGCTACAAATGATTCAATTTGTAGATTTTTCTTTTATCGTGCAGACTTACTCCCAGACAAACCAACAGATCTCATTGCAACCAAATCTGCATCGACGTACCTCGAGATATCATGGAAACATCCCAAAAACTGGTGTAAAACTTGGTACAAATATCTCGAATCCTCTTACAAGATATCTATTGATTTTGCTGAAGGATACTATGATTGTTTTGATAAAACTCTGGAGGTAACTGACAAAAACCGTACAACATTACGAATCTTGTTCCTTACGCAACGTATAAAGTTAATGTAACCGCTGGCAATTCTGAAGGCTTTGGTAGATCAACTACAGCTACTTTTAGAACTGCTGAAGATGGTGAGTTCATATCAGTTTTGTGTATACATATCGGCTGTTGTTGCATTGATGGTGTTATTGCCATAGACGACTTTTGAAAGCTCAAATCTTTTCTGGTCGATATTTATTTCAATCATGTTTTTTATACTGTATTATATTTAAGTTAACAATGACAGTGTACACTTGTTAGGACTTCTTTCTAAAGTGTATTTAATATTTTATATAAATCTTTAAAACAAATGTTTTTATTTTTGTTTAGTTCCCGAAGGTCCACCTTTAAATGTTCAAATTGTCGCCTTAAGCAGTTCATCGTTATCAGTTACGTGGGAGCCACCAGACAAGAAGAAAACAAATGGAAAGATAGTCAATTACACTGTTTGTATTACACATTTGGAGAATGAAACCTGTTCAATGAAGTATATGATCGAGGAACAGCGTTTGGACATAAATAATGTGAAACCAGGGACAAAATATTATGTTCGTGTTTTAGCTTCTACAATAGTGGGATCTGGATGTTACAGCAATGTTACATGGGTATTTACAAATGGATGTAAGTTGTCTATGGTTTATGCACAGGTTTGTTTAAGATGATAAATTTATTCAAGTTTATTTATTTAGTGGCACCTGAACTGTCCACCAAGCAGATTGGAAATACGTTGACTTATTTGTTGCAAAATCCAAATTTGGAATATCGGTAACTATGTATTTTACTAGAGCAAATTATTGTAAAAAACTTAAAGGAACTTAAAAGTATTTTTGAGTTTTCGGATTCATGGCTAAGTATAGGACAGTTGGTTTCATGTGGGATCGAGGTAGTCTAAATATCTCTCTGGGGAAAGCTTTGATGACTCGTCGCTTTTCTTTGGCATTGCGGATGCATGCATAACATATATTTTAACCATTAACAAAAGCAGAGGTTATGCATGTATTTTAAAAATGTTTTGCCTTAAATTTGCAGATATTTCTATGTAGTCGCGATGAAAAATGTCACAGAAGAGAGTCGATTGCCTTCTAACTTTAAAAACACAGACTTAGTGACTTATTCTAAGGCCATATCTTCCACACAACCAATGCCGTATATTGCTGCTGTAGTCTCTCGCAGAGACTTTAAGCCTAATTTTACACTTGGTGACGGTGAAACCACAACACGGCGTTCCAATGGTGAAAATTATTATAATGGCCCGCTAAAGCCTGGCACTAGCTACAAAATATTTCAGCGCGTTTTCATAAATGATCAGGTGCGACCATTTATTTACGTTTTCATCAGCATTGATTGCTGCAATTTTTATTCAAATATAAATGTTCACTTCGTTTCAGGGTGATTATTATTCCACTGACTGGAGTCCAGTGGCAGCAACTGCCCAAAAGCACAAGTCTTCAGGTTTGTGATGGCTTTCAATAGCATAAGGAAGTTTATCGATGTCTAAAGTGCAATGCTTCAAGATCTTTGCAAATTTCAGTATAGTAAAATGCCTGAAATTTTTAAACGAATTCTTACTAAAGTGTATTTAATATTTTATATAAATCTTTAAAACAAATGTTTTTATTTTTGTTTAGTTCCCGAAGGTCCACCTTTAAATGTTCAAATTGTCGCCTTAAGCAGTTCATCGTTATCAGTTACGTGGGATCCACCAGACAAGAAGAAAACAAATGGAAAGATAGTCAATTACACTGTTTGTATTACACATTTGGAGAATGAAACCTGTTCAATGAAGTATATGATCGAGGAACAGCGTTTAGACATAAATAATGTGAAACCAGGGACAAAATATTATGTTCGTGTTTTAGCTTCTACAATCGTGGGATCTGGATGTTACAGCAATATTACATGGGTATTTACAAATGGATGTAAGTTGTCTATGGTTTATGCACAGGTTTGTTTAAGATGATAAATTTATTGAAGTTTATTTATTTAGTGGCACCTGAACTGTCCACCAAGCAGATTGGAAATACGTTGACTTATTTGTTGCAAAATCCAAATTTGGAATATCGGTAACTATGTATTTTACTAGAGCAAATTATTGTAAAAAAAACTTAAAGGAACTTAAAAGTATTTTTTGAGTTTTTCGGATTCATGGCTAAGTATAGGACAGTTGGTTTCATGTGGGATCGAGGTAGTCTAAATATCTCTCTGGGGAAAGCTTTGATGACTCGTCGCTTTTCTTTGGCATTGCGGATGCATGCATAACATATATTTTAACCATTAACAAAAGCAGAGGTTATGCATGTATTTTAAAAAATGTTTTGCCTTAAATTTGCAGATATTTCTATGTAGTCGCGATAAAAAATATCACAGAAGAGAGTCGATTGCCTTTTAACTTTAAAAACACAGACTTAGTGACTTATTCTAAGGCCATATCTTCCACACAACCAATGCCGTATATTCCTGCTGTAGTCTTTCGCAGAGACTTTAAGCCTAATTTTACACTTGGTGACGGTGAAACCACAACACGGCGTTCCAATGGTGAAAATTATTATAATGGCCCGCTAAAGCCTGGCACTAGCTACAAAATATTTCAGCGCGTTTTCATAAATGATCAGGTGCGACCATTTATTTACGTTTTCATCAGCATTGATTGCTGCAATTTTTATTCAAATATAAATGTTCACTTCGTTTCAGGGTGATTATTATTCCACTGACTGGAGTCCAGTGGCAGCAACTGCCCAAAAGCACAAGTCTTCAGGTTTGTGATGGCTTTCAATAGCATAAGGAAGTTTATCGATGTCTAAAGTGCAATGCTTCAAGATCTTTGCAAATTTCAGTATAGTAAAATGCCTGAAATTTTTAAACGAATTCTTACTAAAGTGTATTTACTTTTTTATATAAATCTTTAAAACAAATGTTTTTGATTTTGTTTAGTTCCCGAAGGTCCACCTTTAAATGTTCAAATTGTCGCCTTAAGCAGTTCATCGTTATCAGTTACGTGGGAGCCACCAGACAAGAACAAAACAAATGGAAAGATAGTCAATTACACTGTTTGTATTACACATTTTGAGAATGAAACCTGTTCAATGAAGTATATGATCGAGGAACAGCATTTGGACATAAATAATGTGAAACCAGGCACAAAATATTATGTTCGTGTTTTAGCTTCTACAATAGTGGGATCTGGATGTTACAGCAATGTTACATGGGTATTTACAAATGGATGTAAGTTGTCTATGGTTTATGCACAGGTTTGTTTAAGATGATAAATTTATTCAAGTTTATTTATTTAGTGGCACCTGAACTGTCCACCAAGCAGATTGGAAATACGTTGACTTATTTGTTGCAAAATCCAAATGTGGAATACCGGTAACTACAGTACCGATCTCGAGTAACATGACATTACTCGCGAGTATCGAGTGGCGAGTGGGCGAGTGACTCGCGAGTCAGTTGCGAGTCACTCTCGAGTGTGAAAAGTTTGCGAGTGAATAAGTGACTCGCTGTTTGCGAGTAATAAAATAATTAGCTGTTTGCGAGTGAATCGAAATAACTCGCAAAAATTTCCGACAACGACTATTCATTTGAAGCAATATCTCGGTACCTAATGACGTTAAAATCTTTTGAATTTTTTTACAAAAGCATTTTAATAACTTCACATTTCTCATGGCACAAACGTTATTCGTAAACGGTGGAGACCATAGAGAAATTAGTGAGAAAATCAAAGTAACTCTCAAAGATTTTCTTCTAACAGTCTTAGATTGTTGACATATATTATCTTAATGTTAATGCAAAAGAACATGAAAGTGTTTGGAAACAATGTATTGTTAGAATAGATGAGTTTTTAAGAAGAAAAGTTAAGTCATAAATTAGCTATATTTATTAAATTTTGAAGCTTATCGTTGCTTGCTATTAATTAAATGTATTTAGTGCTGTGAAGTCAATGAAATTGTTTCAGAAACTAATCTCATTTTTAAACATTTCTACTGGTAAGTGAATCGCAAAAGTTCTAGCCATTAACTATAAACGTGGTTTTATTTCATTGATTGCTATTAAATGTCTATGGCCTTTATCAATATCGTCTGTGTAACACATCGAAAACGTGAAGTCAATGAAGTTCTTTCAGAACCAAATATAAAAGATTATACGCACACTCATCGCATAGTTGAGATGAGTGTGCGTATAATATTCCTTAAATATAATATTTCTTAATATTCCTCAAATATTCCTTAAATATTTGACCTTAAACAATATTCGTTTTTGAATGTATTCTATCTTAAGATAATATATGTCAACAATCTAAGACTGTTAGAAGAAATCTTTGAGAGTTACTTTGATTTTCTCACTAATTTCTCTATGGTCTCTACCGTTTACGAATAACGTTTGTGCCATGAGAAATGTGAAGTTATTAAAATGATTTTGTAAAAAAATTCAAAAGATTTTAACGTCATTAGGTACCGAGATATTGCTTCAAATGAATAGTCGTTGTCGGAAATTTTTGCGAGTTATTTCGATTCACTCGCAAACAGCGAGTTATTTTATTCACTCGCAAACAGCGAGTCACTTATTCACTCGCAAACTTCTCACACTCGAGAGTGACTCGCAATTGACTCGCGAGTCACTCGCCCACTCGTCACTCGCGAGTCACTCGCAATTGACTCGCGAGTCACTCGCCCACTCGCCACTCGTCACTCGCGAGTCACTCGCAATTGACTCGCAAGTCACTCGCCCACTCGCCACTCGATACTCGCGAGTCATGTCATGTTACTCGAGGTCGGTACTGTATGTATTTTACTAGAGCAAATTATGGTAAAAAAAACTTAAAGGAACTTAAAAGTATTTTTTGAGTTTTTCGGATTCATGGCTAAGTATAGGACAGTTGGTTTCATGTGGGATCGAGGTAGTCTAAATATCTCTCTGGGGAAAGCTTTGATGACTCGTCGATTTTCTTTGGCATTGCGGATGCATGCATAAGATATATTTTAACCATTAACAAAAGCAGAGGTTATGCATGTATTTTAAAAAATGTTTTGCCTTAAATTTGCAGATATTTCTATGTAGTCGCGATAAAAAATGTCACAAAAGAGAGTCAACTGCCTTCTAACTTTAAAAACACAGACTTAGTGACTTATTCTAAGGCCATATCTTCCACACAACCAATGCCGTATATTGCTGCTGTAGTCTTTCGCAGAGACTTTAAGCCTGATTTTACACTTGGTGTCGGTGAAACCACAACACGGCGTTCCAATGGTGAAAATTATTATAATGGCCCGCTAAAGCCTGGCAGTAACTACAAAATATTTCAGCGCGTTTTCATAAATGATCAGGTGCGACCATTTATTTACGTTTTCATCAGCATTGATTGCTGCAATTTTTATTCAAATATAAATGTTCACTTCGTTTCAGGGTGATTATTATTCCACTGACTGGAGTCCAGTGGCAGCAACTGCCCAAAAGCACAAGTCAGAAAGACCCATGACGGCAACTGCCCAAAGCACAGGTTTGTGTTTGCTTTCAATAGCATAAGGAAGTTTATCGATGTCTAAAGTGCAATGATTCAAGATCTTTGCTAATTTCAGTATAGTAAAATGCCTGAAAATTTTTAACGATGAATATAGATTTTGTTTTATGATACAACCGATTTAATTCCTACAAATAACTGCCTTAGTGATTTTGTGTACGTCTTCTCTAATTTCATTGCGTTCCAAACCTAATTTATACCATAAATAAATCATGAATAGTTAACAGGGATGAATACATGAGCTGTGAGAGCGGTTACACCCTCAGCTTTACAAAAATAATTGCTGAAAGACAATATTTGTTTGTAATGTTATGATTTGTCATTCAATTTTATCTTGTAGACAGTGGAAAAATTGGAGCCATTGCTGGTGCAGTTGTAGCTGCAATTTTGCTCATTATTTTTGTCATATTGGTCATTCTTTTTGTTAGGATCAATTCAAACTCTGCTACAGTGCAGTGAACTGCGTATTGTAGTTATTTGACGGCTACTAAAAGTTCTCAAAAATGGGGGAAGTTGAATTTTTTTCGCGAAATTATTAGACGTTTTCTGAAATTTAACGTACTATAGAAGAATATGATTAAGCATAGAATTTTATTTCCTTTTTAACTATAAGAGTGAACGAGAGTGAATGATTCTGAAGAGTGTTTGAAAACAATTTGGAACATAACATCAAATTTTTAGGCTAAGGATGTAGTCAATATTTGAAATAGGATAATAGTTGTAATACTTTTTATCTAAGTACATTAAATAAGAAATAAAGTTAAATTACAAATAAACAGTTGCGTAGCATGCTCAGTATTTTATTTTAATGAGACGGGGGGGGGGATTTTAATACATTCAAGTATTTTGGAGTTTGTGGAATATGTATGAATATGTACACACTGTCATCTCATTAATTTACCTGACGTAGGAAACTGGAAGTTTTAGTGGATGGAGTTTACTTTGTTACCAACTATGTTAGTTTAAAAAAATGCTACTTTAAAGCATGTTCTTGTCCTTTCTTGTTTTCTCTTCTTATCGTCATGATGATATTCATAGAAAATATCCAAAATTTTCGAGTTAATTGAATTTCCTGATGATTTGATTGCGAGAGTGCTAGGAACGTTGTACTTCGGCTGTAGATTAGTGATTAACAAAGAAGAAGAAATGGGTTGGAGGGAACGACTTGACATTTTAAAAAACACGAAAAATGTATGTTTAAGAAAGCTCTATTGCAAAACACATCCTTTGGTTGAATACTAAGTAAGGAGCCGAGTGGTTTCAAGTTCATTGGTGACAATCAAATCGTTAATGAATAGTCTGATGTTAACCCCTCTCCTCGTTTTTCTACACCGGCCTGAACACCACCGAAAGATTGATCTTTGTTTAAACGCGGCCATATTTACATTTGCTTTCGAATTATGCTTTATTTACGGAAAATATCAACTTGTTACAAATACAGAAATACGGGGCAATTACAATGAAACATGAAGGTATCTTTATGAGGGTATGGAAGACTTATGCGAAACAGCGAATTAGGCTATAGTCACGTAAAACATAGCCGACCCTCTCACGAGTATCTCCGGTTAAAACGTCACATATACAGATGACCGGAAGTACCCGGTGTTTCAACTTTCAAGAGTTTACTGATATCATGTAATATGGCGGATTGTAAAAATTTGAATAGTGTTGTGGTTAAGGACGAAATTTTGTCCTCAAAAAGGTATTGATTTCTTTTTCGATATCAATTGTCAGTTCTTAAATATTTAATTACCATTTTGTTCACCTTGTACTCCGTTGGCGTTAATTTGACCTTATAAATTGACAATCATTAGTCACCATGTTTCGAGACAAAGCCGATTAACAAAGACTCAGCAGACGGCAAAATATTCTCCTTGCCTGTATTTGTGTGCTATTCGTATTCTTCCTTTTGTTTTTTGCTTTTGCGGCAACCAATTTAAGTAAAACTATACGCTACAGTTTCTTCAAATGACCATTATTGAAATAAATTAAGAAACAAAGACTGACAAGCAATTTGATATTCTGATGAAAAAGTTTTTCGTTTGATATATGATGTCTTCAAGAAGTGAATTTCAGCATTGAATTTCCAAATTGAAAAAGAACTTTAGATGTGCCTCGACTCTTAAAGATACAAATAAATGCGTGTCCTTTGTCTGATTTATATGGACATGATATTTGTATGTTTGGCTTCAAAATTATGAGTCGCTTTTATCTGATGTGATTCATGTTGAAAGTTTTAACATATTTTTTGTCTGGTGTTTAGTGTCTTGTGGAAATTGATTTGATGTCGAAACTTATGTCCTTATCTGTTCCAGTTTTAGTGTAGATTGATCTTTTGTATAATTACAATGGCTATGTTGCTATATATAAAAATTAAAGTCTTTATCACAAGAAATCCAGTGCAGTGTCTTCATTCCGTACTATTCACTATTGTAAAGTATTTTGTGGGATTTGTCACTTGTTACTCTGCTACACCATTCGCTCATTATTAAAAGAAGATTGAACATTCAATTATGCTATTTTACTTAACAGTAGAACAGTAGAATGTTCATTAACTTGAAGGAAGAATCAAGAGCTCCAGTAGACAATAGCATTTATTTATACTGCTTAGCAATTGTTAATATTCAAGTCGCATTAATGCGCATTCAATTCAAGAAAAGTTTGAATCATTTGGATAAACAAACAAAACAACAAACAAACAACATTTATATACCGGCAGTATTGTCCGCCGGGGTTGACCAGTCCATGAATTTTCCACGCCACACATCTCTATCCCTCGCCATATCTCTCGTTATACCCATCGCCTTCATATCACTGTTCACAGCATCCATCCATCTCTTCTCGGTCTACCTCGTTTGCGGACTCCATCAACATTCATATGCAACGTTCTACGAATTTCAGCACTTTCTTCCCTCCTTTCCACATGCCCAAACCACCTCAAACGCTGGCGTCTTACCCAATTCTCGATACACTCAACACCAACTCTTTCTCTAATCTCTTCACTTCGAATCCTATCCATCAACGTTACACCACACATCATCCTAAGCATTCTCCTTCCGTCGACGCCAATCTTCTCAGGTCCCTCTTTCGGCGCCCAACCTCTGCTCCATATCCCAAAACACTTCTAACACATGCATACAATTCTCCCTTCTGCTTCAACGAAGTCGACTTTCCGCACAACATTCCCGACAACTCTAACTCCACCACGCTGCTTGAACTCTGTTCCTCACCGCTTGCTCGCACCCTCCACCATCATTTAACACATCGCCCAGAATATTCCGATACACCTTCCAAACTCACGTCACCCAGTTCAAACTTCAATCGCGACTCGCCCACCACTTCGACACGTCCTGCACTCAAAATCAGTTACTCTTGTCAATGCACCACGGACACCTGAACATCTTCCATGAACCCACTTACCTGCATTTCCCACATTATCGAATTCCTCAACTCTTTTCCACACACACACCATTTATCACTGTCCTTCCACCTCCACCTGCCTCGAGCATCCTCCCCTTCGTCTTTACCTCATTCACTTTCAGTCCCTTGACTTCTATTGCCGTTTTCCATTCTCGGTACCATTCCAGAACTTTCTGCTTCGACTCCGCCACCAAGACAATGTCATCTGCATACAACAAACACCAGCATCCTTCTTTTCTTCTCACTTCCTCTGTCAGTACATCCATCACACAAGCAAACAGTAACGGCGACAAGACTGAACCTTGATGAACACCAACTTTTACCTCAAAAACACCAGATCTAACACCTTCCTCCGTAACCACCGCCTCTACACCTTCATAAGTCTCCATAACTGCCCGAACCATATTCTCTGTCACACCTTTCTACGCAGCGCGTACTCGATCACCTTTCTCGAACTCTATCAAACGCCTTCTCCAAATCTACAAACACCATATACAATTCTCTGTCCTTCTCCAAAAATTTCTCCTGCAGCTGCCTCAACACAAAACACGCATCCGTCGTTCCTCTCCACGGTATGAATCCATACTGCTCTTCCCCCATCCGAACAACTTCCCTCAACCTTCTTTCAAACACTCTCTCTACTATGTTCAACGCATGCTCCATCAGCTTAATAGTCCTGTAATTCCCACATACCGTCGCTGCTCCTTTCACTTTGTACAGCGGCACCACTAGACTCTTTCTCCATGTACTCGGCATCTTTAAGCCCCTCAAAACCTCGTTCGCTACATTACACAACTCTCTCACGCATAGTTCATTGTCCAACATTTCGCTACCCACTTCACTCGGTCCCGTCGCCTTTCCTTTCTTCATCTTGCGCAGAGCCGCCGCCACCTCATCAACAGTCACTATTTCCCACGGCCCAAACTTCATCCGCTTCAACTTCTCCATTCCACTCATTCTCACATTCATCAAACGGTCACAGTACGCCCTCCACACTTCTAACCTGTCTTCCAATAACACCTTCAACTCCCCATCGTGGTTCTGCACGCGGGGCACCAAAATATCGTTCCTCTCCTTCTTGTTCTTCAGCAGTTCTAAACAACGCTTCTTCCATTCTCCTGCATTTTACGAGAGCTCTTTCTGATGTCTTCTTTCGCTTTAGCCACCTCCTCGCGCCTTTTTCTGAATCGGATGTAATCGATCCATCTGCTTCAGTCCGCGACTTTCTCCACCTTTAAATGCCAACTTCTCGCGCCAATCACTTCGCTGACTTGTTGATCCACCACCATGCCTGTTCTTCTACACACCGCCTTTACTTCTTACACATACCTTCTCCGCTGCCTTTAAAACACCTCTTTCCAAATCGTCCATCGTTCCTCCACCGTCTCACCTTCAGCATTCCACTGTCCTTCATCCACGGCTTCCATGTCCTGCCACCCTAACCTTCTCCTTTCACCTTCCTGATTCTCCAGTCCATGACCAGCAGCTTGTGCTGTCCACATTTCACATCCCTTCCATTTCCCTTTCTTCATTCACCAGTATATAATCCACCACCGTCCTACTGTCACCAGATTCATACGTCAGCTTACTTTCTTCCTTTATAAACCACGTATTCACTACCACCATCCCACAACTTGCTACTCCAATATCGCCTCGCCTTCAGCATTCATATCACCAACTCCAAAACCTCCATGCACAGGTATCCTTTTCTTACGCTTCCCACATGACCGTTCCAATCACAAGCATCACACATCGCCCTCTAATGTCTGCTCTCACTGCATACACGCTGTCGTAGAACTTTCCTTCTCCTCCGCTTCGTCCACCTGCAGAGCTACACCACAACGAAACTCACAACTTCGGCCTCAATAACTACATCATCTCAGGACTCTGTCAAAACTCTCTTCACTGCTACAACTGACTTCGCCCAATCCTCTCTTATCGCAAAGCCAACACCATTCGTGCCACTTCTGTTTCCCTTCCAAAACCACTTAAATCTTGCTCCATTATCTTCACCCTTTATGACTCTCGTACCTTCACCTTTAAACCTTACTCTCTGAAACCCACACACATCTTTCCTTCTCTTCAACATGTCCGCCACTTCTGCACTCCTTCCTTCATTGTCCCAACGTTCACTGTGCCTACCCGAAGGGTGACACTTCCACAACCATTCGATCCGAGATTCTTGCACCCCTGCCCACTGAAGGGCTGCCGGGGACTGGGGGCCATATCTTCTTTTCCAAAGTCCATGAATTTTGTTGGAGCAAAAGTTTTACGGTAGGATGCCCTTCCTTACACCAACCCCTTTTAGTCGTCTTTTACGACACGCAGAGGATACGTTGGCGCAATTCTAAGCCGGCAACCACACGGCTAAATCATTTGGATAAGAAGACATTTAAATAAACAAATGTATATGTTGTGCAACAGATAGTCTGTTGTAACAGGTATAAACTGTTGCACATTTGTCTGTTGCAATCACGACACTGCACTTGTCTTTTCTTACAAAGTATGTATATACATGTTGTGCTATTGATTGTTAACTTCTGCTCTTGATGATAAATATTCTACAGCACTATTGATAAGTCAAAACATGTAATTGAATGTCCCATGTTATTAGATGATGAGCAAATGATATATTTAAAGAAATGTGTTAAATTAGTTTTTTCTGGTTATTTGCTAGGAATAAATGTCTGCAAAGCAGAAAAAGATGAGGGAACGCCAATTCAAATTTTATAGAGAAAGCCGCCAAATCCATATCATCTTGCACAGCCCATGTTAAGGAAACTTTCATATTGGCAAGTCATAGCTTACACGGAACAATCTTAAATATTCACAGCAGATTTGTGCCTCCTGTTTTTGTGCGGCAAATGGATTATATTATTTGGTGATTTAGGAAAATTGAGAGGAGAATTTTTATACATATACCATATATATTATTTTGCAAAAAGTTATAATTCAAATTGCTGGCATCCTTTGTAACAAATAGAATTCTCTTTTTGGTGAATCAAATATGGCAACAGACTCATGGAAGGTACTTTCTACTGCATTTTGTTTATGAAAAATTTTATTTTCATTTCATTTTGCTGTTAATGTTTTCTTACTAATTAGAAACATTTTATAACCTTTTCTTACGAATTAGAAACATTCTATAATGTTTTCCTACTAATTAGAAACATTCTATAATGTTTTCCTACTAATTAGAAACATTCTATAATGTTTTCTTACTACTTAGAAACATTCTATAATGTTTTCCTACTAATTAGAAACATTCTATAATGTTTTCTTACCATTTAGAAACATTCTATAATGTTTTCCTACTAATTAGAATCATTCTATGATGTTTCTTACTAATTAGAAACATTCTATAATGTTTTCCTTCTAATTAGAAACATTCTATAATGTTTTCCTACTAATTAGAAACATTCTATAATGTTTTCTTACTAATTAGAAACATTCTATAATGTTTTCCTTCTAATTAGAAACATTCTATGATGTTTCTTACTAATTAGAAACATTCTATAATGTTTTTTTACTACTTAGAAACATTCTATGTGAACAAATGGGTCTCAGGACTATGGTATCAGTGACCATTACCTTTCAAATGGTGTTCATGTAAGACACAGGGAAACAGGTGTCATTGAAAAACTTTGTGTAAGTTATTTTAACAATTCAAAGTCAGTTTAGTATGAAGTTTTTATGCACTGGTCAAGGACCCAAATTAATGAAAAAAAAAATGCTTCTCAACTATTTTAAATTTTTTCATGAATCATTATGTGACATTTAGAAATGCAAAAGTTTGCTGAAGATTCCTGCTGTTTTTACAAAGGTGTTGCTTTTGTAGAGTAAGTTCCTTCAAGATAATAAGATGTACCATGAAGAAGTAAAAAATTTATCTATGACCAAAAAACTTGTTTCTTAATACACAAAAAATATGTCACTTTGTTCATCTAAAAGTGCATTTGCATGATATCTAAAAGTTTGCCAAAAATGTTTTTGATTTCAATAGCCTTTGTAGAGGAAGCTGTAACCGTTTTGCACTGTATGGTGTCTTATTTTTTGTTCTGGTCAATTTGAAAAGCTTTCTATTGAAACTTGCATTTGGACTGTTTGCCGCAGTAATCTATGTTTTAAGATAATTCTAATGATATCAAGTCCCATTATTCGACATAGGCACTTAAATCTAACATGACAGATATTGTATCAATTTTTAACCTAAGATTGTGAAAATACCTTCAACTGAAATTCACATGCCCATTTGTGTAATATTAATTTGCACCCTGTTTGAGGACATTAAACCACATTTGAATTCATTCAACCACTTTCGTATACATTCAACCACATTTGAAAACATTCATCTACATTTGAATACATTCATTTACTTTTGTGTACATTCAACCACATTTGAATACATTCATCTACATTTGAATACATTCATTTACTTTTGTGTACATTCAACCACATTTGAATACATTCATCTACATTTGAATACATTCATTTACTTTTGTGTACATTCAATCACATTTGGAAACATACATCTACATTTGAATACATTCATCTACTTTTTTGTACATTAAACCACATTTGAATACATTCATGTACATTTAAATACATTCATCTACTTTTGTGTACATTCAACCACATTTGAATACATTCATGTACATTTGAATACATTCATCTACATTTGAATACATTCATCTACTTTTGTGTACATTCAAACACATTTGAATACATTCATCTACATTTAACTGTATTGAACTACATTTGACAGGCAATGAGTGCTTTGACATCAACATGTGTATTAATGACATCTTCCATTATGTTATTGATATTTATTCCTAAGTTCATCCGCTCTAAAAGCAAATTCAGTCTTTCTTCTATAACATTTATGCATGTTTTTTTGCAGCAAAGTTATGGCTTTATTGAGTGTGCTGAACAGGATCTTCAAGTGTTCTTTCATTACAGTCAGTACAAAGGACATTCAAGTGAACTGGAACTTGGTGGTTTGTAAATTTTGCTTATTTTCACCCTTCAACGACTCTTATATTACTTGTTATGTGTGCAACTACACCATTAGTATTATATTGTTTTTCTGAAACATTGATATAATTTCATTCAAGTATGAGGCTTGTTGCCTTTCTGCTATTTAATAAGGGGAACAAGCTGTTTTTGTGAGCTTATCCAGTTATTCAGAACATTTGTTTCATCAGTCATTATTTGAAAAGCATTCTTTGTCAAGTAATTCATTGGGTTTCCTCATATGACTTTTCACTCTCTACCATAATCAGTGGTGACCCTTTATGACATATTGGGAGAGGGAAGCTCATCCTCAAGGCATGAGATTTCTATGGAGATTCCAGGGAATGCCTTTGTTGGTATACTTTTAAAATTTGATCTCCACCATCTGAATCCCACCACAGTTCATGTTATCAACACGTGGCATTCACGTGCCTTCACGATGTTGTATGAGGGTGTTCTTTGCTATTCTAACTTGCACTGTTCTGTCTTTTTAATGTGAATGTGATGGGTATTCTGAAGGACTCTGTCTGCAAAAAATGTGTGTCCAAATGTTAGTGTTAGTTAAAACAACTTTTCAAACTCATGTATAGTCTTTGTTTTATTGTGGGTAAAACGAAACAGAACTTTTTTATTTACCTAGTCAGAACAAACCACTGATCATTGACTTGTTGGGGAGTTTCACACTGTAATCCTTCACCATCCGCCCCACCCCGCCTATCCCCTTGTTTCTACTGCTACTGCAAAGGCCACTGCTCTGGTCTATTATCTGAAGTGTAAAGAACATTTCGATTGATATTGATAGTCGATTAAATCTTTTTTTGTTTAGACTGTGTGGAGTTTGAAGTGACATCAGATTCTCGTAAGGGTAAACCAATTGCATGTCGAGTGGTGAAATTGGAACAAGGCTCTGTTACATTTGAAGTAAGTGACCTTGACACCTTGTGTACTTTTTGACGCTTGCCGTGTATGCACGTTCATCCTGGTTTGGTTTACAAAGTTTTACGAGAAATTGAGAAATCGTCTTTTGGTGAATCATCCATTTATGTTTCCTTTGTAGGAAAAAAGCGAGGAAAGAGTTGTTGGTAAAGTGGAAGTTGAGGCGAGGTTGTCGAGACACAGCTACCCCAAACAGGTGATTTTCATCGTGATCAATTAGCTGGGAAAATGTAATAGTCAGTGGCGAAGCAAACGCGTTAATTAAGGGATGGGGAGGGGTGGGTAGATAACAAATTCATCTATGCACGTCTTTATGCATGGAACACAATGGAACTCAATACGGCAGGACATGCATATGTGGAATATATAGATGTGTGCTCACCCCCTCCCCCCAGTTATCGTGCTTGCTACACCACTGTTCATTATGCATATTGCTTTAAAATTACTCGTTGTTAATGGTCGTGTATGAATTTTTTGAGTTGCGTATTCCTGTTGTTTTATTGTACTTTGAATGTTTGTGATGTCGTTTTCAAAGAGTTTCATCATTATTTTGTAGCAGTTATTTCGCAATGGCGAGTCCGAATGTGGTCGCGTTAGTTATGAAGTGAACGGAGTAAGTACTGTTTGAACTTCTTCCATTTTTTGCATCTTTACGTGGCTAACTTTAATACTTAAGTCATTTTTTGGGGTTGAGAGAAGAATTAATGTAAAATATAAAAGTATCAGACTTTTACTCAACATCTTTATCGAACATTTATCGATTGGGCAATAAATACAGAACACACCAGTGAGCAAAATATTTGCTTTGGGCAAAAATCCCAAAATTGAAACAGGCAAGAAAGTTAGTGACGTGACGATAAGGGAAAGTGTAGATTACTGCCTGCAAATTATTGACATTTCCTTCATCTTTTTTGAAACAGCTTTTCGCCGTTAATTCCTTTTTGGATTTTGATCGTTCCCTCCACACCATAGAAAGCTTGCTATGCATATTTTGCCGTATTAAATTAATTTTTTAGGCTTTTTGACATGCATACCTAAATAAACATTGACTACCCTCCCCACCCCCACAATTATCGAGGCTATTATAGCGCCCTTGATGAGTAGAAATTATACTGTATTCTCGCCCTTGATGAGTTGAAATTATACTGCAATATGGGATTAGGATTAGATCAGATGAGATGAGTTTAAGATCATTACATGATACAGGTATGCACTGTCAGGGGGGTGGAGTTTAAGATAATTGCATGATACAGGCATGCACTGTCAGGGGGTGGAGTTTAAGATGATTTCAATATACAGGTCTACACGGTCAGGGGGGTGGAGTTTAAGATCATTGCATGATACAGGTCTGCACTGTCATGGGAGTGGAGTTTAAGTTCATTGCATAATACAGGTTTGCTCTGTCAGGGGTGGTGTTTAAAATCATTGCATGATAAACGTCTTCATGATCAGGGAGTGGAGTTTAAGTTCATTGCATAATACAGGTCTGCACTGTCAGGGTGGACTTTAAAATGAATGTATAATACAGGTTTGCACTGTCAGGGGTGGACTTTAAAATGAATGTATAATACAGGTCTGCACTGTCAGGGGTGGACTTTAAAATGAATGTATAATACAGGTTTGCACGGTCAGGGGTTGGTGTTTAAAATCATTGCATAATACAGGTTTGCATGGTCAGGGGGTGATGTTTAAAATCATTGCATAGTACAGGTCTGCACGGTCAGGGCGTGTGTGTTTAAAATCATTGCATAATACAGATTTGCACGGTCAAGGGGGGGTGTTTAAAATCATAGCATAATAAACGTCTGCATAATCAGGGGGTGGAGTTTAAGTTCATTGCATAATACAGGTTTTCACGGTCAGGGGTGTTTTAAATCATTGCATTATACAGGTCTGCACAGTCAGGGGGTGGAGTTTATGATCATTGCTTAATACAGGTTTGCACGGTCAGGGGTGGTGTTTAAAATCATTGCATAATAAACGTCTGCATGATCAGGGGGTGGAGTTTAAGATCATTGCATAATACAGGTCTGCACGGTTAGGGGGTGGATCTTTATGATTCTAACCGTTGCTCCTTTTCTTTCAGGAATTGTTTTTTCTTCCACATTATCAAGCTGGTGTTTTATCAAAGTCTCACATCTACAAAGGTGATACTGTGTCTTTTTACATCCTGGAAAACAAAAGGTAAATTATATTCTTTGCTATAGCGTCGAAAGCTTGTACTGTTTCTCTAGATTGTATCACGTGCTTCATCACGTGCATTACATTACGTGGTTAAGCAATGAATGCGCAGTCTTAAGAATGTTCTTTCTATTTTGGTGAAGTCTTTCTCCTTATTTCTACGTTTTGATATGCTACCTTACACAAGAAAACGCTTTGGTTAAGGCTTATAACATGAACGTTAGTTTATTATTTACACGAACCATGTCCAATTTACGAGCCATGTCCAAATTGTTGTTTGTTTGATGCACTGCTACAGTTCATAAACCTCTATAGAAATGGACAATGCTGTGCCGTGGAGTTGTTGCTGCTCGAAGCTTTGCCTCCTGTTTACGTTCAAGGAATTGTCTGCTCGCTCAAGGAATCGTTTGGCTTCAACGACAGAGCTGACAAAGTGAACGAGGTTTGTGTTTGGGCCGTTGCAGTTGCTCCCTGTAGATCAATATTGATAATTTATTGTTTAATACAAATTGAGTTTTATCAGTTATTTCACTTATGTATACGATTTGATCATTTGTAATTTATTTTACACGATGACTTCTGATTGGCATTTGACGTAGGATTGGAAATTTTCGGTTTGCAAACGAGTCACGTGACTCAACTGACGTATTTTGTGATAGCTGACGACAGCAACAAGTTTATTTTGGAAATTCGTAAAATTTGTTTGTAAAACTTGGCCAATTATTTTGTCAGGTAAAGAAGTTGCAGTCTCAGTGGAGCGTCTACCAGAAGGTACAGTGAAATTTGATGATGTGAGCAAAGACACATTTCAAGGCACCATCGAGAAAGTACATTGTCGGACAAAAGACAGGAACCGTTAAATGGTGTGATATTGTACAACACAAGCAATGGTAGTTCACAGCTGCCATATTGGGAGAAAGATGTCTTGGGGGAGTTCACCGTCTTGACTTGGGATGTTGTTGGTTTTAAAATTGCTACAGGTAAATATGGTTTGTTGTAACTGTTGGTATTATTTCAACATGTGCAAGATCAATGAGAGATGATTTTGTTGATCTAGGCAAAGAACAGTTTAAGACTGATCGAGATATCTAGTATATATAGATTAAGTTACGATCGATAAACCAGGCGGGAATCGTACACAAAATATAAATATTAAATTACTAAGTTAGTTTAGTTTAGGTTTCCTTCTGTAGTAACACTGGATCAATAAGAGCTTATCTTTACTGGATCTTTAGGAAGAAGAGTTTAGAACTGGTAGAGATATCTAACATAAATAAACTTGGTTTAGTTCAGGTTTGTTTCTGTGGTAACACTGGATCAACAAGATATGATCTTAACAGGATCATAAGAAAGAAATGTTTAGGACTGATAGAGATATTTAGTAAAAATAAAGTTAATTTAGTTTAGGTTTCCTTTAGTAGTAACACTGGATCAATAAGATATGATCTTTACTGGATCATTAGAAAGAAAAGTTTAGAACTGATAGAGATATTTAGTCTAAAGAAAGTTAGTTTAGTTTAGGTCTCTTTCTGTAGTAACACTGGATCAATAAGAGATGATCTTTACAGTAAGAACTGTTCAGAACTGATAGAGATATCTAGTATAAATAAAGTTAGATCAGTTTAAGTTTCCTTCTGAAATATTAGCCTAATTGGTTGTTAAAATCTAGGCTCTTATATGCGAAGTTTTACTTTACTCCCTACTTCAGCCTCATATCTAATCTTAGTTAAAAATAACTTTGTTACTGTATCAATGGGTGCTCCATCGACAATTCTTTAAAACTTCAACTAGTCTTCCTTTGCTTAGACATTACCATGTTTAGACGTAACATTTTGTTTTAAACTAGTTCGTTGTCCTCCTTATTGTTGATTGAATGTTTTGGTGTCTTGTTTAACGTGCATGTCTGAACATTTGAAGAAAATACCAAACGTGTATGTACCTTACAGAATAACCAAGCTTTCAAACTATAGTTTTCCTTTGAGTGTTTCCAGTTGGATATGGCAACATGTCCATACAATGAAAGAAATTAACAAATTTTCCCCGTGATATCGGGAATATAAAGCACGCTTCCATCTTTTAGCCACTCAGTCAAGCGATACATCTCTTTCTTTTCGTGCAGATCGGCGTGATTCTTTAAGAAGAGCAACGGAAATTCATCTCATCAAGGAAGTGGAAAGCAGCAATGGATGCAATGTCAGAGAAAGAGTAAGTTTTAATTCTCCTTTACATTTGCTAGTGTTTAGACTGCGTCATGAGGAAGCCATTTCTCCAAATTTAGCGGGAAATTGTTTACCTTTATCACTGTGATGGCAAATGTTAATTGCTTTGAGTTATGGTTTGACCTTTACCCCTCCTCGTCTATGAGTATTTTATCCACCCACCCCTTCAAAAATTTACTCCCCCTCAAGTTGTACCTCCCTAAAAAGGTATACTTGCTCTCGAAGCATTCAAATTTTCACAATGTATCGTTGAAAATAAAGGTTTGTCCAAAGTATTTTACTGTCTTCAATCTCTCGTATTTTGTTCGGAAATCTTTTATTTTCGAAAACGCTAACATTGTGCTCCATGGGCATTGGCATTGAGCATTTTTATTTTATGAATGTCGATGTATAACTATAGTGCACAGAATCGACTTAAACTCGTTTCCTTCTTAAAGATCTATGTTAAAAATTATTGTTGGTGTAATGTTATTAAATGCATGATTTTTTGTTCCTTGTTAGGGGTTTATTTCGGCTTTGAAAGACGGCTATGGCTTCATTCAGTGTTGTGATAGGGATACATTAAATGCATAATTTTTTGTTCCTTGTTAGGGGTTTGTTTCGGCTTTGAAAGACTATGGCTTCATTCAGTGTTGTGATAGGGATACATTAAATGCATAATTTTTTGTTCCTTGTTAGGGGTTTGTTTCGGCTTTGAAAGACGGCTATAGCTTCATTCAGTGTTGTGATAGGGATACAAGATTATTCTTTCATTTCATCGAGTTGATTGATGCGGTGAGTTTTGTTATTATGGCAATCGTAAGAAAAAAACCTTTCAAAACAACCTCTTCTAACCACGTTAGAACATCGTTTGCTACGTAAAGCTCGATATGTGCCAGTGAAAGTATGTCAAGATAAATCCATTGAGAAAGTAGCTTTGCTGATGTTAGTTTAAAGTATCGTTAAATGTTTGTAAATGAAGATCGTCTTGGCTTGGTGAAGTTCTGAGAAGGACTGTTGGTGTTGTTATTGACTGTCAGCCGTATAACCAGAGTATTGACAACCTTCGCTGTAGGCTTCACTCTTAAGATGACTACCGCTTAGGTTGTCGAAACGTCAGTCAATATCAACAACAACAGTCCTTCTCAAGATTTCCATAACGTGGACGATCTACATCTACACACATGCAAAGGTACTCCCGGGTTCAAATCATTTAATTTAAAGCCTTATCAGTTAGTGCATGATCGTCTCAAAATTATTGCTTGGTTGATGCAGTTGCTATTTTATTTTCCATAGGAACAAGAAATCAACTTTTCCGGTGAAGTGGAGATCAGTGTAGTCGAGGTTCGTAAAAAAAAATGCATTTTGAGATTTTTTGTCGACTGACTGATTTCTACAACTTTAAAACTCGTTTACAGGATCACGTGTCCGGAAGGCTGAATGCGATTCGTGTGAGAATCTTACCACGGGAAACATAACTCTCCAGGTATAGTCATCATACTGTATCAACCAATCATATAGTCACCATAGGGTATCAACCAATCATATAGTCACCATAGTGTATCAACCAATCATATAGTCACCATAGTGTATCAACCAATCATATAATCACCATAGTGTATCAATGAATCATATAGTCACCATAGTGTATCAACCAATCATATATTCACCATAGTGTATCAATTAATCGTATAGTCACCATACTGTATCAACCAATCATATAGTCACAATAATGTGTCAACCAATCATATAGTCACCATAGTGTGTCAACCAATCATATAGTCACCATAGTGTATCAACCAATCATATAGTCACCATAGTGTGTCAACCAATCATACAGTCACCATAGTGTATCAACCAATCATATAGTCACTATAGTGTATCAACCAATCATATAGTCACTATAGTGTATCAACCAATCATATAGTCACCATAGTGTATCATCCAATCATATAGTCACCATAGTGTATCAACCAATCATATAGTCACCATAGTGTATCAACCAATCATATAGTCACCATAGTGTATCAACCAATCATATAATCACCCTAGTGTATCAACCAATCATATAGTCACCATAGTGTATCAACGAATCATATAGTCACCATAGTGTATCAACCAATCATATAGTCACCATAGTGTATCAACCAATCATATAGTCACCATAGTGTATCAAGCAATCATATAGTCACTATAGTGTATCAACCTATCATATAGTCACCATAGTGTATCAACCAATCATATAATCACCCTAGTGTATCAATCAATCATATAGTCACCATAGTGTATCAACCAATCATATAGTCACCGTAGTGTATCAACCAACCATATAGTCACTATAGTGTATCAACCTATCATATAATCACCCTAGTGTATCAACCAATCATATAATCACCATAGTGTGTCAACCTATCATATATTCACCCTAGTGTATCAACCGATCATATAGTCACCATAGTGTATCAACCAATCATATAGTCACCATAATGTATCAACGAATCATATAGTCACCATAGTGTATCAACCAATCATATAGTCACCATAGTGTATCAACCAATCATATAGTCACCATAGTGTATCAATTAGTCATATAGTCACCATAGTGTATCAACCAATCATATAGTACTGTAGTGTATCAACCAATCATATAGTCACCATAGTGTATCAACCAATCATATAGTCACCATAGTGTATCAACCAATCATATAGTCACCATAGTGTATCAACCAATCATATAGTCACCATAGTGTATCAACCAGTCGTATAGTCACCATAGTTTATCAACCGTATAACCAGAGTGTTGACAATCTTCGCTGTAGGCTTCACTATGATCATTTGACGTCTACTAAAATTTCTCAAAAATATAGGAAGTTGAATTTTTTCGAGAAATTATTAGGCGTTTTCTGAAATTTAGCGTACTATAAAAGAATATATTTAAACATAAAATTTATTTCCTTTTTAACTATAAGAGTGAACGAGAGTGAATGATTCTGAATAGTATTTGAAAACAATTTGGAACATAACATCAAATTTTAGAATAAGGATGAAGTCAATATTTGAAATAGGATAACGGCTGTAATACTTTTTATCTAAATACATTAAATAAGAAATAAAGTTAAATTACAAACAAACAGTAGCGTAGCATGCTCAGTAATTTATTTTTCTTGGCAGACTTTTTACTCATCATCTTTTATCGAACATTTATCGATTGGGCAATAAATACAGAACACACCAGTGAGCAAAATAGTTGCTTTGGGCAAAAATCCCAAAATTTAAACAGGCAAGAAAGTTAGTGACGTGACGATAAGGGAAAGTGTAGATTACTGCCTGCAAATTATTGACATTTCCTTCATCTTTTTTGAAACAGGTTTTCGCCGTTATTTCCTTTTTGGATTTTGATCGTTCCCTCCACACCATAGAAAGCTTGCTATGCATATTTTGCCGTATTAAATTAATTTTTTAGGCTTTTTGACATGCATACCTACATAAACATTGACTACCCTCCCCACCCCCACAATTATCGAGGCTATTATCGCGCCACTGTATTCTCGCCCTTGATGAGTTAAAATTATACTGCAATATGGGATTAGGATTAGATCAGATGAGATGAGTTTAAGATCATTGCATGATACAGGTATGCACTGTCAGGGGGGTGGAGTTTAAGATAATTGCATGATACAGGTATGCACTGTCAGGGGGTGGAGTTTAAGATAATTTCAATATACAGGTCTACACGGTCAAGGGGGTGGAGTTTAAGATCATTGCATGATACAGGTATGCACTGTCATGGGGGTAGAGTTTAAGTTCATTGCATAATACAGGTTTCCACGGTCAGGGGGGGTGTTTAAAATCATTGCATAATAAACGTCTTCATGATCAGGGAGTGGAGTTTAAGTTCATTGCACAATACAGGTTTCCACGGTCAGGGGGGGTGTTTAAAATCAATGCATGATAAACGTTTTCATGATCATGGAGTGGAGTTTAAGTTCATTGCATAATACAGGTCTGCACTGTCAGGGGTGGACTTTAAAATGAATGAATAATACAGGTTTGCACGGTCAGGGATTGGTGTTTAAAATCGTTGCATAATACAGGTTTGCACGGTCAGGGGGTGATGTTTAAAATCATTGCATAGTACAGGTCTGCACGGTCTGGGGGTGGTGTTTAAAATCATTGCATAATACAGATTTGCACGGTCAGGGGATGGTGTTTAAAATGATTGCATTATACAGGTCTGCACAGTCAGGGGGTGGAGCTTAAGATCATTGCATAATACAGGTTTGCACGGTCAGGGGGTGGTGCTTAAAATCATTGCATAGTAAACGTCTGCATGATCAGGGGGTGGAGTTTAAGATCATTGCATAATACAGGTCTGCACGGTTAGGGGGTGGATCTTTATGATTCTAACCGTTTCTCCTTTTCTTTCAGGAATTGTTTTTTCTTCCACATTATCAAGTTGGTGTTTTATCAAAGTCTCACATCTAGAAAGGTGATACTGTGTCTTTTTACATCCTAGAAAGCAAAAGGTAAATTATATTCTTTGCTATTGCGTCGAAAGCTTGTACTGTTTCTCTAGATTGAATCACGTGCTTCATCACGTGCATTACATTACGTGGTTAAGCAATGAATGCGCAGTCTTAAGAATGTTCTTTCTATTTTGGTGAAGTCTTTCTCCTTATTTCTACGTTTTGATATGCTACCTTACACAAGAAAACACTTTGGTTAACGCTTATAACATGAACGTTAGTTTATTATTTACACGAACCATGTCCAATTTACGAGCCATGTCCAAATTGTTGTTTGTTTGATGCACTGCTACAGTTCATAAACCTCTATAGAAATGGACAATGCTGTGCCGTGGAGTTGTTGCTGCTCGAAGCTTCGCCTCCTGTTTACGTTCAAGGAATTGTCTGCTCGCTCAAGGAATCGTTTGGTTTCATCGACAGAGCTGACAAAGTGAACGAGGTTTGTGTTTGAGCCGTTGCAGTTGCTCCCTGTAGATCAGTATTGATAATTTATTGTTCAATACAAAATGAGTTCTATCTGTTATTTCACTTATGTATACGATTTGATCATTTGTAATTTATTTTACACACGATGACTTCTGATTGGCATTTGACGTAGGATTGAAAATTTTCGGTTTGCAAACGAGTCACGTGACTCAACTGACGTATTTTTGTGATAGCTGACGACAGCAACAAGTTTATTTTTGGAAATTCGTAAAATTTGTTTGTAAAAACTTGGCCAATTATTTTGTCAGGTAAAGAAATTGCCGTCTCAGTGGAGCGTCTACCAGAAGGTACAGTGAAATTTGATGATGTGAGCAAAGACACATTTCAAGGCACCATCGAGAAAGTACATTGTCGGACAAAAAGACAGGAACCGTTAAATGGTGTGATATTGTACAACACAAGCAATGGTAGTTCACAGCTGCCATATTGGGAGAAAGATGTCTTGGGGGAGTTCACCGTCTTGACTTGGGATGTTGTTGGTTTTAAAATTGCTACAGGTAAATATGGTTTGTTGTAACTGTTGGTATTATTTCAACATGTGCAAGATCAATGAGAGATGATTTTGTTGATCTAGGCAAAGAACAGTTTAAGACTGATCGAGATATCTAGTATATATAGATTAAGTTACGATCGATAAACCAGGCGGGAATCGTACACAAAATATAAATATTAAATTACTAAGTTAGTTTAGTTTAGGTTTCCTTCTGTAGTAACACTGGATCAATAAGAGCTTATCTTTACTGGATCTTTAGGAAGAAGAGTTTAGAACTGGTAGAGATATCTAACATAAATAAACTTGGTTTAGTTCAGGTTTGTTTCTGTGGTAACAATGGATCAACAAGATATGATCTTAACAGGATCATAAGAAAGAAATGTTTAGGACTGATAGAGATATTTAGTAAAAATAAAGTTAATTTAGTTTAGGTTTCCTTTAGTAGTAACACTGGATCAATAAGATATGATCTTTACTGGATCATTAGAAAGAAAAGTTTAGAACTGATAGAGATATTTAGTCTAAAGAAAGTTAGTTTAGTTTAGGTCTCTTTCTGTAGTAACACTGGATCAATAAGAGATGATCTTTACAGTAAGAACTGTTCAGAACTGATAGAGATATCTAGTATAAATAAAGTTAGATCAGTTTAAGTTTCCTTCTGAAATATTAGCCTAATTGGTTGTTAAAATCTAGGCTCTTATATGCGAAGTTTTACTTTACTCCCTACTTCAGCCTCATATCTAATCTTAGTTAAAAATAACTTTGTTACTGTATCAATGGGTGCTCCATCGACAATTCTTTAAAACTTCAACTAGTCTTCCTTTGCTTAGACATTACCATGTTTAGACGTAACATTTTGTTTTAAACTAGTTCGTTGTCCTCCTTATTGTTGATTGAATGTTTTGGTGTCTTGTTTAACGTGCATGTCTGAACATTTGAAGAAAATACCAAACGTGTATGTACCTTACAGAATAACCAAGCTTTCAAACTATAGTTTTCCTTTGAGTGTTTCCAGTTGGATATGGCAACATGTCCATACAATGAAAGAAATTAACAAATTTTCCCCGTGATATCGGGAATATAAAGCACGCTTCCATCTTTTAGCCACTCAGTCAAGCGATACATCTCTCTTCTTTTGTGCAGATCGGCGTGATTCTTTAAGAAGAGCAACGGAAATTCATCTCATCAAGGAAGTGGAAAGCAGCAATGGATGCAATGTCAGAGAAAGAGTAAGTTTTAATTCTCCTTTACATTTGCTAGTGTTTAGACTGCGTCATGAGGAAGCCATTTCTCCAAATTTAGCGGGAAATTGTTTACCTTTATCACTGTGATGGCAAATGTTAATTGCTTTGAGTTATGGTTTGACCTTTACCCTCCTCGTCTATGAGTATTTTATCCACCCACCCCGTCAAAAAATTTACTCCCCTCAAGTTGTACCTCCCTAAAAAGGTATACTTGCTCTCGAAGCATTCAAATTTTCACAATGTATCGTTGAAAATAAAGGTTTGTCCAAAGTATTTTACTGTCTTCAATCTCTCGTATTTTGTTGGGAAATCTTTTATTTTCGACAACGCTAACATTGTGCTCCATGGGCATTGGCATTGAGCATTTTTATTTTATGAATGTCGATGTATAACTATAGTGCACAGAATCGACTTAAACTCGTTTCCTTCTTAAAGATCTATGTAAAAATTATTGTTGGTGTAATGTGATTAAATGCATGATTTTTTGTTCCTTGTTAGGGGTTTGTTTCGGCTTTGAAAGACGGCTATGGTTTCATTCAGTGTTGTGATAGGGATACATTAAATGCATGATTTTTGTTCCTTGTTAGGGGTTTGTTTCGGCTTTGAAAGACGGCTATGGCTTCATTCAGTGTTGTGATAGGGATACATTAAATGCATGATTTTTGTTCCTTGTTAGGGTTTGTTTCGGCTTTGAAAGACGGCTATGGCTTCATTCAGTGTTGCGATAGGGATACATTAAATGCATAATTTTTTTTCCTTGTTAGAGGTTTGTTTCGGCTTTAATAGATAGCTATGGCTTCATTCAGTGTTGTGATAGGGATACATTAAATGCATGATTTTTGTTCCTTGTTAGGGGTTTGTTTCGGCTTTAAAAGACGGCTATGGCTTCATTCAGTGTTGTGATAGGGATACATTAAATGCATGATTTTTGTTCCTTGTTAGGGGTTTGTTTCGGCTTTGAAAGACGGCTATGGCTTCATTCAGTGTTGTGATAGGGATACATTAAATGCATGATTTTTGTTCCTTGTTAGGGGTTTGTTTCGGCTTTGAAAGACGGCTATGGCTTCATTCAGTGTTGTGATAGGGATACATTAAATGCATAATTTTTTGTTCCTTGTTAGGGGTTTGTTTCGGCTTTGAAAGACGGCTATGGCTTCATTCAGTGTTGTGATAGAGATACATTAAATGCATAATTTTTTGTTCCTTGTTAGGGAATTGTTTCGGCTTTGAAAGACGGCTATAGCTTTATTCAATGCTGCGATAGGGATACAAGATTATTCTTTCATTTCAGCGAGTTGATTGATGCGGTGAGTTTTCTTATTATGGCAATCGTAAGCAAAAAACCTTTCAAATCAACCTCTTCTAACCACGTTAGAACAGCGTTTGCTACGTAAAGCTCGATATGTGCCAGTGAAAATATGTCAAGATAAATTGATGGAGAAAGTAGCTTTGCTGATGTTAGTTTAAAGTATCGTTAAATGTTTGTAGATGAAGATCGTCCAGGCTTGGTGAAGTTTTGAGAAGGACTGTTGGTGTTGTTGTTGACTGTCAGCCGTATAACCAGAGTATTGACAACCTTCGCTGTAGGCTTCACTCTTAAGATGACTACCGCTTAGGTTGTCGAAACGTCAGTCAACATCAACAAAAACTATCCTTCTCAAGATTTCCATAACGTGGACGATCTACATCTACACACATGCAAAGGTACTCCCTGGTTCAAATCATTTAATTTAAAGCCTTATCAGTTAGTGCATGATCGTCTCAAAATTATTGCTTGTCGTGATGCAGTTGCTGTTTTATTTTCCATAGGAACAAGAAATCAACTTTTCCGGTGAAGTGGAGTTCAGTGTAGTCGAGGTTCGTAAAAAAAGATGCATTTTGAGATTTTTGTCGTTGACTGATTTCTACAACTTTAAAACTCGTTTACAGGATCACGTGTCCGGAAGGCTGAATGCGATTCGTGTGAGAATCTTATCACGGAAACATAACTCTCAGGTATAGTCACCATAGTGTATCAACCAATCATATAGTCACCATAGTGTATCAACCAATCATATAGTCACCATAGTGTATCAACCAATCATATAGTCACCATAGTGTATCAACCAATCATATAGTCACCATAGTGTATCAACCAATCATATAGTCACCATAGTGTATCAATGAATCATATAGTCACCATAGTGTATCAACCAATCATATATTCACCATAGTGTATCAACCAATCATATAGTCACCATAGTGTATCAACCAATCATATAGTCACCATAGTGTATCAACCAATCATATAGTCACCATAGTGTATCAACCAATCATATAGTCACCATAGTGTATCAATGAATCATATAGTCACCATAGTGTATCAACCAATCATATAGTCACCATAGTGTATCAACCAATCATATAGTCACCATAGTGTATCAACCAATCATATATTCACCATAGTGTATCAATTAATCATATAGTCACCATAGTGTATCAACCAATCATATAGTCACCATAGTGTATCAACCAATCATATAGTCATTATAGTGTATCAACCAATCATATAGTCACCATAGTGTATCAACCAATCATATAGTCACCATAGTGTATCAACCAATCATATAGTCACCATAGTGTATCAACCAATCATATAGTCACCATAGTGTATCAACCAATCATATAGTCACCATAGTGTATCAACCAATCATATAGTCACCATAGTGTATCAACCAATCATATATTCACCATAGTGTATCAACCAATCATATAGTCACCATAGTGTATCAACCAATCATATAGTCACCATAGTGTATCAACCAATCATATAGTCACCATAGTGTATCAACAAATCATATAGTCACCATAGTGTATCAACCAATCATATAGTCACTATAGTGTATCAACCAATCATATAGTCACCATAGTGTATCAACCAATCATATAGTCACCATAGTGTATCAACCAATCATATAGTCACCTAGTGTATCAACCAAATCATATAGTCACCATAGTGTATCAACCAATCATATAGTCACCATAGTGTATCAACCAATCATATAGTCACCATAGTGTATCAACCAATCATATAGTCACCATAGTGTATCAACCAATCATATAGTCACCATAGTGTATCAACCAATCATATAGTCACCATAGTGTATCAACCAATCATATAGTCACCATAGTGTATCAACCAATCATATAGTCACCATAGTGTATCAACCAATCATATAGTCACCATAGTGTATCAACCAATCATATAGTCACCATAGTGTATCAACCAATCATATAGTCACCATAGTGTATCAACCAATCATATAGTCACCATAGTGTATCAACCAATCATATAGTCACCATAGTGTATCAACCAATCATATAGTCACCATAGTGTATCAACCAATCATATAGTCACCATAGTGTATCAACCAATCATATAGTCACCATAGTGTATCAACCAATCATATAGTCACCATAGTGTATCAACCAATCATATAGTCACCATAGTTTATCAACCGTATAACCAGAGTATTGACAATCTTCGCTGTAGGCTTCACTATGATCATTTGACGGCTACTAAAATTTCTCAAAATATAGGAAGTTGAATTTTTTCGAGAAATTATTAGGCGTTTTCTGAAATTTAGCGTACTATAAAAGAATATAATTAAACATAAAATTTATTACCTTTTAACTATAAGAGTGAACGAGAGTGAATGATTCTGAACAGTATTTGAAAACAATTTGGAACATAACATCAAATTTTTAGAATAAGGATGAAGTCAATATTTGAAATAGGATAACGGCTGTAATACTTTTATCTAAATACATTAAATAAGAAATAAAGTTAAATTACAAACAAACAGTGGCGTAGCATGCTCAGTAATTTATTTTTCTTGGGGGGAGGGAATTTTCATACATTCATAATTTTGGAGTCAGTGGAATATGTATGAATATGTACACACTGTCATCTCGTTAATTTACCTGACGTAAGAAACAAGAAGTTTTAGTGGATGGAGTTTACTTTCTTACCAACTATGTTAGTGGTAGTAAAATGTTGCTGTTCTTGTCCTTTCCTATTTTCGCTTATTATCCCCATTATAATATTCATTATAAAATCATCCAAAATTATCGAATTAATTGAATTTTCTGATGATTTGATTGCAAGAGTGCTAGGAGCATTGTGTTTTGCTGTAGACTAGAGATCAACAAAAAAGAAGAAATGGGTTGGAAGCAACGACACAAGATTTTACAAAACAAGAAAAATTCATGTGATCGAAAAACATATCCTCTCTTATAGTTTTTTGTCAGCCCCTCTCCTTGTTTTTCAACACTGGCAGGAACACCCACCGAAAGATTGATCTAGGTAGTCGGTACCAAACTTTTTTCCACCTTTCTTAACGTCTATTTTCTTTCTTCCCCTTTTAGGAAAAAATCTCAAACCTCAGAGATTGGATGTTGTGTGTTCATTAAAGTGTTGTAGCTGTACGTATTGTATGTGGGTCAAATAAAGCGTCATTTACACATCGGATTTTCGTAGCATATGAGAATATATCCATTTGAAGGTAACCAAACGTCACGCCTTGCGTTATCGAGCATTTTTGCTAACATAAACATATCTGGAGATACCCCCAACATGGACGACTTTGAAAGAATTTCCTCTTCTCAAGATTCATACAATTTCTCCCTTAATGAGGGCCTCATTATCAATAGCTACAAGTCTTCACTTATCGACAGTATAGTAAAAATACAGTAGAGCAAGTCTATTGAATTTTTTGTGCTACGTATATCTCATTGCGCGTATGATTACTATATTGGAAGCTAGTAAATTGACTTTTTTTGAGTAATAGGAGTGCTAAGCTGGCTAACGGCAGTCTGTTACCTAATTATATGTACAGTAGCAAGTTTCTCAGCAAAGGGGACCTTTGGTATGTTTCCTTTACTATGACTTAACACCTGTCCAAGGCAGTTCTATTCAACTCTTTAATTTCACTATATTTTGCTTCCTAACTTCGTAATTTATATAATCTATTTGACACCGTCTCATTTTGTATTCTAACACCTTATGTAAATATGATTATTTCTCATAACATCCTATTAAGCATGCAATGCTACCCAACCTTCCGATTTGTTAAATAAAGCCCTATAATGCAGCGGATGTTGAGTTTTATTTTATGTTTTTCTACGTGTTTCTGTGCACCTGTTCACTTCAGAATTGTTTTATTATTGATGAGGAATATTTACTCTAAACGTCCCTAATGAATATTTTGATGAGGAAATACGTCAGTAAACGTCCCTGGGATAACAAGAGGCTACCATATTTTTACATAGTTAAATGCTGTTAATGACTTAACGTTGACAATGACCATATACTGTCTCTCAGATCTATAACAATTTAAACCAGCGTTTATAACATGTAATTTTACAAACAAATCGAAACAAATTTCTTAAAGCAAATAACAAGAGTTTTGAAAACAAGAAGTAAACAGAAATGCCAACTTTTCCAAAACAGCGAGGACAAAAAAGTAAAGAAAGCTTTGTCTCAGTTTAAATAATGGTTTATAATAAAACTATTCTTAACTTTGCTTACTCGCTCTCCAGCCTGCGAGTCTGTACATAAAGAAATATCTAATCCGATATTTCTCTTTAAAGAATTCGCGATTGCTTAGTAAGGGCCTTATTATACAACTAACTTTAATACGGTTTTAAAATTTATGTGTTTCTACATGCTTTTCCTTCCACCTGTTCACATCAGAACGTAGACTTAAGAACAACACTTTACAGCTAATTAACATAGCTAATTTACGAAGAAAATTGTAAAATGCCTAAATTAAAATGATTCTTGCTTGTTGTAGTATATTTTGATAATATCCAACAAAGTGGCTGTCCAATGCATCAACTAGAAGTTTGTTTTATACCAAATTAAAATAAATATTGAAATGTTAAATTGTTGTTCTTAATTCTTTACCGCTGAACCCAATCACTTAAACATTCTTCATTCATAAGTCATTATTCTTGCATGCATTATTTTTTGCCATTTTTCTTTGTATTTGTGCAGCTGTCTTATTGTGTCACTGGTTTGAACAGACACTTGTAAGCAATAAAAAAGCTGGTTTCATGTTGTAAATTTTACTGTATAGTTTGGTTCGACAGAAATTGGTGTATTTGGGGTTACAATTTTTTACCAATGAATGTTAGCAAAAATTAAATTTGCTGTTGCCAAAGTTGATATTTATGAACTTAAAATACGCTATGAAAACAATATCATTTTATGTCATTAGCACTTGAAGTCATTAACCTGTTTTGCCGTGTTCACCCAGTTTAGATGCATTAATTTTGCTTCGGCGCTTTGTCTTATCAGAGGTAAAATAACAAAAACTTATCTTCTATAACATTGCTTCGTCAACCAATGTATGTATCTTAATTTTTCTTTGTTTCCAAATTTTCTAACACATTTAAAGTATTATTGTTGATTCGTAAAGGGTAGTATTTAAGGCAAAACGAAATTCAATAAAATGATAAATAATTGTGGCAGTCGGCATAAGTGCATGCTTATATATTCTCAATACACGCTACTCCACACTGGAGGAAACAGCTTTGGCCAGCACTTACAAGTAAAACTTTGCGAAAACCACAACTCTATTGTTTACCATACTTGTACGAATCTTCATTTTCTCTGTTTGTTTAAGACATATTTATGCAGTTGCCTTATTTTGTGCGTTTTTCAAACAAAGACGTAAAGACAATAAAAGAACAAAAGGTAAGATGTAATAAATTACGTTGGCTACAGTTGATGGTAAAACGAATGTTTGTTTATCCTCGTTGCTTTGTTAGCATTTTATATAGAGCAATTATTTCCTTTGACAGAGTTTAGCAGCTTACATGATGCCGGCCTTCCCTCGAAGTATTGTGGTTGCAAAAGCTAAAGACATCAAGTATTAAACGTTTTCATAGATCAGAATTGAGTCAATTTTTTTCATAATTCCGTGGAAATTGTATGCAATTCAGGAATAGGCGTATTGTTTCATTGTTGATGAGGATATTTAGTCTAAACGTCCCTAATGAATATTTTGATGAGAAAATACGTCAGTAAACGTCCATTTCAGAACAAGAGGCCACCATGTTATTACATAGTAAAATGTTGTTAATGACTTAATGTTGACAATGACCATATACAGTCTCTCAGATCTATAACAATTCAAACCAGCGGTTCATAACAGGTAATTTTACAAACAAATCTAAACAAATTTCGAAAAACAAACAGCAAAAAATTTGAAAACAAAAAGAAAACAGGAGAGAATGCCAACTTTTACAAAACAGCGAGGACAAAAAGTAAAGAAAGGCTTCGTTTCAGTTTAAATAATACTTTATAATAAACCTTTATTAACTTGTTTATTCGCTCTTCGAGCCTGCGAGGTCTGCACATAAAGAATTAAATGATCCGATATTTCTCTTTAAAGAGTTCCCAATTAGTAAAGGCCTTATAATACAACTAATTTTAATTTGGTATTTCAAAACTTATGTGTTTCTACATGCTTTTCCTTCCACCTGTTCATATCAAAACGTAGGCTTAACAACAACACTTTACAGCTAATTAACATAGCTAAGTTAAGAAGAAAATTGTGAAAATTGCCTAAATTGAAATGATCGTTGCTTGTTGTAGTAGACTTTGATAATATCCAACAGAGTGGCTGTCCAATGCATAAACTAAAAGTTTGTCATATACCAAATTATAATTGAAATCAAAATGATGTTATTTTTGATTCTTTATGCTGAACTCAATCGCTTGAACATTATTTAATAATTACGTCATTATTCTTGAAGCGATGTTTTTCTTGTCATTTCTCACTGTATTTTCGCTGCTGTCGTATTGTGTCTATTGTTTAAACAAACACCTGTAGGCAATAAAGTTACAGCAGGTATTACGATGTAAATTTTACTGTATAGTTCGGTCCGACACAATTTGTTGTATTTAGGGCCTAAAATTTTGCTAATGACTGTCAGCAAAATTGAATTTACTGTTGGTAAAGTTGATAGTCAAAACTTAAAATACGTTTTATATTGTAACAATATAATTTTTCGTCATTGAGCACTTGAAGTCATTAACCTGCTTTGCCGTGTTTGCCCACATTAGATGCATTATTTGTGCTTCGTTGCTTCGTAGCTATAAACAGAGGTAATTCTCTAAAATATCAAAACTTTATCTTCTATAACATTGCTTTGTCAACCAACCACAGCATCCAAATTTCCAAACATTTAAAGTATTATTGTTGATTCGTAAAGGATAGGATTTGACGCAAAACAAATTCTATAAAATGTTGAATAACTGGGGCAGATGGCATGAGTGTTTGTATATACTCAATATGGCACTGTACATTTGAGGAAACAGCCTTGGCCAGCAGTTGCAAGTAAAACGTTGCGAAAGCCACAACTCTGTTGTTCGTCTGACTTGTATGTATCTTAATTTTTCTCTGTTTGTTTAAGGTGTATTCTGCAGTCGCCTTATTGTGTCCGTTTTCAATTAATAAAAACAAAGGTAAGATGTGATGTAGTTGATAGTAAAACGGAAGTTTCTTTATCTTCGATGCTTTATTAACATTTAATACTGCAAAATTTTTCTTTGACTTAGTTTGGCAAATAAGTGTTAATACAAACACCACACAACTTCCGCCCAAATGATTTGATTCTTATAGTAAATGGAGAGATTTTTTCATTTACCAAAATGGGGACAGGTTTCACATTAATATTTTGATTCGTATATTTATGTATTATCATATTTTTTGCTCAAATCTTTCATAAAACATCGAAAACAAACCCTATTCCACTGTTCTGTAAATATATTCGTTCTTCAGCGGAACCTGCGAAAAATTAAAAAAATCCGCTTGACATTTTCAATTCTTATGGAGTATTCATTGGCAGTTAGTACTCCACAAATAACTGCAAACAAAGGAGTAACGAAAAGCTTGGAAAATGTAAAAGCTGCAAACCATTTTAAGATTTTCTGTGATATTTCTGTAAATTTTATAAAAGAATTTGAGCAATCTCAAGATAACGCTGAAACCCAAAACTACTTAGCTGCCCTTAATATCGACGTTGGTTTATTTCGTAAGCTCTTCCTCCCAATAGAAAAAACTCTATGATTTCATAGGTTTTTTACATGTATCATGACATAACAGGAAATTGCAATGAAATAGCTAATGGGAAGCTCTGCATGCACAATTGTTATTTTCATATTCAGAGAAAGAATTTTAACATCGTCTTGGGTTTTTAATCTATTGTATCTAAAATAAATGATTTGCTTTGATTTTAATTTGATCTCGCTTTCTTCACTTCCTTAGCGCTATCCTCTAAAAAGCATTTTTCCATCGTTCAATAAATCTCTTGAAACACAAGAAGTTGAAATTTAGACCGAACCGAGTAAGAAGAATAAAGCATAAATTTAAAGTTAACCAAGTTTCATTATTTTAAGAAAATTATAACCACGTACCTATATAATAGCTACAGTGGCTACCAATAAGAGAGCCATCATGCAGCCATATGAAACTAACTCGATGTATTTCTGAACAGTTTTTCTCGCCACACAATTTTGCTGAAATGACTTTTCTAGATAATGCTCATATATTGCTCAAAAATACGTTTTGATCGTGATCTGCTTGCATCACAGATGTAATTGTGACGTAGTTATTGTCGATCTAAATATAATTTTAAAGTCTTCTGTGATAACGTACATACATCCAACAATCAATTATAATTTAGAGCTTTACTGTATATCCTTGGATCTATGCAATGATGAGTTTAATGATATGGTGGTTATTGTGGCTGTTATTTGGTCAAGGATTCACAATGAAAATGGGTTGGAATGAAGAACTTGAGTTTTGTGAGGAAAAATGGAAGAAATTTGTGGCGGACAAAATTAAAATTGATTCGAAATGCAACAATACTCGTACACGCTGTTGTGTTGAGAAGAAAAAATATCTTTTGGAGCGATTTAAAATGTTTAGTGAAATATGTCCACTCGAAGGTAAAGTAAACAACAGTTCAGTTTACAGTAAGTACAGGACATCAACTGGCCATGTACTTGGCAAACAATCACAACACTTATATTACTGAGGTACTGTTTAATTTAAATATGTAATTGAAACCGTGTTCTTAGAAAGTGCAATAAAGTAAGGTACCTAAAGTAAATGGTTTGAACCCATAAGGTACATGTTGAAGTACTCAGCTGATTTGGATACACTAGCTTCACAGCATTGACGCAGCATAATCTCCAGTTCATTGTTCCTCTGTCTAAATACAAAAGCAAAGTAATATGACAGTAGAGTCAAAAATAGTGATATATGCTGCTATATGATAAAGTCTGTATAGTTATTGTATATTTGGGTTTAAGGAGGACTTTCGATTCAATGTGAAGAGTATGTAACATTTTGTGGCCAAATGAGTGTCACTTTCTACTTGTTCTTTTTCTCTGGACAACCAGTTAAAGATAACTTAATTTTTTTTTAGGGACATGTGGATGCAGCCAGATTATTTTAAACTTTACTGTTTTGTCACACGTCTATTATGGTTCAAATCCTTATTTACAAATAGCATTATACGAAAAAGGGAAAGAACCAGAAAACTTCACGTGTTTACATAAGTACATAAATGAAAGAATAGAAAAGTCATATCTTTCACCTGTTCTTAACTTTGGAGTCGGACAACACAAAATCCCTAACAACAAGTATGTTTTATACGGTGGAAAAAGTCACACTTGTTTTATTGTACTCAACGTGAACAAAAAAGGTACGTGCAAGGGTAGTTCATTTTAGTTTCTCCTGTGTCAGTTTAATTTATAGTGCACCATTGTGATTATAGTGCTTCATATTCAACTTTGCTCAAATCCATACGACACTTTGACCTATATTTAATTCATCATGTACGTATACTCTTAAGTCAATTTCTTTGCAGTTGCAAAGCTAATAGAATACACCCCGGAACAGCCAAACATGTTTAATTCGTCATACATATATTATAATGTAAACCTGTAAAAGAGTAAAAGCTCAATTCAAGAGCGTGTCTTGGTTATTTTCGGGTTTATTGATTTTATTCATTAACGATCACGTTGGAAGATTTTGGTTGTTTGTTAATGGGTGTGAGGGTTAGGGTTAAGATGTTCATATATTGATCTGTGCTAGTTAAGCTTTATTATTATAATACAACGGTGATGCAATCTCGATTGTGATTGTCTAAAAGCCTTCAAATAATTGTCAATACACTATCACCTAGAAAAACATTGAAAATTACCTGTAGGTGACGAATTTTCTTTATGAGACAACTGTATATACAAGAAATATTTTGGTAGAATCTTCATCGAGACTTTCAAGTGTTTTACTCTGCTCAAATTATCGGGAATATAGACGAAAAACACCGAAAGTGTTAAACTGTTTGTCCAGAGAGTTTTCATCGCGTATTTACAGGAAATAGACGAAAGCGAACCGCAAAATTTTCAATCAGACTGCAGTCAGCGCTATCCCCTCAGATTTGCTTCGGTAGATATCCAATTGACCTCGGTCTGAATATTCTTTTATATCATGCTCAACTTAATCCAAAATTGTTAAATATTTTAACGGGAGAATGTTCTTATATCACTTCAGTAGAAATAAATTTCGTTGTATATTAACCCTCTGTATAATATCCCTGTACATATTTGTATGCATCTCTCCTCTGCATGTATAAACCTTTATAAACCCGTAAAAAAGCCTCACGATTTTGTATAAGCCCTGGCATGATATTTATTTAAATTGTTTGGAATTTTAAATTGTGCAACTCTGGTATTCTTATTATCAAGAGCACTATTTCACAGCACAACTTAAATGAACTCCACCAAAAAGAGTGTACAGCTTACAGAGTTCACAATTCAGTTTTACATTGAATTATATATTCCTTGTCTTCAAGTTTGAATAATACTAACCTAAGTCATCAACTTTTTCTGGGCAAAAATTTGTATAAGTGCTTAGATAAACTTCCTTTTCATGAAAAACGAAAGTCATGGGAGTTTATACAGATGAAAAATCAGGTTTAGCAAACAATCTTAAAATATTTCAAATATTTCAATTGCGTAAACAAACCATAACTCTCCCTTTTCCATCTTAACAGACCGTGCGCCTTGAAATTTTTATTAATTGATTTTTTACACTTTTCAACTTGTTTGTAAAATTTTTCAGTCTCCATGCCATTGAACTAAAATACATGGAACGCTGCATCAAGCATATAATTGAACCATATTTTACGCTACACACGCGAGATTTTACCCAAGACACGCGCGTTTAGTGTTTCGAGTTCCTCTCGCGGAGTAAAAATTGATTGACTACACACTCGTGTCTGGGGTAAAATGACGGCTTTAAAAAATTATTAGGGTTTTGTATTGCAGATGGCGTTCCATGTATTTCAGCTCAATGCTCCATGCTGGATGCCTTAAAATCTTGCATATGCCATTATTTTTAAATGACCCTCAACAGCAAGTGGTTTATTTAATTCTTTAGAAACGTTGAATTTCAAGATGACTTTTTTTTTAGGGGTTTTTTTTCCTATATTGATAGAATTCAGTATGCTAAATTATTTTTCATAGAGTCATATTATTTTTATATATATATTTTGTAGAGTGTGGTATTTTCAATCAATTTTATCATGTATCATTGTCTTTTTTCAGATACGAATGGATTTTTCATCAAACAAGTTCAGTCAGGAAAGTGTGTTTGGGATAGTTTATTCTCTCCCAGGCTGTATACAATGAATTGTTTTGAGGAGTCAGCTTATTTTAAATTTTTACAATCTGGCTCCATCAGTAGGTCGAATACAACAAGGTGTCTTTTTAGAGAAAGATACGGAATTTATGTGGAGTTATCTGATGGAAATTTTAATGGAAAATGCGGAGCCATCAATGCCATAACCCAAACAAATTGGGGTGGTCTATTCTTTTCACGCTATAACAAATGCATAGTAGATAAAGGAAGTTATTCCGACATGATACTGGCCAATTGTAAAAATGAAGAAAATCAGCGATTCAATTTCGGCAAGTGAGAATATTCATCCAGTTAGCGTATATATACTCAAACTCTAATTAAAAGCCACTGCAAGGCCACAGATATAGGAATGGCGCCAGTGAAGTCACTGCCATCACACACTTTATTTTTAACTAATCAACTTTTATTTTACAGGAATTCACAAATAAGCTTGTATAGATATGAATTTACTTATTTTTTGTGTGTCTTCTATAGGCTCAGTGACATGTGCGGGAAAAAATATATCGGACGTTAGTTGTTCTAATAATCAATATATGGTGATAAAAGTTGCAGAATATCGTGGATTGAGAAACGGAAACATTTGTGGCTGGAAATTTAATTACAATTGTAGTGTCGATGTAACATGTGAACTTAAAAATTACTGTGATGGTGAAAGGGAATGTAATGTAACTGTTGATGATAATCATTTCCCTTCAAATAATTGTCCTGGTTTGGAGAAATATCTTTACTTTGAATATCAATGTAACTACACAAGTATGCCATACAGAAAAATTTGCAATCGTAAGTATTATATGGGCAGATTATATTTTGCTTATTATTAAAGAGCTTCGGGACAAATTTTGACCTTAATGCGCAATGGTATGGTGCTCATTTTTATACTATGTACGTTATCAATTTAGAAAAGTTGACACAAATTTGAATTTTCGTCGGGTGTCTTCACCAGGCGTGGTTTGTTTATGCAGTTTTATCTCGTATTGTATAATTTAGTGTCTTTTTATAATGTGACATTTAAACTTGTGTCCTAAATATTTTTCATAGGTTTAATGGTTTGGTGAATTTTGTGTTTTTAGTTTGTTAATGCAAACTTTGTTCATGGAAACATATCTTCTTCCAGTCAATTTGATTTATCAAATCTTTTTCTTTTTTAAAATCTTTTGGCCATTCTATGTATGCCAAAGTGACATTTACAATTGCATTTGTATTCATATTTTCATGACTTCACACTACAGAATTTTTACATATACTGTATATATATACAAAGATAGATTCATTACAATTCCTATGAATTGGGAAGCTAAACGCAGCGCTCACCTATAACAAACGGTATTTGTTCTGGTTTCATTAATGATTCACATAATCACTTAGACACATTTTGTTGTGATTCGTGTTTACAACACAAGAGAAAAGTTCTCAGTTCAAACTAAAATTTTTTTTAAGTTAATGTCACCTTCTGTGTTCTTCTGATATTCAAACTCCGTGTATATATTTTATTCATGGACGAGATTTGTCATATTTATGTTCATAAAACTACTTCTAAAATTACAGATTTCACTTTGAAATATGCGCCATAATCACAATTATAGGGAAAAATAATTTTGATTTTTGTAGTTATGGATGTACGCCTGTCTAAGTCAAATCTTCCGAACGAAGGTGTCGTGAATGTTATTACCAAGTTTAGAAACTTCACCATTTGCAACAAAGGTCTTTTTCACAAAATAAAGACGATTATCTGTAAACAACTTGGTTATCCTACCGCAGCATCTGTGGAAGGCTCAATGTCACTATCATCTTTCATGCATCAATCGTTTATACCTGGAAATGTCAAATGTGATGCTCGAGTGAACGATTTATCTCAATGTGCTATCACTCAAAATAATGATTGCTCTCAATACTCGTACGTTACATGTAAGCATTCTCATTCAATTTTTTGAATGTATCAACGTATTGCAGGACACAGTTGTATGACGTTAGAAAAAGATTTATAGCGAAGAATTTAAGGAATGAATGTGTTACTTTTGTTCTCAACTTACATCAGTCTATTGTTAAGCATCATGACTTACTTCTATCATCAAGACTTACATCTGACATCGTAGTGTCACTGTATTTTACGCTGACTTGGAGAATTTCACAATTCTTTTACATAACAAAAGAAATATAGCATCACAAAATATAAACGATTGCTACTCTTAAATAATAAATAATTAAAACAGGATTGCTGCGAATACTGAGGATTAAATTAATTTTACTCTTGCTACTTCATTTCGTGCTTCAAAAAATGTCCAATTGTCATCCCTCTGCAATACAATTGACGTTCACTCTTTAATGGAATTTAAATCGCTACGGTATTGTTGTTATTAGACAAGATACTTACGGTTTCTTGTCATAGCTGGCTTGATTCCAACAGAATTTAATCTTAATAAAAGCATGCAAAATAAGTCGTATTCCTCCAATATATCTTGTGCTCTTTTTCTTTCTTAAGAAAACAGTTTTTAATTTTTCTAATTTTACGTGAATGGAGAACAATATGAGAGTGCACCATTGCTCTCTATCAAATGAAACCAGTTCTAATGTTATAATGCATTTCAACCAAATCCTTTTCTATTTAAGGTCATGTTTGTGATAATCCTCTATTAAAAAACGCAGAAAAATTCCCAGATTCTTGGTTTACTGCCTTCCCAAAGAGTCGTAGTGCTGCTAAAGCAAGAATATCCAGTGGTAGTTCATGGTGTGCTCCTGCTGCTAATGGCAATCATTACCTTCAACTGAATTTTCCGAGTCTTTATACAGTTAACGTTATCACTATCTTTGGAGACAGTTCAAGTTCAAGCTTTGTAACTAAATATCACTTGCAGACAAACATTGATGGTGTGAACTGGAAATCTGAAAATCCCAGAAGGTAACAGTAGACTTATCGAATTTGTATATTATAAATTTAAAGGAAATTTAAAAAGGAATGAAGTTATAAACTAAGTAAACTTTTAAATTGCTATTTATATACAAACTTGTGTGCAGATGTTGATTCAGTGGTGTAGCCGGCACGCAAAATTGCTGGTTCTATGTAAATTTCAGATCATTATCATTATTCATTTCTTTAGAGATCTATTGTTTTACAGTTAGTGAGCTCTGAGAAATTTACATATAGCACGACCAAATTTGTGGGCTAGCTACGTCACTGTGTTGATTGTCTTGGTTACTCCTGCACTACGAAGGACTCTTGCATTTGATTATAAAGTTTAAATTGTAGCTATGTGCATGATTTGAAGAGATACATAGACAATGCATAAACTACTCTCCTCTGGACAGCGTTAAACAAACCTTTCTTTTCTCTAACCTTGCTCTGCAAATACACGAAAATCAATTTTTTGTTTTATTCCAGATTTATCTAGGAAACAAAAATGGTTACAATGATGCGGCTATAGAAAAGTTTTCTGGTGGCCTTAAATCCAAAGCTTTATGAATCTTTCCATTGAAATTTGTTGGTGCACCGTGTTTACGAATTGAAATTTGTGGTGGAGGTAAGAGGTAGAAAAATATACCAGGTTTACTTTGCACTGTAAGCACTTAATTTTCAATATATAAAGTTTTTTCTCTGAGTATTAATTAAACATGAGTTAGTTGACAAAACAGAACAATTTTCCATGAAGGCTGAAGTGTTAGTTTCTTTCTCTGTTGAAATAAACTTATTGAAACAAGCCTTTTCAACATGCAGTTAAGTTTAACACGTGTTATTGGAGAAAAGCAGAACACTTATTTCACTTAGGGGCTACACATGGTTCAATTTGTAGATTTTTCTTTATCGTGCAGACTTACTCCCAGACAAACCAACAGATCTCATTGCAACCAAATCTGCATCGACGTACCTCGAGATATCATGGAAACATCCCAAAAACTGGTGTAAAACTTGGTACAAATATCTCGAATCCTCTTACAAGATATCTATTGATTTTGCTGAAGGATACTATGATTGTTTTGATAAAACTTTGGAGGTAACTGACAAAACCGTACAACATTACGAATCTTGTTCCTTACGCAACGTATAAAGTTAATGTAACCGCTGGCAATTCTGAAGGCTTTGGTAGATCAACTACAGCTACTTTTAGAACTGCTGAAGATGGTGAGTTCATATCAGTTTTGTGTATACATATCGGCTGTTGTTGCATTGATGGTGTTATTGCCATAGACGACTTTTGAAAGCTCAAATCTTTTCTGGTCGATATTTATTTCAATCATGTTTTTTTTATACTGTATTATATTTAAGTTAACAATGACAGTGTACACTTGTTAGGACTTCTTTCTAAAGTGTATTTAATATTTTATATAAATCTTTAAAACAAATGTTTTTATTTTTGTTTAGTTCCCGAAGGTCCACCTTTAAATGTTCAAATTGTCGCCTTAAGCAGTTCATCGTTATCAGTTACGTGGGAGCCACCAGACAAGAACAAAACAAATGGAAAGATAGTCAATTACACTGTTTGTATTACACATTTGGAGAATGAAACCTGTTCAATGAAGTATATGATCGAGGAACAGCGTTTGGACATAAATAATGTGAAACCAGGGACAAAATATTATGTTCGTGTTTTAGCTTCTACAATAGTGGGATCTGGATGTTACAGCAATGTTACATGGGTATTTACAAATGGATGTAAGTTGTCTATGGTTTATGCACAGGTTTGTTTAAGATGATAAATTTATTCAAGTTTATTTATTTAGTGGCACCTGAACTGTCCACCAAGCAGATTGGAAATACGTTGACTTATTTGTTGCAAAATCCAAATTTGGAATATCGGTAACTATGTATTTTACTAGAGCAAATTATTGTAAAAAAACTTAAAGGAACTTAAAAGTATTTTTTGAGTTTATCGGATTCATGGCTAAGTATAGGACAGTTGGTTTCATGTGGGATCGAGGTAGTCTAAATATCTCTCTGGGGAAAGCTTTGATGACTCGTCGCTTTTCTTTGGCATTGCGGATGCATGCATAACATATATTTTAACGATTAACAAAAGCAGAGGTTATGCATGTATTTTAAAAAATGTTTTGCCTTAAATTTGCAGATATTTCTATGTAGTCGCGATGAAAAATGTCACAGAAGAGAGTCGACTGCCTTCTAACTTTAAAAACACAGACTTAGTGACTTATTCTAAGGCCATATCTTCCACACAACCAATGCCGTATATTGCTGCTGTAGTCTCTCGCAGAGACTTTAAGCATGATTTTACACTTGGTGATGGTGAAAACACAACACAGCGTTCCAATGGTGAAAATTATTATAATGGTCCGCTGAAGCTTGGCACTAACTACAAAATATTTCAGCGCATTTTCATAAATGATCAGGTGCGACCATTTATTTACGTTTTCATCAGCATTGATTGCTGCAATTTTTATTCAAATATAAATGTTCACTTCGTTTCAGGGTGATTATTATTCCACTGACTGGAGTCCAGTGGCAGCAACTGCCCAAAAGCACAAGTCTTCAGGTTTGTGTTTGCTTTCAATAGCATAAGGAAGTTTATCGATGTCTAAAGTGTAATGATTCAAGATCTTTGCAAATTTCAGTATAGTAAAATGCCTGAAAATTTTTAACGATAAATATAGATATTGTTTGATGATACAGCCGATTTAATTGCAACAAATAACTGCCTTAGTGATTTTGTGTACCTCTTCTCTAATTTCATTGCGTTCCAAACCTAATTTATACCATAAATAAATCATGAATAGTTAACAGGGATGAATACATGGGGTGTGAGAGCGGTTACACCTCAGCTTTACAAAAATGATCGCTGAAAGACAACATTGGTGGGTAATGTTATGATTTGTCATTCATTTTTATCTTGTAGACGGTAGAAACACTGGAGCTATTGCTGGTGCAGTTGTAGTTGCAATTTTGCTCACTATTCTTGTCATATTGGTCATTTTTGTTGTTAGGATCAATTCAAACTCTGCTACCATGCAGTGAACTGCGTATTGTAGTCATTCGACGACTACTAAAATTTCTCAAAAATGGGGGAAGTTGAATTTTTTTCGCGAAATTATTAGACGTTTTCTGATATTTAACGTACTATAAAAGAATATAATTAAACATAAAATTTTATTTCCTTTTTAACTATAAGAGAACGAGATTGAGTGATTCTGAGCAGTATTAAAAAACAATTTGGAACATAACATCAAATTTTTAGACTAAGGATGTAGTCAATATTTTAAATAGGATAACGGCTGTAATACGTTCTATCTAAATACATTAAATAAGAAATAAAGTTAAATTACAAACAATTAGTGAGGTAGAATGTTCAGTAATTTTTTTTTAATGAAGAGAGGACGGGATTTTAATACATTCATGTATTTTGGAGTTAGTGGAATATGTATGAATATGTGCGCACTGTCATCTCATTAATTTACCTGACGTAGGAAACAGGAAGTTTTAGTGGATGGAGTTGTTATTGTTACCAACTTTGTCAATGTTAAAAAATGGTAATTCAAATGATATTCTTGTCCTTTGTTGTTTTCTCTTCTTATCGTCATGATGATATTCATAGAAAATATCTAAAATTATCGAAATAATTGAGTTTCCTGATTATTTGATTGCGAGAGTGCTAGGAACGTTGTGCTTCGGCTGTAGATTAGTGATTAACGAAGAAGAAGAAATGGGTTGGAAGCAACGACTCGAGATTTTAAAAAACATGAAAAATGTATGTTTCAGAAAGCTCGATTGCAAAACTCATCCTTTGTTGAATACTAAGGAAGGAGCCGAGTGGTTTCAAGTTAATTGGTGACAGTCAAATCGTTAATGAATAGTCTGTTGTTAACCCCTCTCCTCTTTTTTCTACACCGGCCTGAACACCAACAAAAGATTGATCTCTGTTTAAACGCGGCCATAACTTACGTTTGCTTTCGAATTGTGCTTTATTTACGGAAAATATCAATTTGTTACAAATACAGAAATACAGAGCAATTACAATGAAACATGAAGGTATCTTTATGAGGGTATGGAAGACTTGTGCGAATCAGGCTATAGTCACGGAAAACACAGCCGACTCTCTCACGAGTATCTCCGGTTAATCCGTCACGTTTACAGATGACGGGAAGTGCCCGGTGTTTCAACTTTCAAGACTTCACTGATGTCATGTAATATGGCGGATTGGAAAAATTTGGATGGTGTTGTGGTTACGGACGAAATTTTGTCCTCAAAAAGGTATTGATTTCCTTTTCAGTATCAATTATCAGTTCTTAAATATTTCATTACATTTTTGTTAACTTTGTACACTGTTGGCGTTAAGTTGACCTTTTAAATTGACAATCAATAGTCACCATGTTTTGAGACAAAGCCGATTAACAAAGACTCAGCAGACGATCGTGACTAAAAATCCACACGAGTACATACGAGTACATACGAGTACATACGAGTGACATACGAGTACATACGAGTGACATACGAGTACATACAAGTACATACCACTGACATACGAGTACATACAAGTGACATACGACTATATACTGGTCAACAAATGAGAAACAACACAATTTCTTCAGTGCATTGATATTTGCGTTTACTTTTCGTTGTATTTGTGTGGACTTTGGGCAACCTTTTGATGGATTTAAATGCTGAAAAGGTATTTTACTTTCATACTACATTCATTTGTATGTTTCAGTTGAATTTGTTATAGATATTTTGTCGATGCGATTTGCCAGTATTTGAGCGCTTTTTGAAACACTTTTACCTAGGAAATACATATTTATGAAAGCGATTATACATTCATTTTGACTCTGAAGATGACTTCATATAGCACGTTTTCAAGGCATTTTTTACATGTTGTATATTTAATCGCTTTCATAAATATGTATTTCCTAGGTGAAAGTGTTTCAAAAAGCGCTCAAATACTGGCAAATCCATCGACAAAATATCTATAAATAAATTCAACTGAACATACAAATGAATGTAAAATGAAAAGTAAAAATACCTTTCAGCATTTAAATCCAAAATTGGCCCTAAAGTCCACACAAATACAAGGAAAAGTAAACGCAAATATCAATGTATTGAAAAAATTGTGTTGTTTCTCATTTGTTGACCAGTATATAGTCGTATGTCATTCGTATGTACTAGTATCTCAGCCGTATGTACTCGTATGTCACTCGTAAGTACTCGTATGTACTCGTGGGGTATAGGGGCTCTGAGGAGGGGTAGTACATTTGGGGTCTGGCTGCTGTACTCTACCTGGTAGGGTGGACGGGCATCACTGGTCCCCACTAATCCCTAAATCTATCATTGTGGCTCCAACTGCCATGCCCCGGTACACCGTCTCAGCAGGCGGGCTAAACCATGTTAGGGGTGTTGTTTACACTGCACCACTGGGCGGAAGAGCAGCGACAGGCAGCCAACGTCCAGGGAGGAGGGTCCACAGGAGTGACCCAACGACCAAGTGTAGCAGAAGGAAACCTGCTTCAAACCCATGAAGTGTCCAGGCGTGCTGGAGTCTGTGGAGCGTAAAGACCCTGGCTCTACGGACACCCGAGCATCCAGCAGCCATGCTCCACCCATGGATAAATAGTCGTACTGCCTTGTGGGCATCTTCGGGAGAAGAAAAGGCTAAGGAGTAAACCTGACAAAAATCCGGAGTGGGGCCCCCAAGGCAGTCAGCTGACATAACCTGTCATCTTTCTGGCAGCTCCTGCAGCCGAAGTGATTCCAAACTGTAGCACTATGTGTTCCTTTGGACTACATCATCTAGGCCGAGAGGGGTGTCTTGGAGTTTGGGTAGTGCTGGACTTCCATACTACATGTTCAGGAATCAGTACGCCACACCCCATACACTGAAACGAAACCCTGGGACGATGGGCAAGTGGTGACGGTGGCAGGCACAGGATGGTGCTGGGAGCTGCTAGCCACAAACCTGCACTAAGGAGGCCAAGGCGTATATTCGGTCGTTCTTCTCCTACGTAGGCAAGGGCGGAGTCCGGTAGATACCTTGGTGACGGAGCAGCCCTAATTAGGGATAGCACTGCTCCCCCCTGGGGGAGGGGTCTAAAAAGGTGACCTAAACAAAGCTTGCCTCCTCACTCCCTGCCAGCATACCGCAGCTGGCTGGGCATCCAATCACGTTGTCGAAACTAAAACAACAAACGAACCTCCGGCAGAAAAGCACGGAAAACTATGCAGTTTGCAGCATGGAATGTAAGAACTTTGATGGGCACCAAGAACAGCAAGAGACCAGAACGCATGAAAGCAATTGTTGGCCACGAACTGTCGCGATATAACATCGACATCGCTGCCTTGAGCGAGACCAGACTTGCGGAAACAGGTGACCTCACAGAAGTTGGTGCTGAATACATGTTTTACTGGAGCGGCAAGGGGAAGGACGAGCCTAGAAAGGCTAGCGTGGGCTTTGCCATCCGTACAGCTCTTGTCAGCAAGCTTGAAACACTCCCGAAGGGAATCAGCGATAGACTCATGACCCTGCGCATCCCGCTGGCTGGCAACACCCACCTGACAGTCATCAGCGCCTACGCCCCAACGATGATGTATGCTGATGAGGAGAAGGAAGCTTTCTACCAGCTTCTTAGCGACACCCTCCACGCAACTCCGGGAGATGACAAGGTACTCCTGTTAGGCGACTTGAACTTCCGCGTTGGGAGAGACAACACTGCATGGCCATCCGCAATGGGTCTTCACGGCACGGGAAAGGTGAACTCCAACGGATTCCTTCTGCTGACTCTGTGCTCCGAGGAAGAGCTGACCATCACCAACACGATCTTCGAACAGCCAGAGACCCACAAAGCCACCTGGATGCACCCCCGCTCTAAACATTGGAACCTGATTGACTTCGTCATCACGAGAAGCCGCGACATCAGCGACATCCTGGTAACCCAAGCAATGAGAGGAGCGAACTGCTGGTCAGATCATGTTATGCTGCGTTGCAAAGCATCTTTCAGGATTGCAGACAAGCACAGGAAACAACCAAGCAGCGTGAAAAAAAAGCTTGATGTGAACAAGCTGAACAGCCCGCAAGTTCAACAAGCTCTCAGTGACGCCCTTTCCCAGAACCTGCAACAGGCAGCACATGCTAAAGGCAGTCCCGACTCAGAGTGGGCAATATTCAGTGACACAGTCTACAGCACTGCCGAAACGGTCCTTGGGCACCCCAAGAAAAAGCATCAAGACTGGTTTGACGACAACAACCAGGACATTCTCGACCTCCTGGCAAGGAAAAGAGCAGCCCTTGCAGCCTGGCTGAGTGACAAGTCCTCAGTGCCTAAGCACGAACACTTGAAGAAGGTGAGATGTGAGGCCCAGGTCAAGATCAGACTGATGAAGGATGCTTGGTGGGAGGCAAAAGCAGAAGAACTCCAGAGCTATGCGATCAACACGCCACGAAGCTTTTCTTTAGCGGCCTGAAGTCAGTTTATGGATCTTCCCCCAGCACCATGACCCCAGTTTGAGCGGCTGATGGGACCCTGCTAACAGACAATGCGCTTATCTTTGAGCGTTGGACAGCCCACTTCAGCCAGCTACTAAACAGGCCATCCTCCATTGACGAGCAGACACTCCAAGACCTTCCACAGCGACCTCTGATTCTCACCCTAGATGAGATACCAGCGAGAGAGGAGACACTGAAGGCCATCAGCAAGCTTCAGACTGGTAAAGCTACAGGGCTAGATGGAATCCCTCCTGAAAGCTACAAGGTGGGAGGTGAGGCTATCGTTGACCGGCTGATCAGTCTGATTCAAAACTTTTGGGAGAAGGGAAAGCTGCCTCAAGTCTTCAAAGACGCCAACATCATACACCTGTATAAGAACAAGGGCGAGAAGGCTGCTTGCGACAATCACAGAGTCATCTCCCTCCTCAGCATTGCAGGAAAAATCCTGGCACGTGTCCTGCTGAACAGGATTACCGAACACCTAGTGGACAGCGTGGTCTCAGAGAGCCAGTGTGGCTTCAGGCAGAATAGAGGTATAGTGGACATGGTGTTTGCAGTCAGGCAACTGCAGGAAAAGTGAATCGAGCAGAATCAAGACCTCTACCTGCTCTTCATTGACCTGACCAAGGCCATCGACACCGTCAGCAGACACGGCCTCTGGCCAATCCTGTCTAAACTAGGCTGCCCCCAAGTTCGTTAGAG